AAGTAATATAAGGATTATTAGTAGACATGAAGTGCCAATCAGAATGAGTGCCAATATTATGATGAATATCTTTAGACACTATTTCACAGACAAAGGACTAATTAAAAATAGTTTCAATTGAAGCTTAAAATATAAATCTTTTTCAACAAATTTATAAATACATTATAAGGAAACAACACATAAACTGTATATCATTTCTTGTTATATCAAAATAAATTTTGAGCATTTCTTGCACTTTATAGCACTGAATATTCATTGACTGAAATACTGTACAATAAATATATAACAATGACTGTACAATTCAAAAATAAATTGTTATATAATATTATTATATATGTTATAATCATTGTAAAGATGAATATCATAATTGTATTTAAATTTAGATCTATTTAAATGTCTTCGGAGACTTTTGGCTCAATTATAATAAGTTTATTATATTGTAGTTTATTTAATGATAAATATTAATAGTTGTTATTGATTTTTGTTGTGATTAATAATTAGAATTATATAAATAAATTGGTAAATGTAATAATTAAAATAATTAAATAATTTGTAAAATCTATATTTTTATTAAACCTCACATTTTTATCTTAAATCACTTATTATATTGACTTTGATTGTAAACACCATAAAATCTTAGCACAAAATAAATAAATAAATTGTCTATGTATTTATTAATATTAAAATTTATATAAATATAAAATAATTTTACTTTTAATATATATTCTGCATTTATTTTCAATTATTTCAATTATAATTAAGTTGAATAATTTAATTATTTTACTTATTTAAATAAATTATAACAGTTTTTGATGAAACAAACAAAAAGAATTTAAATTATTGTAATGCTCACTAAACACTATCTTTATTATTATTATTATTATTATTACTAAAATAATAAACAATAAATAATTTAAACAAAACAACAAAATAAAAAATTAAATTACAATTGTCTCTGAATTGTTACCAAATTCAAAGTCAAAATTAATATATTGAATAAAAAAATTAATACAATATTATAACGAGTGTTATATAAAACACATACAAAACACAATCACGGAATACAGTGAGCGCTCAGAATATTTTGTCACAAATTCTGCAAATTTATATACAAACAACTTATCATTATTTATATTACTATTGTAAGAGTTGTGGGATTTTTAATATATTATTTATAAATAAAATGTATTTCAAAATATTTGAATAAATTTGAAAGACATAATAATTTATAACTACAATTGATTGATTTATTTATTTGTATTAAATAAAATTTAAAAACATTTTTCGGTTTTTCACAAATTGCATAACAATTGAAAAGATGGTAATTCAATACATTTAAATACATTTCAAATTTTTGTTATAAATTAAAAAATTTTATAATTTAAAAATAATATAAAAACTATTTTAAAGCACATATAAAATGTAATAAACAATAAATTATTAAATGTAAAAACATGACAAAATTTGATGCAATAACATTTCTATGATTACTAAACAACATTAAATGATATATTGTCTAAAAACAAATAAAATTATAAAAACAAAATATTGTGTCAATTTTATTTAAATAGTGATTTAAATATTGATTTACGTATTTAGCGTAAATGTTTATATTATAAAATATAATTAATGTTTACTAAAATTGTGTTTAATTAAATATTAATTAATTAAAGGTAAGAATTATTTTTGTTTAATATTTTTGATTAATTAAGACAACAGTAGTTATGAAAATATGATAAACATTTGAAATTTATAAAGAAATTTAGGATTTTTTTATATATGATATATAATTTTAAATATTTATCAGTTGCTATATTTCAATATAAATTATCATGTTAATTAAGAAAACAAAATTTTAATTTCTATAGATTAATATGATTATTGATATTACTATAACGTAATACAATATTTATATATTTTTAATTAAAAGTTATTGATAGTTATATTGTAATATTCATCAATTTAATGTGCAATCTAAAATGCTAAGATAACCAAAACCTAACCTAACCTAATCATACAAACCACGGAGCTTAATCTAACAGCCCTAAATCTATTAGGCCATTAGTCTAACCTATCCTAACTAACATCATTTTAACAGATTTAAACAATGTATTAAATACAGTATTAGCCAACATTTTAAAAGTGCATTTTGTTTTGTTTGTAATATGTGTTTCATAATAGTTACATGTAATACATTTTGATTACACACAAAATCAAATACACTTCAAAAAGTAATGAATTTAAATTTGAAATACTTTTAACTTTTTAACCTTTGACCCCAGATATTTAATATATATATATAATACGTATACAAGACATCATCCTCTATCTACACATACCCACAGTTTGTTCCACTGGTCCGCCAAACTCTAAAGTCCTTGCGGTTCCGTTGGTGTCGTTTAACCCCCGTATCTGAACTACAATTCCCATAGTAACGGATCGCCTACCCATTTGTCGGGTTTATCATCGGATGCAATAACCCTCTGTTACATATAAATCAATAAAAATATTAAATGAAATTATTTGTTGTCTGTATTTTGTTTATTTTATTAATTTATACAAATATTTTATTGTCACTTCTTTAGCTATTTTATAATTGATAATTACATAAATACTATTATATAACTTGTTATCTATCATCAAATCAGCTATTTTTGAATTACTTTTATTATTATTTTTGCAGAAAGTTTTAAAAATTTAATATTTTACATGTAATTTATTAATTATTATATTCTATGTACCGATAATTATATTATAAAATTTAATATGTAATAAATTATAAATATGTTATTATATAAATATATTTTGAACTATTTATAAAAATTTATATAATATTTTAATTAAATTAAAAATATTTGTGTTTGTCTGTATTTATGCGTTTTCTTAAATAAAAAAATCTTTATATTTATTCTATATAGTATTAGAAAAAATATGATTTATATTAAAATTAATATTAAAATAAAAATACATGTATAACTTTTTATGAAAAATTTATTCTAAATCTATTGTATATTAAACTGTTATTAAAATTATACTATTAGTCTATAAGCAATCCCTTTATATTGTATTTAAAAAACAAAAATAAAATATCATTGTTAACGACGTAAGCATAAAACAGTATAATAATATTTAAATACCATATTTTTGCATAAATGCAAAATAAATTGCATAAATAAGTTAGTTTTTTTGTTAACAATCATAAATTTGGTTAAAGTTATTTTATTGGTTAACTGTATTGCAATATTGCAACTATTATTTATACGGTATGTCTATATGTCTTATATTATACTAATTATATACTAATAAACTATAACTGAATTTCTTAATTAATTTATTCTATAATTTTCAGAACTTTTATAAAGAATAACAGAACTGAACGATAAAAATAATGAATTAGAAAACAATTGACTTAATTATGTTTTTATAAAATATTTATTTAAAAGATTCAATTGCATAACGTTTCCTCTATATTATTCACAATTAGATATTTAATAAATTAATTTTCACAAAAATGTTATTTTATATTATATTTAACTAATCTTTTAGTACAATGTTTAAAGTCAACAGAAATGAAAATAACTCTAATGTTCTCTAATGGCGTATATTATATAAATAGTTTAGTTATTATGATCTCCCTGTGCTTGAAATGAGTAGATTCTTAGAGTAGATAAAAGATAATGATCTAAATATACTGTATATTACAATATATTATATAATATATAACATTATAATCAAAAGAGGTGACCATACTTTAACAAAACATATGAATAGATAAATAAAATGCATAAACAAAATTAAGTTTCAAAAAATAATAAATTTAAACGACTATATAAAATAATTGCGTTTTTTTACTAATTTATAAAAAGAAGTTTCATTGTTACTGAATTCTATTTGTTTGTCTGTCAAATATATTAGTTTTTTTTGATAATTTTAATATTTTGTCTTTAAATTCCGATGGATTATTTAAAAAATAATTAAAATAGAATTGTCTGAAAATGTAATTTTATTTTTGCTGAATATTTTTAAAAATCTTTAACTCGAATATTAAGCTCAACAATATTTTATTGAATGTTTTAAAAATAAATTTGAATTGAATAAATTTAGTGATACAATTTGACAATATCACTCAATATACAATTTGATATATCATTTGTTTTTTAAACATTATAATAAAAAGTGTTATTTAGAGATGAATTGGTTATAATAAATGAAAATAGTTTGACTGGCAATTACTAGGGAGTGTGAAAATGTGGAATATTTGGAAAATAAAACAATGAACGAGTTGCCCATTAATTTCTGATATCAAAATAAGTTTTGTATTAATTAATATAATTTTGTTTATAAAGTATGGTCACTTGCATTTTTATAAATTATTTTATTTAATTATATCAATGCATATTAAATATTGATATTTATAATAATATAATAATATAATAATAAATAATTTACTAATTTAAGTAAGCAATGATAATTATCGTAAATAAATTTATATTTTATTATAAATAATTAAAATAAAGTGTTATATTATAATATTTTGGTTTTAGTATAGACTATAGAGAAAATCGATAATTCATTATAATTTGTGATAAGATTTTCATATATTCATAATATAGTTAATAAACTTAAAGAATAGTATTCTTTATGAATAACTTAATTATTATATACACTCAGTATATTATACTGTAATATATTTTATTATACTGTATATACTATAGAAGATTATCCTACGGTAAGTATAAATTAAATAATTAATCCGTCAAATAATTTTATTAACAAAAATTTAGTCTAAACTAGAGTAATATTTTAAAATTATTGTACCGTATATTACATTATATTAAATAATTTTATAGCATTTAGAGTTGAAATTTAATTTTCATAATTTATTTCTATATTAATGAACAAACGGTAATTAAGAATTAAAAAAAATAAATAATGACATAAATTATTTAAATGATTTAATTAATTTTATTTACATACATATTATGATATAATAATTAAAATTTCTTAATTGTGATTAAGAGCTTTCCTTGACCTCCAATTAGAAAAAACATTGAGTTCTTGTTCATCGATATCTGAATCAGAATCAGTGACTTCTTCTCGTTTAATGTTGTCTTTATTATCAATCAAATGATTATGTATTTGTTCGGCTCTTTTCTGCATTTCGTTAACTTTATGCCAATTTGCGATCTGTTCTTCAATTTCTTCAATATTTCTATCAATTTGTAATTCTTCGATATCTTCTTCGATAATATTTTGGGAAACATGAGTTTCTTCAGCAATCACTTTCTGAAATTGTTCCCATTGTTCATCTATAGGATCCTTAAACACTACTTTACGTGCTTTTGCGTCCATAACTGGATCATCAAAAAAGCCTTTCGGTATTGAATTTGTTTTTTCAAAGCTATCGTCAGATTTATTCAAACTATTATCTAATGATTGAGAAAAAGTCAGTCAATTAACCATTTGATTGAAACAATTTGTCATAAATACCGGGTTTGAGTCGTTTGGATGAATTGCTTTCATCTTCATCTTTACTTCTATTTCTTTTGGCTATAAAAACAATTGATATCATCAGTCAAATCAAATTATCACCCATTTGTATGTCAAGAAGTGAGTTAATCATTAGATCAGACAATCATTTATTAATATATTGACTAAACATAGCAACTGACCGGACATTATGTCTGCAGATGAAGACAAAGACATAGTTGACAACCGATTCAAAGCACCAAATGGTCAGATGTGTTGTCTTCAGCAGTAAAATGACTCTCAAATCATGTCTTAATCATTGAATGATTGAATCAATGTTTTCAATACAACACTATTACTGTATTATATTATATTAATAATAACTTTCACTAAATATATCATAAATAGAGTCTATTATTATTGAAATGCATTATTAATATTATATATAGTATTAGTTGACGTAATTTGTTTGAAACGATAAGTCAATCAAATAACTGAATTAATGGCAATAAATGTAAACATTTATTCAAACATTTCATAATCACTATTAATATTTGAGTCAAATGTTTGTGTGTTTTAATGTTTTCATTGATTTAATTACTTATTGAAAGACTCATTAAATGTTTAATTCATTGATTTAATTATTGTTTGCTTTGATTTTTTATTAATTAATGACAACTAAAGGGTTGAAAATGTTTAAAATAATTGCAATTAATTTAAATGATATAATGATATACAAGTGATAGTTATAACTACAGTATAAATGATGACAACTTTAACATAAAAATAAAATATCATATGATATAAGCAATTAGTGTAATAATTGGTAATTTTGGGACCAAATGAATGAAGAATGAGATGAGTGGACTTCAATCACGGATCAGACATCAAACCAATGATGAGATGAAACACGAGTCACAACCGCTAACATCTGTGACCACTAGTGAGTCGATGACCACAACTACGGCCACAAACAGCACCAGTTGTAGCAATAATAATGTGACCAACATTTCAGTCAACCAAAGCTTTTATAACAATTGTCTATCAATAAGACAAGAGATCCAGAGGTTTGAATCAGTTCATCCATCCATTTATGCCATCTATGACCTCTTGGATCTCATATCTGATCCACTTTTGGCACAACAAATACGGGAACACGTCGTCTGTATTGAAGGTATGTTTGTTTTAGTATTTTATTTCTTTATTTTGTTATTAAATTTATTATATATTTTATAATAAGTTAATTATAATAACTGCTTTTAATTAATGTATTATAATATTATATTTAATATCATTTTTGATTTAATACAATTAAATACAGTTATAAATTTAATACAAATAAGCCATTAAATACATGTCTAATGTTTTTCATGAAACAGATGTTTGTTTTTATTGATAAACTAAAATAATGTATTGTTTTTATCGTTTTAAATAGATATAAATACCGTATATTTAGTATTTTTTAAATAAACGTTACTTTAATATTACTTATGATATAAGCTATAAATTACAAGTTTTGGTTTACAAATGATAAAAATTGTTGTTTTAACAAACATTGATAAAATGTATTAATGATTGATTGATTATGTTTAAGAAAACCTGGTCTTTCATAACTGGATTTATATTATGACTAATAATAGACTATACATTAAACTTAAATATAAAATTACATTTTTATTACTATAAATCATTTTAAATATAATTTTCTTTCATATTATAATAATGTATTATTATATACTGTAATTGATAAAATAACAATATCAGTTTTAATTGTTAAATAATTGAAAATTTTCAAAATATAAAATTAGATAAATTTATTATCATATATTTTGAAAAATATGTACATTATATCAATCAATTATTTTATAAGTCTTTAAATAGTTGTGATATAATTTTTGGAGTTATAGACTGACAATATTGGTTTGCAGTAATAATTGTGACAAATTAAAGCAATCATTAATTGATGATTAATATCATTTACATAAATCACATTCAAATGTCACAATTAATCAATCAATTATATTTATTTATATATACAATATATATATATACACACAATAATATAATTAACACAAACTTTATCCCAATTTTCATTTATAATTTGATTTTCATTCATTTATTAATTGCTTTATTACAGTATAGGTTGTAATATTAAATTGTTATACATTTGTAACATACAGTCTTGCATTTGTCTACTAAAAATAAGACATTTTTAAGTGATGATCAAACTTGTCTTAAATTATATATTATTCTTAAACTGTATATTATTTAATAATTAGTAATTATAAAAGTCATAAAAGTATTGATTAATAATTATTTAAAGTGTATCAAATAATTATTAATAGTTAAAATAGCTAAAAAACCAAATAGTTATTTATTTATTTTTAAATATTTGCAAATTATTTTTTATGATTCACTTGTTTTCAGCATATTTACAATAAGAATGTACAAAAATATGATAATTTTTTCTATTGTTTTGAATCAAAAATTAATATAAATTTGAATTTTATATAATTTTTGTAACTAATATTTAGTATTTTTACATTTAAATTGTGCAATATTTTAGTTTTATGTTTATATTTTTCAAAATCATTAAAATAGTTGCTAATTAATCAAACAGTTATTAATAGTTATAATAAAATTTCGGGAATAGCGTCCACTTGTTATGTTCGGTAAACATACTAAGTCTCAGTTAATCATTAATCAGACAATAGTTTTTTAGTTTGAAACCAAGACACTAATAATTACTATAAATTATATTCTACTGTATATAAAACGTTTAAAAACTAAATATGAATTTTTAATGTGATATCAGATATATAAAATTTATAACAGTTATAATCACTCATTTGATTTATAATAATGTTTTATGATTTATTATCTTTTCTTATATTGCATTTTATATAATAAATTTTACTCAATTCTTAAAAAATATAACCATTTATTTTATTTATAACAATCGATATAAAAAACAACTTTATATATTGATATTATTTTTATTATAAGATATAATAATTAATTAATGTTTTACTAAAAATTGATTATACAGTACAATACGCGTTTATAATGATTACAAACAATAAATTGTAATATCTATTACTATATTATAGTCTATAAAACTTAATAGTAATAAAGCAATTGTAAAATAATTATATATCATTATTAATAAAAAATATGTTTATTATTAAAATGTAACATGTTAAATTACCAATATCATAAATATTAGATTATGTTACAAATAATAATATGATAAAACATTTTAAAAACAAAATAATTCATTTTATTTTTTATATACTTTATTGGTTTTGTGTATTACATTAATATAATAGACAAATCAAATTATCAAATATCTATTTAGATTATAATATATTTAATTATTAACTCAAATAATAATATATTATAATATTCGAAACATATTGTAAAATATTTTTTATATGTTGTTTAGTATTGTTATTTGATATAATTTAATAAAATTTCAAAATATATTTAGTTTTATTAATGTATAAGTGGATATAAATTTATTACAATTAAACAGTGATAAGTTTTTACCTAAAAAAAAGATAAACTTATAAATTTAGTCACAAATAATTTGCAATTCAATTTAGCATTTAACTTAAATATATATCAAATTAAATAATAAAAATAAACCTATTTCTACAAATAATTAGTACATTTATTTCTATATTTAGTTATGTACTATACTAAATTATTTAATTTAATAATTATTATTTTGTATGTGAATGTATTGCAATTTTTTTCAAATATAATTAAAAGTTTATTAATATAATTTATTAGATTTGAGTAAACTTTACATTTGAATCAATTTGATTTTATCATTATAAGTATAATGTCTTTGTTGTGTATTAGTCAAACATCATTTTGATATAAATAATTTTGAAGTGTTTTTTTTAAATTAAAATTGTTTTTTAAATTAGAGCCAATTTATCATTTTTAAAGTATTTTTTAATTGCATATTGTTTGTATAGAAATATTTGTTTATATTGGTAGTTGTTATGGGTTAGATTACATTTATTCAATTTAAACTGTTTAATAATTTATAATATTCAAATGTTTATATTTAATTCAAATTCAATTAATTTAATTTACTTTAAATTTAATTCACAATTTAGTGTTATCCTAATTCAGCGAAGTATTAATTTGAAATTATTATTGTCTTATTATATAAATTGTATAAAAACTAATAGTTTTTTAATAATTTAAATTTTTAATACCATTTTTATTATTTTAATTTAGGCTATAATGTACACACATCTTTAACACATTCATTGATACATAAATTTTATAAACTTATTTTATATGTTTTTAGTAAAATATTATACTGGTAGTTTATTATAATTAATTATTGTATATACAAATTATTGATTTTAATATACTATATTAAATAAAGAATTTATTCTTATAAATGGATTAATATTAAAATAGTTTGTATAACCAAATAAAGACAGTAAATAACACATGACAGCTGTCATTATAAAAAAATGAGTTATGTTTACACTTGTTTAACAAAATACATGCTTTTTAAATAATCTTTAGTTTAGATATGATTTTTCTTTTCACACAAAGATATTACTAAAAATATTTATGAATTATACAAACTTAATGTATTACAAAACTACTTACTTGATTGCATATAGTAATTAATATAGAGTACTGTATTTACAATTATTAACTATCACTTTAGTCTGTTATTTAGTACAGTATTTGATATCAATTTGGTAACAATTATACTTAAATTTAATATTTTATAACATTATTTTGCTCTACTTGAAAGTATTATCTAGAATTTAAAAAATTATATTAATAGCATTTTAAATGTATTAATAAACATAATATGAATGAACAAAATAAAAATATGAATGGTTTTCACATGAGTAATATCATCGAAATTTGTAAATGTAATTAAAGCAAATTTTAATTGTTATGATAATAATTGCAAACTTTAATTATAAGGCAAACTTAACAAATGATTGAACGCAGTCCTAATGAAACACCTTTTGGCTGCCCTTCGGTCCCCTCATTGTTGCCTATAATAGCATATAAATATATAAATTATAAAATATAACGGATTTTTACTATATATGATATTTTATATATTATATTATAATAGTAAAGAGTGGACGGAAATGGTATGCATTTTGTCTGAACAAATGGCAGGTGATGTCAATATAACGCAATTTTGATTCAATGAAATTGTTGACAAATGTCTAAACATATCGTGACTTAAATTATATTTATTTATATGCCATTAATGACCCCATATATGCTTTAATCGATCAACTAATAGCTCTATTAAAACTATTAAATAGGTTGCTCTCTATTTATTTATACATTGAATTCATTATTATATAAAATAGTATATATATATTTGTTATATTTCTAATTGCGTGAAATGTTCCAGGTTGTTTTATTTTATCAAACAATTAACAATTACTATTCATTTTTTATATGTAATTAATGTTTCAAATAATAGAAATAATGACATAAAATTACCGATACATTCAAAAATACTATTGATTTAATAAAATGTACTCTAAATTAATGTAATTCTTTTTTATCTTAAAACCACAATTCGCTAATTTTAATTAAATAAACAATATATATATATATATAATATTTGTTACTTTGTTAAATATATGGTTGTTTATAGACACGTTTTATATAATATAGTAAATATTTGATTGTGTAAATAAGAATAGCATCTATTGATTAATTTGCTTATTTACTGTGTATTAATACATTTTTCATATGTTTAGTGGTTTGCAAATACAGTAATATTTTATATTATTGAAAATGAACAATTTGCACATGTTATGAATCATCATTATGTTATACATTAAAATAATATTGTGATAATAATATATATTTTATTTTTAGATATCACAAATTGTTATTATTTTGATGATATCAATACTAAAACCATTGATCCGATAATCCTGTTGTATAATAATCTATTGTCAATAGCGTAGGTATTGTATTGATGATTCATATTTGTATTTTAATTTATATAATATCTATGAATGAGAGGGACTTTGCAATAGCTTTACACTGATGTCTATGTGTTAGGACTCATTGTTTCTGAAGAGATCCAATTGAGCGAAACAATTGTCAAACTTTATGGCAAATATCCATTTTATAAGTCTATCTAATGACCAATTGTATGAATTTTTTGTTTTACTTCGTTGTTTTCATAGTTAATGTATACTTTAAGTGATGCTACTTATGATTAACTCGAGTTTTATTGAAAAATGCAAGTTTTGGTTCACATGTCTTAAGGCGTTTTGTTTATTAAAATGATAGGTTCTCACTATTAATACACAGACAGGCATAGGAGGGCCCGATCTCATGATACCAGTGTCAGCACTACTAAGGGCTGACTCACTGCAAACCTAACATTTTCATTGAATTCGTGGTTCACTAAACATCCCACCACTACTTTATATTACTTAAACACCACATAACATAACCAGTGGTTATATAACTTTTTGTTTGTTTCTTTCATATACACAATATTTGTGAAATAAAAAGAAATACTTTTAATATTAAGTATTATTGATTTTAATACTTTTCTTATATTTACAAAATTACATTATTTAACTATTTTTTAAAAATATTGTATTTAATTAATTTATACATCAGTGTGTGTTCTCGTAGAAAATGAATTCATCAAAAATGTATTTTATTTACTTGAAAATTGAAGACAATTTTTATACTCAAATCCAAATTATGTGTAATAAGTTATTTTCAAAGTCATAACCACTCAAATGTTAATACAATAATAATATCTAATTTATAAACAAAACTTTAAAGTAAATCATTGTTATATATATAGATTGTATATATAATTTTCAGAGTAGTCATATTTGCACCAATGAACGAAAGTGTTATAATCAATACATTATTTAATTTACATCTCAACGGTGCAGTTATCAAAAAGTGAATTTTTATTTGTTTTTTAATAAATACACTTAAGTTTAAAATGAAAAGTTATTGAATATAAACATATTTCAAGATTTATAGTATTTTTTATTAAAAGATGCATAACTTTATTTTATTGCAAACTAAGTGTTTCAAAAACTTATTTATGACAAAATTAAGTGAAATATTTTAATACAAAACAATGCCAATATTGGCCACTGCTTTCTCAGTTGGCCGACGGTCACTACGGCTCTCAAAAAGGAAAAAATTTACGCTTTCCGGTCCGTATTATGTTTACACATTTGATACCATTTGTTTGTAGTTATTATTTGTAATATTTTAATTAAATTTATAAATTTAAATACTGTATCACATGAGAGTTATATTTTAATGAAATCTTACAATATAATTGATATGCATAATGACTCTTTAAAATTTAAATCAATTAAATGGTTATATTTAGTGATTATTTATGTTTTAACAATGATTTATGTTATGAATAAAATAAATAATAAATATTTGTTTATTTGCAGACTCTTTTGTGAACAGTCAAGAGTGGACATTAAGTCGAGCCGTTCCCGACTTACGTCTGGTAATTATTTTAAGATTAATTTGATTATAAAAACTATGATTAGAGCAACACTTGCTTGAATGCAAAGTTTGTCAAAATTGTAATTCAATACTTTGTTGCCAATAAAAATGTATATTATCTGAGATGAATGTAGTAAAGCTTATTATTAATGAGTTTTACATTTTCAACTCATTATTACAACTAAAATAACTTTATTGTTATAATTAATTTTGAAAATTATCAAATTAACTGTAAGAATATAATTATAATTTAGGGTATTGTTGGTTGTTTAACAAGTGGTAAATCAGCGCTCGTACACCGATACCTAACCGGCTCATACCTTCAGGATGAGTCCCCCGAAGGCGGAAGATTCAAGAAAGAAGTGATAATTGATGGTCACAGCCATCTTTTGTTGATTCGCGATGAGGGAGGACCACCTGAGATGCAGGTTTGGTGTCATTTTTTTATTAACAACATATATCAATCAATTCTGTTAAGATATAATAATTTATTTAATTTATTTTTGGTTATTATTAAATTTGTTGTCTAAATAATATGAATTTCAGTGTTGAATAGATATAACAATTGTATTATTAAATTTGTTTTACAGTTCAGTTGTTGGGTCGATGCCGTCATATTTGTGTTTAGTCTTGAAAATGAGACTTCATTTAATACAATACATAATTATTACCAAAAGATGTTTCACTACAGAAATTCATCAGACATTCCCATATTTCTCGTCGGCACTCAAGGTATGAATCGTCAAAGTATTTAACTATAAGTATAACTAAGTTTTTAACTGAAGGGAACTCATAATCATTAAACTAAACATTAATCTTATAAACACTGTAATTATATTTTGATGACTCATCCAAAAAAAAAAAGATTTTTTGAACCATTAATGACATTATTTGAATGTTTTGTATTAACTATTGTTGTCTCATATCAGATGCTATTAGTGAAAGCAATCCTCGATTAATTGATGACAATAGAGCCCGAAAACTGGCCGCCGATCTCAAGAGGTGTTCCTATTATGAGACGTGTGCTACATATGGACTCAATGTTGAGAAAGTGTTTTATGACGGTATACGACAGCAGCAGTAATTTGATGCAAACAAATAGCTTTAATTTACACATTTGTCTCCCTTATTGATAGCTTGTCAGAGGATTATTCAAAATAAAGTTAATGATTCTCAACACATAATAACAAATTCCAGACCAAATACTCCCAGTTGTTTAGGCTTTTATCGCCAGTTCCCCATAAACTCAACTGTTGCCTCATCTGAAGCATCAAATGGCATTATTAATAATAATAATACACTTTTTAAATCTGTTAAAACATCACCAATTCATACTAATCCTCCTAATATAATCTCAACTCCACAAGTCAAGCAATTGACAACTCAACTAAATAATAGTCAAAACAAAATACATTTAAATAATAATAATAATAATAATAATAGCAAAAACAACAAAAATAATAATATAATAACAAATCAGAAAATTGTATCTGATTTGGTACCACTGCCTCATAAAAGAAACGATTTAAAAACAACTGATTCATCAAAAGCTGCACTCATTGTTCACAAAACATTAGCTGAACAGTCAAGCAATCAGTTAAGTGTTCAAAAAGATACCAAAGATTTGCCGACTCCTAGCTCTACGCCAACCACTACCCGAAAGACGAGGCGACGCTCTAATCTATTTCCACCCTTAAGTAATAAAAAACATTTGGAAGACAAGTACAAAATTAGTGAACTCGGCAGCGGTCGGACCATTCCGGTCAGTCTTCATTGAAATGCACTTATTGTTTATATTATTGTTTATATTATTGTTTATATTATTGTTTATATTCATTATGGAACAGTTAAAACAAGGATATCTTTACAAGAAAAGTATTAAAACTTTAAATAAGGATTGGAAGAAAAAATATGTGACACTTACCACTGATGGCAGACTTACATATCACCCAACACTTCATGACTATATGGAAGATATTCACGGAAAGGATATTCCATTAAAGCACATAACTGTCAAAATTCCCGGTCAAAAGCCTAGAGGATCGCGATCTACTCAACCCATAGTTTCTCCTAATAATGACATTATTTCAGATCTCAATTCTATGAATTTAGGTTTCTTTAAAATTTCTTTTTTATAATTATTTTAATTTATTATTAATTTAATTAAATAATAATAATATGAATTATAACTATTTTAGGTAATAGTAATATCGACCAGAAATTAATGCCTATAACAAACCCTAAGTCAGATCTTTCGAGTGTAAAGAAGCGCAACCGTAAAGCCAAAAGTGGTGGACATAAAAATAGTGATTTAGCGGATGACTCGGATAGTTATGAATTTACAATTGTGTCTCTAGAAAACAAACACTGGTATTTTGAGGCCAATAGTTCTGAAGATAGGGACAGTTGGGTCACTGCTATTGAACAACAGATCCTCTCTAGTTTGCAGAATCTTGAGAGTGAAAAATCAAAATTAAAGAACGGCTCTTCAGTAGATGAATCGGCCATTCAATCAATACGAACGGTTCCCGGAAATAAATATTGTGTTGATTGCGATTCTCCCAGTAATATACATATATATATATATATCAAAATTTATTTATATATAAGTAGATTAAACTTAATATGAAAATTACATTTAAAATTTCAGATCCTGATTGGACATCACTAAATTTAGGTGCACTCATATGTATTGAATGTTCAGGTATTCATCGCAATTTGGGGACTCATATCTCCAAAGTTAGATCACTTTGTTTGGATGACTGGCCGTAAGCTATCTTTAGTGTTGAGAACTATCAATTTGATTATTAATGTTATATTTATGTGATCATTGAATGCAGTGCCGGACATATTGCTGTTATGATGGCTTTAGGCAATACAACAGTCAATACTATTTGGGAATATGATCTCAGAAACCGAGCGAAACCCACACCTAATTCAAGTCGTGAAGAGAAAGAGCGATGGATTCGAGTCAAGTATGAGTTAAAGGACTTTTTGGCCCCAATTACTGACGTGACTCGTATTGAACAACAACTGGTCGATGCAGTCCTCAAATCCGACATAAAACAGTTGTCCTTAATTTTGGCTCATTTTTCAACGAAAGATCAAAATATATCATTTTATACGCGAGAAGTTAAGACACCTTTACATTTGGCTGCAAATCGCGGATCATTGGCTGTCATCCAACTGTTACTTTGGGTTTGTATTACTATTTTATTATTATTTAATCATTTAACGTACGGTACATAAAGTATTATTAGTTATTTGATATTAATTTTTATGTTATATAATATCATTGATAAGATGTATTTATTAATTATATATATATATATATATATATATATATTATATTGTATTATTCAATTGACAGCATAACCCAAATGTCAAAGCTATTGATTCAGACGGCAAGACTGCATTGTTTTACGCCAAGACATCGGGTCATAAGGAAGTGGCAGAACTGCTCGTACAGAATGGTTGTACCGAAATGCAAGCCATCAGTTCAACAAATAACAGCTCATCTCTTGCCAAACGCAGAGATAGTTTGACTTTACTGACAGCTAAGGCTACCACTTGTGAGGCATTAGACAGATTGCCGGCCAGTATTATATAGTTTGATATGATTTTATTTATTTTATAAACATATGTCAATTACCGTATTTATAGCTATTGTAATGTTGAACTCCACTATTAATACCTATTATCAGTAGTTAATGTTATTATATGTTAGTACACAACTCTCCGTACTAATTGTTATTCAATTAAAAATTCAATCGACAATAACTTATAATAAATTATTTATATGTGATTTATATATATTGTAATATTAGTTTTCGCACACTTTTTACATTAATATGAGTTTTTGTATAAATATTTTAAATATAGTAGTATTAACGTAATCGCAACTATTTTTTTTGTTAATATAATTATTAATATTTAAGTAATATATATTTCACCATAATCATTTTTATGGTTTGATATTTTTCGTAAAATAATTATATATATATATATATAGTTATTATTTTTATTATTATTGTTTAATTAATTTATACTGTATTCAAAATACTGACAATAAACTATAATACAATACATTTTATGCAATAAGAGTTGCATTTAAATTGTAATATAAAATAAAATAACATTTGAATGATTAATTCATTTGAATAGTTGTTATTAACTAATTTTGTTTTTCTAAATTAAGTCTAATAATCTTTAAAAACCATTATATTGTTAAACAATTTATTTATTAATAATCATAATTACAAAATTAATTATTTAAAAATAAAATAAAATTACATTTAATTAAATATAAAATGGACCTAATTGTTATAATTAATAATAAATAAAAATTTTGATGAAAAATTAAAACAAATCTAAACAATGATCGACTTAAATGTTTGATCAATGAATCTGATGACTGCCAGACACTGCATTCATTCACAAAATAGATGACACAATGATATGCAAAATGTATTTTATATAACAAATCAATGTAGAGATGAATATTAACGAAACAATGAATTCAAATGAAACAAAATAATTGAATGAATTTATTTGCGAATGAGTCCTCTGGCCGTTGGATAGGACTGATTGGCACCGGCAGTGTCCGGCCGTTCCGATAAATTTCGAGATTCATTTCGATTTGATATCTTAAAGGCAGTCAAAGGACGCAAAACATTTCCGTTTGTCTCCTTTTTCTTCCCTTTTTTTCGTGATGTCGGCGCAGGTATTGAACTAATAATAAAAGAATATTTCAAACAATAATACATAACAAACATTATAATACCTGATTTCAACGTCAATATCATCTTCACGTTTGAGTGCATTTTCTAGGGCTGCCCTAACTCGTGGTGACAAACGGGGAGCCGTGTAATCTTTAGTCATACGACTACTTAATTCAAGTTCACAATCCATTATATTTTCGCACCGGTATCTCAAACCAGAACCAACTTCTTGTGCCATTCGTGCAAATTCTGAAGTTGGATAACGAAATGCAAAGCAAGAGTTGGGACGTTTGCATAGATAAGAACCGTCGGTATTATTGCAACTCTTTTTGATCTTCCAGTCATCTTCTTCTTCATCAAAAACAATATGACTCAACAATTTGTTCTTTTCCTCAATTGGTATGAAGTTATCAATAATAATATATTTTAATTTAAGTTCTTTCATCAAATCATTTTGCATTTGTTCCAATTCTCGTCGTTCGCGTGCATTGGACTCCTGGACATCCATGATCTCAGTCTTCACTGATTGCAACTTTGATACTAATTTCTTAAGTTTTCGTCTTTTAATTTCGACTTCTTGTTGTAATGAAGTGAATGTTTCTCTATATTCGAAAGTAGATTCTTCTTGTTCTTCTAATTTCTGTAACATTTGTCGCTCACGTTTTTTTTGTTCAATTAATTCTTTGTTTTTAATTTCTAATTGTATTTGTTGTTCATTTGTGTGATCGACAATGTTTTTGCCGCCGACTAATAGTTTGCTTTCCATTGCTTTAATCTTTGTCTGAAGTTTTTCAACAGCTTCTGTATCGATGGGTTGAATTTCTTTAGACTCGTGGATCACCTGTTCTTCGATATTAATGCCATTTGACAATCGATTTTCTTTTTGTTTTCTTCTATCGAGAAGTTGTTGTTTAAGTCTTACGATTTCTGATTGAAATTCTTTAAGCAAAGCATCCTTCGGGTCTTCATTAACTCGCGGATTGTTCTTAATATTTTTGGCCCGATTTGCATATCTGAGTGTAGTTAACGTTTCCTCATAGTTATAACTGGCCGGACCTATATTGGCCACCATTACAGTCTTGGCGTTACCACCCAACGAGTCTTGTAACAGACGCGTCAACTTTGAGTCTCGGTATGGGATGTGAGTGCTCTTGCCGTCGACAAGCGATGAAATAACGTTTCCCAATGCAGATAACGACAAATTTATTTTAATCGCTTCCTTTTGTCGTTGACCTACAGTTCCAGTCTTGGCCTGTCTCTCACTTCCGGCCAAATCAACTAAATTTAATTTTCCGACTCTTATATGATTTTGTCCGTCAATACCTTCTTCAGTGTGTTCTATAGTTATAATGAATATGGCGTGAGATCGGGACGAGTGTTCGTTCATATTTGTTGCGCCGACACTACGGTTTTGATGACCACAAGTCATGACGTGTTCGATCTCTTTAATACTTTTACAGACAAATGACGAAAGATCCTTAACATAGACACCGATATCGGGTCTCTCTTTAAGTTCAAATCTAACACTTTGGTCTTTAGCGAGTAAATCACGAATCTCTTCTTGATATATCTCCAGATATGAACTTCTGACCAAATATTGTTGATTCTGAGACCGAGCGATACAATTGAATATTTGTTCAAAAGAATTGGGAATAACTCCGGGTCTCTGGGGGTCGCCTTCCATAGTATATGTCTTTCCAGTGCCGGTCTGTCCGTAAGCAAACACCGTTCCGTTGAAACCCTCGAGAACTGAGTCAACGAGCGGTCGAAATATTTCTTCGTATAAATCATTTTGATTTGAATTCCAGTCATAAACCGCATCAAAAGTAAAACTCTTCGGCACTTCTTCTTCACTGACATTTGGTTTATGAATTTGAATGACTCCGCGATCGCAATACATGTCTATTATCTGTTTGTGTCCATCCTTTACCTCTTTATCACTCATAGGTCTGCATCTGACTATCACTTTAACGCTTTCACTCTTATTGGATGACTTTGACTGAATGAATCAATTAATTTATTGTTAGATATTGTTAGATATGAATTATCAGTCGACCAAACATAAGATACTTACAGAATTGGATCCAATGGACAATTGGGAACCAAATTCACTACTTTTAGGCATTTTTCGTATATTTTAATGCATTAATTAAAATAAAATAATTAATAGAAAGACAATATATTATTATCACATTTTGTCTTTAAAATTAATTAATAGATTCATTAATTCATTTTATTTTTAATTCAAATATTAATAAAATTGTTTGCATTTTATTGTGAGAAATGGTTTAATACTTAAATAATAAAAATATATAAAAATAATTATTGATTTTAAATGAAATTAATAGAGAATTGAGTCATTAATTGTGTAAAAATATGAATCAATTATTAATAATGTTTTCAATGCATTCATTCATAGCTTTAAACCTAATGTTCTAAACGTATTAAACGTATTTCACTTAACATTATATTAATAGCGATGTGTTTTGTGAGACATCACTGACTCAGCCATTGGTTGTTATGACAACAGTTAAGTCATTGAATCGATCAATAAATTCATTGATTGACTGCATTTGTGTCACTATTTCGACAATTGTCTCACATTTATAGACAATTTAATATCAATTCAATCATATGTTAACTTTTCATAACTTTTTTCTTTAATTTCTTTCAATTAAAATTTAAAATGACTAATAAATATAAAACAAAAACAATTGATTGACACAACAAACAAATAGATTTAATAGATTTCATTAATTAAAAACATTTTCTATGAAATTGTTATCAAATTGTAGGCAAATTATATGACATTTATTATTACAACACAATATGATTTACATTTTACGTATTTTTCTAACTTTTTAAACAATTTAATCAATCAAATCAATATAAAATCAATTGTATTGTTAAAAGTTGTCAATTAATTAAGCGATAGTTTTGAAGATAATTAATGTATTTTTAATATGCATTTGTTTTCTTCTATTTTCTAACTTTTTTCAAATTTTCTTTTGTAAAACATTTAGTTATACAACAAATTCAATAAATTTTATTATATATAATATTCCTGTATATGCTTTGAACAGATTATTTACAACTTGTATTATAAAATATTAATAAATTAAACCAATTATTAGGAATTGTATTAGACTTAGATTTAATTTGAAATAAATGTTTTAATATTTTAATTTTATAGTGATTTTCTAATTTATTTAATTCTAAAATTCCTATATCTATGTATTGATTCTGTAAACTGATATGTTTTTTATAACTGTATTATTCATATGGTATTAAATTATTGTGAAAAAAGAAAAATTTTGTTTAATATAATATTAAATAGTTTTGAATAGTCTTAATAAAGAGTGTTAAATATATAAAGTGACAAATATTTGATGTATTAAAACAATTGTTTTTTGTTTGTTTTTTAATATGAGTAACTTTGGCTAAAAACATATTTGCTGCACTTTAATTAAAACTTTTAAAAAATATATTAATTTTGTTAATTCATTTAAACAATGTTTAGAAATTTATTGTTAATAAAAGTAATACCAATTGATTTGTTAAACTTAAAAGTTTTATAAACATTAATTATATCGTTAATTATAACGATATGTGAATATCTGGAGTTCATTATATGTTTATTTTTTATATAATTTATTTATTATAATATAATATTTATATAATTACTAAAATTTACTGAAATAGTAGTGTTTTATTAGTACTGTATTACAATTAGACTGACCACCCATACAGATGCCGACTGTATTATACAGAAATGTAAGGTCTGATACAAGTGACAGGAAAGGGGTTAACCTCTATAATGTAATATACAGTTTAAAAATATGTTAAACTAATTGATCAATAAAAGTATAAAATAACTATGAATTAAATTTTGTTAGTAAAAATTGCTTGTATTTTTAATATACAGTTTAAATATAAAAATAAATAATTTTTTTAATTTTATAAAATAATTATAAAATTGTTCATGTTCAAAATAAAAAACTAATTTTAAACTTTTTATGTAATTATAATAACTAAATTTAATATTTCTTAATTTATATTATAAATATATACGAATATATAGAGTTATTTAAATATACAGTAGGTTAAGATACAGGAATATAATATTTAATATACAGGTAAATACAGGTAAATACAGGTAAATACAGGTAAATACAGGTAAATACAGGTAAATACAGGTAAATACAGGTAAATACAGGTAAATACAGGTAAATACAGGTAAATACAGGTAAATACAGGTGAAATTCATATATTTTATACTACAGTATTATACAGGTTTACTAATAAATTGTGTGGTCATTCTAAGTACAATTAATGTAAATTTTATAATAATTATTATGTTTTTTAAAATCTTTTTTAAATATAATATCATTGATGTTATCTGTGTTTATGTTTGTAAAAACTTTCAAAACTTTTTGATTTATTAATTAAATTATTAATTTTCTCACATTTCATAAATCTTTAATTGTTTTGTTTATATCATTGTTTAGTTTTATAAAAGTAGATAAATGTTTGTGTTTTTTGTTTACTTTATATAACTTACAAATTGTATGATATATTGTTTGCAGAGATAGAGAGAGAGATAGAGAGAGAGAGAGAGAGAGAGAGAGAGAGAGAGAGAGAGAGAGAGAGAGAGAGAGAGAGAGAGAGAGAGAAAGAGAGAGAGAGAAGAGAGAGAGAGAGAGTCATTTAGACAATGATTGTTCAATCATTTCATCACTTGATTTGTTTTGTTCTTCATTTCAGACACTGAGACGTGATTTGTGTGACAAACCTATTGAATGAAATTCAAAGTTTGTAAACAATGTGTTGAAGACGAGTGTCACCGAAGTATCACTGAAATGGCCGAAAAGCCCGACGACTTCAATATGCCGGTCAATAACATCGCTGCCATCATAAAGGAGTGTTTGCCTAATGGTGTGACCGGTAGGACAACTCATTTGATTATATCTTCATTTGACTTGAATTTGCTTTGATTTGTACTCCAAGTTAGTCAAGATGTAAGAAGTGCTGTATCCAGAAGTGCCTCCATATTCATCCTTTATGTAACCACTTGTGCCAACTCTATAGCCAATGAACATAAACGCAAGACATTGACACCAAATGATATCATTGAAGCCATCAATCAAATTGGTTTCAATGAGTTTACCGATGAGTTACAAGAGTTATACAAAAGCTTACAAAAAGGCAAACAAAACAAAGATAAAGACAAATCCAAGAATACAAACAGTGATAAAGTTATGGAAAAAATGGATGAATTAAATGATGACAAAGAAGAAGAAGACGAAGAAGAAGAAGAAAGTGATGATTAAATTTTACTCGTGTTTGCAATCAGACAACAATATCAATCATATCATTCATATTAATAATGATTTATATTTACATTAAATAAATTTTTAATGTTTTTTATTATTTAATAAGATTTAAATGCTTTATTTAAATGTATTAATTTATTCAAATGTACACTACGTTTATTAGGTTTTATTAAATAAAAATTAATTTACGGTAAAAATAAGTTGAATTAAACATTCACTACAATACATTACATACTGTAATATTATTGAATGATATAAATAGTAGTATAAGTTATTATGTTTTAAATAAATAAAGTAATATTTAGTTAACAATTTAAACATTTAGAAATATGTAATATAATAGTAGATTATATATATTAGACACGATTTGCCAATTTATTGATTGATATAATAGACTTTAGTAGCACATCCAGCACTACAAGCACTTAAAAAACTTGCAATAAAAATAGCGGCCGAATGACTGCCTACTATATCAATGATAGTTCCCATACATAAAGACAATATGAATTGAGCCAAGAATACCATTGAACCGACAACTGCTATGTCTGTTCCTAATCCTCTTGGTTTGGGTTCACCTGAAAACTAAATATACATTTATTTTAATTTACAATAAATTGAGATTTTAATTAATTAATTAAATAATTGATACCATTTCGTGGAATCGATATTTTGCTATCAATACATATGGCATTGTAAACAATGTTGAGTATTGAATACCAGCGCAAAATGACAGTACAATTGCACTGATTTTACTTCTTGTAATTGCAATGACTAACATTCCTATTGAATATATGAGACCACTTCCTATATATAAAAACTTCGCTCCTATTGTCCAAAAGTTTAGTAAACATTTAATAAAATAGTAAATTTTGAATTGAAAGTTAAAAAAATTAAAAAATTAAAAACTTACCAAAAAGATTGAGAAGAGTTTCAAAATAGTAAGAATAAAGCGAACAAAACATTGAATAGAAAGTCATACAAAGACAACCAAATTTAACACCCGTTTCATATAATTTATACGACTCGGAGTTGGAGGGAGCCGTTGGGTTGCCATTAAATATGGATTGGGCCACAAAATCAGTAAAATATAATGAATAACATATTAGAGACATCCAACTGAACAGATTTGTTAAACAAAGTATACGAAGACAGGTTGGCATTTGGATTATTGAATAAATATAATCACTGAATGTGGCCGTCGATGACACAACTGTTTCAATCACTTCACTTCGCGCTTCAGAACTATATAGAGGTGTCATTTCATGCGATTCTTCAACCAATTGCTCGTAATTTATATTATTTGAGGATAATTGAGAAAATGGTAACAAATTAAACGGTAATTCTTGAAAACTTGTTAGCGTTAAAGTTAAACATGTGATGAAAGCAAATGTTGAAATTAAAAAAACTATTCGCTTGTGATCTGAACCAACAATATCTTCAATGAATTTTATATTTTCCCAATCAATACTACCAACCAAATACCCGATACCCCCTCCAAATCCAGCCGTTAATGTAAAAGTACTCAAACCTATAGCGTAATCGTTATGATTAGTGACTTCAAACAGAAGAGTACGACTCGGGGACTGACAGGCGTCGCAACAAAAGTCAAGTAAAACTGCGCCAAATATTGTCATAAATACAGACAAAGAGTGGTAATTGCTTTTAAAGATTTTTGATGCGATGTAATCACTATTTGGGACTAATATTAATCCCAATATTATACCTAAACTATAGAGAAGAATGAATGGTCGGCGCCTACCGTATGATAATTTGCATGAATCAGACAGTGAACCCAATAATGGAGATACAATTAATCCAAGAAGTGGACTCAAACACCAGACAATAGTTGTATTATTGATGGGAATACCATACGTGAGTAAAGTCGGGATCACGAAAGCAGTTTCCGCTGAATAACAAAATTCTAGTCCACAAACAATACTGCTTAACATTATTAACTCTTTACGTGTTTTTGGTCTCAATATTTCAGATAAAACTTTTGGATCCATTGAAAAGTTTAACAATATTTACTACTATTTTTCGATTAGATGTTAGAGAAGATACTTCAAGTCAAACAATACAGTAGTAAATCAATGAGTCATTTAGTTTTATACATAGATATTATCATCGATTGATATATGAAACTAAATGACTTCAAATGTTTGCTATTAATATTTTGTGACAAAATTCAAGAATTAACGATTTAAGACAACTCAGAGTCACTCTTTGTATAACTTCATTGACTTAATTGGTTTCTTAAGCTATTAATGTCTGTACTTATAATTAATTAATCATTCAATTATTTTTGACACATATTCTCCTAAGAATTAAACATATTTAAGCAAATAATTAATTAAATTATTACTTTCTAAACTAATTGTTACAATACATCACAAATTAAATTAGTTTTGTATTAGTATTTTTCAATATTTTTGTTTATAAAATTAATTACTATTGAATTATATGCTGTTTTTAAAGGTATATAAATTGAATAATTTAAATATATTTAGCAAATATAATAAATAACAATTAAAATAATTTATATAAAAATTGATAATTACTTTATTTTCATTTTTATATTTGATTATATTATTTATACATTATTTATGTTATTTTTAAGAACATCAAAATATATAAATTAATTTTTAATTTATCTATTTTTATTTATATTTGTATTTTATTGAGCGCATAATACTTTTACTTTTTTTTGCAATAATGTTGTAAATTTGTCTTTAAATTCATTATATTTTAAAGACGCGACAATATATATATATATATATATAACTTACATTTGCTTATAAAAATTAATATATTGTTTTAAAAGTACATCTATTAATAATAGATATTAATACTGTACTTGTCTTTTAAGAAATGATTTTTTACAAATAATAGTAATTTTATAAAATGAGTACAAATATTATCAACAAATAAATTAATAATTATTAGGACAACTAGTATCAAAAGTTTAACATTGCATTCATTACATTTTATCGAAATCTTAAATAATTGTTTATGTTATACAAGTATTTTTTAATATTTCTTAATTTTTAAAAATCATAATTTAATCTATAGTCATTAATGATTTACATAATTTGAAAAAATAAAATAAAAAGGTTTGAAGCAAATTGTTGTGATAAAAATAATATAAGTGTATATTATATAAAAGTTAACAAACCGGGAGATCACAAGAACATGAATTGGCGACAAAATTATATACAAAAATGTTAAACTCTTGTATAAACTTATGTATATATTTATATTTTATATACTGTATACAATCAATCAAATAACTCGGTATATAATAATAATAATACTAAAAAAATGTAAATTACATGTATTTGTTTTTTAAAAAATGACATGTTCCCAAATATACTTTCCGATTATTATTTGCATAAATTGTATATAAGTTAACACAAAAAAAATTATTTGTAATTTTCTATTAATATAAGCATTAAAACTGTCTTTTATTATATTAGTTTATGTCTGCACTGCATTCAGATTAGATCACAGATTATTCACAGGTGGGAGAGATAGACAATAGGAAAAGCTTTTATCGTCATCAGTGGTATGACATACAAGAGATTGTATATGACATGTCTTTATAATTTTAAACACAAATAATCCATTCAACAGAAAACTAAGTTTTGAATAATATACTAATAATAATAACTAACTAACAATAATTGTGTTATTAATTAATAGTCAGAAGTGCTATGTATTGCACTATTGATTCCCATCAACCCATCTGTTAAATAGTTTGCAATTATTGTCTTTTTGTATTCAAATGCAATCAAACAATTTGTAAAATAATTATAAAGTCACAACACATTTGTTAGGTATCAATACTATTATTATAATGATCACTAAATGCTAATTAATTTTAAGTCTAAATTGGAGTGCATTTATTAAGAGGTGATTTATATATCTAAGATATGATAATTTAGGTATTATATTAAAAATAATTGTATAAGTATTAACTGAAAGGAATGTATTATTAATCATTAAATGTATTATATTTGAGAAATTTAATACTGTACTTAATTGGCATTATATTTATTAATATAATAGTCTAAATTTTATACTTTTAAACTTAAATTATCGATTGCAATATTATAATAATTATATACCGATAATAGTTTCGATATAAATAAATATAATGTATGCAAATGTAAAGCAAATATAAAGTATTATCACAAAAGATGTGATAATAAATTAATTGATAAGTTGTAGTCTTTGGTTAGAAAATGAGGTAAAAATGGATCAAAAAATCATGACTTGGATTAGAGTAACAAACGCTTCTGCGTTTATATTAACTATTTTCTTGAGAAAGAGATCTAATACTTATTGAAAACCAATGCAATGCAGCTTTCGATATACACATCTAATGTTTTATATAATAATATAAAATCATATCATATGATTCATATGAAAGAACGAGAGAGCTATCAATTGATGAAATTATCAATTGATTGATCAATGAGTTATGATAAAAGCTCTGCACTAATTGGGATTTTTGCATAACTGTTGCTAAAAACGTAATATAAATAAAATATATTATATAAAAAATGGAAGTTAAGTTAAATTAGTTAATGGTGTCTAATGAAGGGTTGGGTCAACCGAACCGTTCCTTGACTAGAAACATGAGCTTCTTTTTGCCCTTATATACCATTTTCATATTTTCAATGAGTGATGCAAACTGGATGTGACCATCGGGTGCCAATAGGAACGTTTCACGAGCTTTGCTGAGGAACTCAATAAAGTCACCGTAATGTCGGGGACTTATATGTGTTAGACGTGAGTGTGTTGTATTCACGTATGCAGTAATGGCTGCGTCCAACAGTTGTCGTAGTGGAGGTCTGTCCAAAGGCAATGATTTAAAACATCTGCGTTTTTCACTACTACATGTTCCCACACCGGGAGCACCAATTGAACAGCGTCTTAATATGTCTGACAATACAGGGGCGCACTGGACATTCTTGACCAACAGTGGTACCAGACCTGACAACTCGTTTTTGCCTAAGCCATGTGCCAGAGCACAAGCCCAGTGGACGTCATTAATCGATGGATGGTTATCGCCATTATATGAAATATGGACTCCTTTAGTGGCTAACACAGCCAATTTGTAGGCACGTACGGGATAACCCCTGTGTTCCATATATCGGGCTACTGTGAACAGTTGTGAACTATTCATAACACCAGTAGCACCGGCTTCACATACAATATGATAGGCGCTCTCAAATGTTTGCTGATCACTCTCGCATAATGTTAAAGCATTTAGAGCACAATTTGGTGGATCCTTTTGGGCGCATTCAAGAGCTAGAGCTCTGGCACAGCTCGATAACTCTTCCTGTTGACCAAAATCAAGGGATAATCGCATAACAGTCGAGTGAGACATTATAGAACTGGCCACAGGACCGGTAGCTTCGGTGGGTGTAAAAAGACACAACCAGTTGGTCATTATATAAATAAGAGAATCGAGACCAACTTCGGTGGCACATGTGACCAGCCATCGAACCATATCTCTTCGACGCCAACTTAATGAGGATAATGTCATTCTCATCACTTGTAGTCCTAAATCAAATGATATGTGTAATAAATTTGGATGTCTAGGACTTCCATCAATAGGTGCGGCAATTCGGAAAGCGTCCTGAGCTAACTTAAACAGTTGAGTTGAACTATGAATGTTACGTAACGCTGACTTTAAAACTAGTCTTAAGCGAGTCATATCACTTTTGGCGGCCGACAACATTGTTGAGGCCAGAGAGCACTGTTGCATCTCAATGTGCGCTAATGTAAACCATCGCGGATATCGTCCCAATACTCCACTATGGATAGCAATACCATTATCATCAATATCGTCGTGATTTTCAAGTATTGGAAGCCTTAAAAGTCAAACAAATTAATTAATGATTTGTCAACACCTTTACAAATGAAAACCTATACCTCATAGCTCTTAAGCCGACATTGTATGCCAACTCAATATCAGAATTAAGTAAAGCGTTAAATAAATATTTGGCAAATGTATGCATCGGAACACTTTCGGGGTGAACACCAGTGCCTAACCCACTAAATGGTCCGCCCTCTAGAAATGTCATTGTTTGTCTACGAAGAACAGATAGTAAAATGCTATCGATTTCGATGTCTTGTAATTTGGCAATCATTTTGTCCTCCTGTTTGCAGGCCTTTTCTTGTGCATAAAAACCGGTTGGCATTAGACGCTGTTGGCCTAAACCAATAAGTCCGGCCTCCATTGCTAATGTTAAATATGTTTCATTTCTATCTCTAGTTCCGGGAACAATCATATGATGATATCGAGGTCTCTCTCTGATCACAGGAACCGTAAGATTTGAACTATTGTTGGCCAAAGACTCTTCATGTAATATTGAAGCCATTTGACTGTTATTATTGGTTGTATTACTCGAATTGTTTGAGATCTCAGTCAAAAATGAACCGTAATATGAGTCCAATGGTTTGCTATCTGAAGTGAGTGATGTTTCAGCTAATGTATCGAATAAAGATCCAATTGGATCAAGTGGATGACCAATCCACCCTTCAGTATTGCAATGTATTGAGTGAGAGGAATGTGTAGTTGATGATGATCCCGATGAAGTGGAAGCTATAATTATATTTGAATTACCGGTACATTAGTTGTGATTATATTAATAATATATTTAATCTTTACCCCCGTGTTTGTAATTATCTGAATGCCAAATGGATTGACAGTCCAATTGATGTTTTTTAAGTGTCCGGACAATAGATACGGCTAATCGAAGGGCTTCCTGTCGGTAACCATGAGATCGAAGAGCTTCAACTCTGGCACAAGCAGTTGGTATGCTCTCTGTATTTATGCATAAATTATATATATATTTATTTATTATATGTATATATTAATAAATTTTTATTTAAATTGAATTTCAAATTTGAAAGAAAGCGATGAGATTTGCATTAATGAAAATATGCAAATATTAAGGAATGCCATATAAGAGCATTGATTTAAATTCAAATTTTTATATATCAGTCGTTTATTCAAATAGCAGAAAATAAGTGATTCTGAAATTTTAATTTTAATAAATTATAATTATTTGCTGACTTTTACATAAACCTTATACATAAACCTTTTATCAAATTTAATTTAATATTCAATTTTTAGTGCAAAATAAGTGAATAAAATTACTATTTTTTTATCTTTAAATAACTAACTCATATTATTTTGAAAACATTTTATAGAGAATTAAAATAAAATAATGAGTTAAAAACTTATTTGGTAAATATGGCATTTTTAGTTATTCATTCATTTTTACAATAATTATTAAAGTACCGGTATATTAATTAATATAAACACTTTCTATATTAACAGGTTAGTCACATCTATTATTTAAATATAATTTATTTAAACATACCGTTCCAAAGTGGATATCCTTGATAGTCAAATGTCTCGGAAGCGTGCGGTTCATAGACAACAACGGGACCGTCGTGTTCGAGGATAAACCTGAGGTGTGAGTTATCCCACTCTAAATGACTGGCTTCCAGTGCCCTATGAAATATAGTACGAGGTAGTGATGAATTTGTATGATTTGATGATCTTCTGGTACTCGAGTGATGTCTGGATAATGCTGAAGAAGATGTCGATCTATTTCTATCTGTTTGTTCTTCTTCATCATCGGATGAGTCAAATATCTGCAGTCGACGCCTACTAAGTGGTCGAAAATCCGCGTCTTCTAAAGGACAGACATGTAATCGAGACCATCTCTCTAATAGCTCCCTCCAGTTGTTCTTATCTGACTGAGTGCTGTGCGGATTGAGAACAACGCAAACCCAAAGAGCTCCCAACTGGTCCCATAATTGTCGACATTTATCTGTCATTGGAGTACCCTATAAATTATATATGAATAATATATATCAGTAAATGAAATGACAAATAAACGGTTAATTCAATAGAACCTGTGATCGCCAAATGGGAAGTCTAGGGTCTGCAAGAAACTGTTCGGTTATGAGTCTCAACATCCGAGAACCGTTAGAGTCCTTAGCCCTCAGCATTTCCTTAACCTAAATATCAATTATTAAAACCATTAAAATTGTGGTCATAATTTAATAAATTGCTAATGAAATTAGTTTAGATTTAATATAAAAATGCATACTTTGGCAAACAATGCGTTGAGCTGTTTGTTTGCATTATAATAGCCCCCTTGAGATAGGTAGGAGCGAACCTGTTCGCTCACTTGCTCCTCATCTAAGTGCCAGCTGTGTTCATCTTCAGCACAAGCACCGGCAGTAGGATCGGGTGCGCCGGCAATTTTGTTTATAATGGAACGGGTCTGAAGTATCTCATCGGCCAGTTTCTGAGCAGTCGGTAATACTTCGGTATGATGTTCGGCTATTAGGTATTGAAGTAATTTTTGTAACTGTTGTCTATCCAATTGCAATAATGTTTCTGTATTATCAAAAAAATAAATAAATAACATTTTCAATAATCCAATTAATCATTGATAACAATAGGTCTTACCAGATATGGGAACCCGAAGTAAAACAGAAGTGGCATTTCTGATACGATACAGCGCCAGTGCGACCACATGTTGGCACCAAAATATATCTTTTGTATCGCAACTACACGTAACTGAAGTTATTTTGCATCTAAAGACAAAACCAAATCAATACAATTAGTTGTTTTATTAAGACATCACTATTTATTCATTTTGATAAAAGCAATGCTTTTAATAACTAACTAATACAACAGTATCTTAACTTAAGATTCAATTTAAAGTAAGTTTCTAAACTTCAAAATTAGTCAACGAATGTTTTAAAAAAACTATAAATACAAATATAAATGTGTTATATTATAATTATATAAATATAACAACTATTTATGCTATCATTTTCAAAATTCAATTATATTCATCTTTATAGTTCACTATCTCAGATGTTTTATTAATATTCAAATAATATATTTATTCCTTTAATACATACATTATTACTTTTTTTAGTTAATTTAAAATTTACAAAATTTCTAAAATATTAATAACTTTTGTATTAATATACCGCATGAGTAAATAAATTACTTGATTTTTCAATGTTTAATTATACTTAAAATAAGATATAAGTGATGGTCGGCTTCAATATAATTATTTTGAACTGAATAATAGTAGTAAAGTAGTAAAACAATTGTGATATTACTGTTAATGGCTTTAAGTGTCTGAAAATAATTTGTGTTTATCGTAATACAAGTAATGGTGGCAATAGTGGTAATACCTGTCAAAAGTGATGGAGACATTGTAGCGCTTGTCTGCCTCTGTATAACCAGATTGTTGTGATGTAGACTTTGTTGTTATTATACCACTTAAATGAAAGCCTGTAATAAATAAAAGTAATCATTTTATATCACATAATATATATCTATATAACTTAAAAATAAATTTAATATATAAAAGGAAACGGAAGGTGTGGACCAATGCCCCCTTTTAACAATTTATATGATCATTGCAACCGTGACGGTGACGGACTCAACTACCTCTCCTGCATCTGCCTCAGGGCCTAACTATACATACAATACAATACAATACTGTACAACAACAACAACTCATTTCAAATCTCAATTGAAAAATACCAGTCATTGAGTCGAACCCGCATTAACTCTATTTAACATTCAATTTAAGAAAATGTGTAAATTGTCAACAAATTTTCAAATATACAACTACTGTATATTAAGTTAGACACTAAATAAAAACATTCAAAATTAATTTATATATTAAAAATAAAACTTCGTTAAATAATAATAATAATATATCCTGAATGTATATATTAGATTGTGGTTTAATTGATATAATTGTGTAGAAACTGGAAAGACATGGATATAATTTAGTATTCACTATAAAGTACACCTGTTTCTTGTTATAGACTAACTACTATCAGTCAGTGTCTGTCCAAAAACAGTATGAGCCGGACGTCCGCTTCTCACATAAATATATAACAAATTTATCTGATTTTACAAAGTAAATGCAATTTATATTTATATCAAATAAAACATTACATATAATACTAAAATTATATATTTTCAGTTTGAGTCTAATTAAAAATTAAAATCCATTATTAAGAAAACACTCTTTATATTAATATATTAATTATATATGTGTACCGTAGGTATGTATTAGAAATCGTTGTCAACATAAAAAATTCATTTAATTTAATTAAAACTTTATTATACAATATTCTTAACGGTTAATGTTGTTATAAATAATAAATAAATTAAGTAAAATATGTATAACATTTCTACAAACAGTTTAAATATTTATGAGTTATTTTTTAAATATTCTGTTGATATCTATGCTGTCATTGATTGCTTTATAATTCATACTTAATTTATTATAAAATCAATAAAATATATTAGAAATATTATAAAAGTAAATTTTTAAAAAATATTTGGACGAAATATTCTGATCACTCCGTTAGGTCTAAACACGATTGCGCCTCAAACACATCAACTTTTAAACATCAAAATTAAAAATTTAAATTAAAAATATTATAAAAAATAATAAAATTTTTATGTCAAATCACATATGAACTATAAATATGTTTTGGACGACAAATATATTGTTAACAATAGAGTCTAATGCAGAAACGTGACGGGTTTGACGTCTTTTATCAACCAAATGGCGATTTTTCACATATCATTTGAATAACAATAAAATAAATATATGGATAATTGGATTAAAGTTTTTTTTGGATTAAAAAAGTTTATGATAGTTTACATATATGTTATTTAAAAAATACACAGTATAACAAATAATATGTGTTTCATAGATATAATTGTTTAAATCATTTAAATGCTTACAATCTGCATACACATTGTAACTACATTCAGTTTGATTGACATTAAAATAAATGATTCATTAATAGTAATATAAGAAATATAATATTATACTGTATTTCAATTGTTTAAGCAAATGAATAATTGATTAACAATTATTGTATTAATATAATGTAAAGTAATTTATATAATTTTATATCATAAGTATGCTTATCATTAATATTTTTCATTATTTCCATAAGCATAATATAAATTCAAATTGTATGAAAATTAGTAGAATTATTAGTTGTAATTAAATTTATAAGTTGATGATAACAATTATATAAAATAAGCAAATAATTATTTAACTCGTTGTAAATATTTGCAAAAATGTGTTTATTAAAAAAATATGTTATAAATTTTTGGCATTTAAATATAGCAAACATATGTATAAAAATAGTTATACTTATTTAAAGATTTAGTTAATTAGTATAAATATAGTTAAGTTTATTTATTAAATAAGATATATATAATTTATATGAATATATGCGATATTTCAAAGAAAATATTTGAATCACTGCTGTTATACTTAAAGCTGTTTCTAATTTATGTGCAAATCTTGATTAGTAATTAATGTTTAGTGACTAAAATTGCAATTCAAATTTTAACAAAACTGCGGCTAAATTAAAAAAATGTTTTATAAGAGAAGTGGCGATCAATAATTGAAAGCTCAATGTATGGATCCATTGGTTGTGAAGTCATTGTTTCACATCTGGATTAATATAAAGGTCTGATTCATCACAATCTCTGGGATTCAATGGCGAACACATGCGCACCGATTGCCGTGCTTTGGGATAACTGAGCTCTCATTCAGTTTGCTGACTGCCTCTCATCATCATAACATAACTCAGCCAAATCTTATCATCAAATATATTAAAAACCATGAGCTATGAGCTCTGGGTCCACAAACTGCTACAATACATACATTGAATTTTATATTAAGCTAACTGTCATTAACGTTTAGTACAGTATATACATAAAGCATTAACTTTTTTCTTCAAATACAACACAAAAACTTACTACACAACAACATTATCATTTTAAATCACTAATATCAAGTACAGTAGTATATATATATATATATGTTTAATTTAATTCAATTCAAAATAATTGTTTTAAAAAACTATCAAAAAAATTCATGAGATAAAAGTTAAATAGTTATAAAATAAACATTTTTTATTTGAAAGACTTATTTATCTAATTAATGAAAACTTGAAAATATCGATGAGAAAAATATTAAAACTGTAAGGCATTTAAATGATTCGAGATTCAGCTATCGATCCTTTAATTATATATATATATATATATATATATTGTAAAAATACTTTTTACAACCAAAATGTCTTTTATGTCTCGATCGGCAAAACATTCAATTGTTAAGCACTGGGAGGCAGACATTGAAACACAAATTATATTCTTTACATTATTCTTGACTTGAGGGCCATATCTAAAATCATGGACCGCCTAATGGGTAGAGGTTTGGGTCTAAAGCCTAATCATAAATATCAGACATTGTGTTTATCGTACATATGTCTCGTTTCAAATATATTTTTAGATTATTTTATGTGTTAACCAAATCAATATATTCTTTAATACTTAATTTAATAATTAAATGGATCATAAAATAATGGGTTAATTAATATATATATATATATTATTGATATATTAAAATAGTATAAGAAGTTGTTGAAAGTGAATGTTTGAAAGTCAAAGTAATATAAGTATGATGTGATGTCTGGCATTCATTTGGTTCTTACGGAATACCAGTCATTGAAGACCGTATTGTTCACAACGGCACCGATAGCTGATAGTTGTGTGATAGGAGGGCACGACTGGTAAAGTACTTGATATGCATTGTAAGTAGTTTTGTGAGCGCTGGCGGCGATTCTCACTTTTAGATGCACTAACTTAGCGTTGGTTGGGCTGAGCACTCGGTCAGGGAAAACAGGACTTACACTACACTACCATAAGACTGTATAAAAACTTGAATAACTAGCAAAATAATTGCAGTCTCTATTTGAATGAGTGCCACAAACACAGGCGTATCCACACCACTACCAAAATATCACTACTTTTATATATATATATATACATACACATACATACACACTATGTTGTATTTATTGCAAATATTTATTGCAAACAAAGACTAACAGCTAGTAATAAAAAATTGAGCAATTTTTTCATATAATATAATATCATATATACAGTATATATATATATATATATATATATATATATATAAATATAATCAACAATATTATAACTCTACTGTTATAAAACATTTAATTTAATTACTCGGTTAACATATAAATTACTAATTCATTTAATTCCTTACTATATTATTGAATATAATTTGTTTTGTTATTTTAAAGTTTATTAAATTATATTCAATGAAAATATCTAATAATGAAATGAACATAATTGCTGCAAATGTTTGTATGAATGCTTGTATTGGTATATTATGGTGAAGATAGACATAGATAATAGAGTATACGTACCGACTTGAAGAACATTGTCAACAGATCCCATTTCAAATAGTCGTAAACCTTTATAAAAGGGCAGTTTCTGAGTGTCACCACAAGCGGCACATTCACTGCTGAGAGAAGAGTACATACAGATGTCTCTCTCATTTCGAGGAAAGGACCAGAAGATAATCCGTCTTTGGACGGGTTCAGGGATTCGTTCATATCGTTCCTCAATCCTTTGAAATGGCACATGAATTGCCACCACTTTTGCACAAATATCCAACAATGTTTCCACTTGTCGGCCATTTCCTAATAGATGATTGCGTGAAGACAATGACGAATGGCTACCGTTGTTGTGATAATTGGTGACACAGTTGTTGTGATAACTATTTAGCCGATAATCCGTACCATTAGTCAACACATTGGACTCAATATTCATATCATTGTTGATGTTTGGGTGATAATTGTGATTCAATTGTGACGATATTCTTCCGACGCGAACACAACATAATCTCTTATTAGCGGCCATTTTAAGACATTAGTATCATTTGAGACATTTATTGACAAATAAAGCCATTGTTTGAGACGATGTCTAATATGACAGGTATTTCTATTTATGGCAAATAGTCTTCACAACAATTCATGTATTGATTCAATTCAAGGCATCGATCGATTCAATTGGTGGCCAATAGTCCACAATATATGATAATCTATGGTTAAGTTGATTAAGTTCATGATATGATGGTTGGCAATGAGCACTGGTATGTGTGTCAGTGTGGACAGTCGTGTTTGGCATCACTTTAGGTCATAATTGTGGCCAAAATTTACAAACAATACAATTATTATAATATAAATAGTAATATAAATACATGTTTTCAATGTATTGACTAATAAACACAAACACAACACTCACTACACAACTGTCGCACACAACTGACTAAACACACAACACATACAACATATACACTACATATACTGTACATACAGTTTATACCAAACACACAGAGCATGCGTTTACTGGCATTTAATAGCATTAATAGTATAGTAATAGTAGAGTAGTATTAGAGTAGTAGTAGAGTCGCTATAATTCACATATAATTCACATTCATTTCACTCCAAATCTCTTTCTCTCTCTTTCTTTAAACTCATTTCACATCACATCTCGTATTCACTGAACTGTAGTTTACTTTTTGCTTTCATTTATACTTATAGACTAAATATAAGTTATAGTTATATATCAAATATTTCTCATTCAATTTCACCCCTTTTTTCAAGTATTTGTCAATAAAATGAGTGTTGTGTTATCAAACACTGTATTTGCAGGTATAATATATATATAAATTCATATAAATTCATATAAATTCATACATATACCTAAATACTATATATCAATAAAAAAAAAGTTTACAAATTATTTTATCGCAATGTGTTTGAGTGCAACCAATTTCATACAAACAGTCAATCAAATGACAGTTTGTTTGTTTTTTGTCGTTGATTTCAACTAAAGCTTAATATACAGTATTTTATTAATTATTATTTGTGATTATAATTTTGATTATACCAATTACTTATAGATTACTTATAATTATAATAAAAGATAGTTTGAGCTACTTTTTTGTGCCAATATTGCACAATAATGCATAAAGTATGATAAATATTTTTTAAAAATAAGATTATTGAATAATGTTTTGTATTATGATATTATATATGATAATTAATAATATTTTTATGTTTAAAATATATTAAATATAAATATTTTTTTAAAAATGCTATAATTATTATTTTTAAGACTATTCAAATTATATTTTTATTTTCAACTTTAAAAATGCTTTTTTAAAGACATTTTTTAAAGAACTATTATTAACAAGAAAGTTACCAACAATTGTAAGTAAATTCGGCAAATAAACAAAAATTAATTTAATTTAATTAGTTTATACGCAAAAGCATTGAACGATTAAATAACTTTATATTTCAATTGATTTATAACTTAATTGTAATATATTGTAAATACAAATTATCTCAACAAATAAATTATTTTGAATTTTAAAAATAAGTTAAAAAACTACTAAAACAAAGTGAAGTCGATTTCGGGTTTGATAGGATTGTTATTTTTTAAATATTCGTATTATATGAATTATATATTTATATATATATATATGCCCTATTATTAAATGTAAATATTCAATATAAGTATTATTTAAAATTTATAAAATATGTGATTTTTTATAATGGTTTGTTATTTTAAAATTTAATGTTATGACAAATATCATAATTTGTTTTACTGTTAATACAGTTTATTTTCATATTATTGTAATTTTCTTAGTATAAGTTGTGAAATAGTTAATAAATGTTGAAATAATTATATTCATTTTTTCAGTTAATTTAAATAAATTTGGAAATAAAGTAAATCAATGCAACTTTTTTACATGTAATTTGTTTCATGTGTACCATTTGAACAGCAAATTTAGTCTATTTATAAATATCATAATACACTATATTTACAAAAATTTTATTTTATTTTTGTTATACAATATTTTTTATATTTGTTTTGTTACTTTTTATAGTTGACTACAGTATTTTAAAATTTAAATTACAGTAATTTTAGATTAGATTAAATATACATATTTATAAATATACTTAATTTTTTTATTTCAGTTAAAAATATTATTTGTGTATAATAAACTATGATAATTGTCTTAAATTATTTTATTTATACAACAAAAAATTATTTTAATTATTATAGTAATTATTTCCTTCTTTTGTCAAAAATATAATTAGCCCTCAAAATATGTATTTATGCTTAAAGCAAACAATTAATTGTAAATTTACGTTTATATATAATACTACCTTTTGTATAATTTCTAATTTTTTATATTATAATATTTTTTAATTTTATATCTAAATGTAATCCCAACCAAATTGGTCATCACTTTAATCTATTTAATGGTTATGCCTTTAGTGTCTAAGCTATGTTGAGTTGTTTTTTAGTTTAATATGTTATGTATGGAAATCTATATTTTTCTCCCGATTACCACTTTTCCTATTGAGACCAATGTCTGATAAGTATAGAAATCTCTAAAGGAATCGTCAGTATTGGTTGTATTGTCGGATGTGTTGTTTGGTTGAAATGTGTGTGAATAGTATGGATCAGATCGCCTACAATGAGTTGGTTCCCAATGGCCTCCACCTTCAAAAACATGTGACAAATGTATAGACTGTATGTGTATTATAATGGTGTGTCTCTTCTTTCAGTACATTCTGTCATATTTCCCATACAAATACAAACACATTTGATATATCGTATATATTTGTAGAGCACTTCCACCTCTACAACCACCTTATACCTCATATGCACCAGTCTATCGCTACTTTCTATTATGAGAATCCCTCGCCAAACACCAGTGACACAGGCATTGGCACTGGTATTGGTATTAATGGTGATGTACAGTACAGTACAATGTAGGTGAATGCCACTAAACTACAAGTGCTGCGCCTTTTGCAGCTATTGCTCACAACTATCAGACTTTCCTATTATACCATTTTTGCCAAAAATCTCTGTCTCTTAGCTCAGCCCTAATCTGGTACTTTCCATTCAAAACTATTTCATTTATGTTTCAATACAATGCAATTTTACTGTTTATATTACTTATTTTTTAGCTATTGATTTACCCTTAAATTACATTATTTTTATGCTATTCTTTTATATAATTGTAACAAATATTATGAAACATAGCTGTTATATATCTGAACGACTTAGCAAATGTTGGCTTAAATAGAAATGAGAAAAACTATGAAATATAGTTTGATTGAAATCGGATTCAATTGAATCAGTGGTTCAAATGAGAATATAGACACTCATATGAATAGTTTGTCCGTTTCTACAGTTCCTACAGTCCCTGCAGTCCCTAAAGTTTGTCTATTATTATTGTTAATACTTTCAAACATGACTAATGTCTGACTGTATGCACATAACAGTTGTTTCTGTATATACTATATATGTGAGGCATTAAAACTTCACTTTTTATTGATTAATGCAGAGATGCTTAATATGCAATCGATATTCTGCTCTAATCCCTATTCATATAAATTATGTTATGTCTTATAACTGTTCATTTATGTAACAATTTTACTATTATTTTTTATTAAATAACTTAATTAAATTTATTATTTCATATTTAATATATTTATCAGTTAAAGTTTAATATTTTACAAAGTTTACAAATTATATAATGCAATATAATATAATCTAAATTTTTATTTAATAATTTATTTAAACTGAATATTTGACAAAATTAAATGAAAATAATATAATCACTTACAATGTTGTTTCTACATAACTTAGACAAACTGTTTTTTTTCTAATTATTATTAATAGTATGACAATTATATTCCAGTGACATTCAAATATAAAAATTACTACTAATATCATATAATGTTTAAAAAGTTAATATGTTAAAGGACACTATAATATGCTGTGTATTTAATATGTATAATAATGTATTTTATAGTATATACTATACAGTATAATAGGCCAACAATTCAATGATAATCAAGTATTTTGCAACAAATATTTAAATACAATTAGTTCTAATAGTAAACTTGGGATAATTACTTCCCAAAATTTAGATAATTAAACATAATAAATAAATGTAAAAGTTTATAATAATAATAATTAACTTAAAACATTTTTTAAATTAAATTATTATTAATAATAATTATTATTTATTATTTAACTAATATTAATACTTTAATTTAACTTAAAATTAACATCTAGAAATGCACAATCATATTTAATGATTCATATAAGCTAAAATAGACCCCAAATAATAATAATAATAATATAATGACAAATACAGTATTGGAGACAGTTTGCAAAACTTGGGAGTAATGACTGAAATGATAGGACTGATCAGCAAATAATTTGAACAATCATTTCCTTGTAATTTTTTATCTTAAGCCGAGATTATTGTCACTATTTTTAATGTTTATTAAAGACATAAAATTTAATGTTAATTTAGTTGTCAAATTAAGTGCAGGATATATGTTTAACATATACTTTATTGTAGTTTATATAGTATTTATATATATAAACTTCCGTTTTAAATCATTATTTACTTATTTAATTATTTAAGGCCGTCATAGTTTTAAGAATTATTTAAATTATTTATTTGACACAAAAATTATTTTTATAATATAACCTGATTAAACTATCGATAGTTCACTATATTTACATATTTAAAAAAATATTATTAAAATATAATATTACTATCGATATAAAATGCATTTACAGTATTTATTTTCTATAATTGTGTAAATAGATTACATACAAATTAATACAGTATACATGTATTACATATATTAGGTTAGTTATGAATAAAATGTTCTTTTATTTAAGTGAATTAAATTTTAATAGATTTAAAATCTTTAAATAATTATATAAATAAAAGCTAAAATAAATTACAGTATATTCAGTGATATTCTAGAAATTATAATATAAATAGTAACAATTACATTAACTTACAAGTTAGTAAAATATTGTACATTATATTAACTTTTTTAATTTAAGTATTAATACTTATTTACATACAATTAATTTGCAATAATTTAGGGTATATTAAGATCCGGTAGACATAATGTTTGGGATCTGTTTCCGACTGCTATCATATGTTATAATAAAGTTTAACGACGAGAGTAACTAAAATATAAGAAAATTATATTCACTTTCGTGACTCGTATTACATGCATTAGACTCGTTGGAGAAAACTGTGTATTATTTTCATATAAATTATATGATATAATATTATTGTTCATAACATACTATAATTTAAACTTTTTTTCAAACATCCTTATCTTGAGGTTAGCAAAGATATAGTTAAAAGATAATAAAAGTATTTTAAGACATAAATATTATTTAAAAGTACTATAATTGTTGTAAAGTTTTATTATTAAATATCTTATTTATATTAAATTATTTAGTAGCAAAAATAAATTAACATTTTTAAATAAGTAATTTTTTTATTGTATTAAAAGTAATTTTTACTTTACTTACCTTACATTTAAAATAAATTTCTGTAGTATAATATAAGAACTAATCACTTAATTATAATTTTTAATAATTATTTGTTATCGGATAATTGTAATTTTTATATTAAATATTTTAAATTTGTTTAAATGCGTTTATAGACAAAATTCAAAATGTCGTTAAGGTGTATGTTTGACAATGCTAGTCTAAACATTTACAATATCTATTTTAATTTTCTACAGTAATTATAATACTTTACTAAAATAATCATTTTGTTTCTTTCAATATATCACTCTTTACATCAAATATCTTACAGTCATTATATCACACGTAGATTGTATTGCTATGAAATGATAGATAACTTATTTTCATGATTATGTAATCAATATTTTATACATATATTGATTTAGAAATCATTATTATATTAGAATAACTGTTAAATTATAATAATTGTATATTTTTCGATTAATTATTTTGCATATTTCAATAATAAGATTATTCAATCAAATATACTATTTTTATTTAAATAATGAAATACATATTAAAAATTTTGGGTCGTTTTATGATTCATACATTTAAAGGTAGGTTGTATTTGAATGATTGTTATCTTTAATTAATGGATTTATGACTAATCGTGTATTATATATATATGAATCTAAAGAGTAGATTGTTTTCAAAAGTTTATTTCTTTAATGGTATAACTATATGACTATAAATGCAAAGATATTTGAGTTAGAAATGGATTTGCATTTTGCTATTCTGTATGTGAAATGCTTTGAACTCAAAGATTGATTGATATTTTTGAAGGAGTAGTGAACACTATATTTACAATAATAAATAGTTCGCAAAAATATTTTTCATATATTGATGTAAAATCCGATTTGAATGTCATTTTTGTCCGCAAAAGAATTGAAATTTTAGTTTTTATGGTCTATAGTATAGTCACTATAGTGTGTAGAGTTATTCGCTAACAATGTTATTGTTATTGAAGAGCCTAAATGGTCTTTGGTCTGGCTATGGGAACAACTGGGAACACAACACAGGGAACAGGTTATCCCAAATATATTGAAAACACTATATATCTAATACTTGTATATACAGTATAGTGTATGAGTGTGTGTGTGCTCTCAATTGTTTGGTCCAAACTGGCCTTAAAGTATAGTCCAAATAACTGGAGTCCTAAAAGTAATGCAAAAGTAAATCTAAAGCAAAGCTAATGCATATAAGCTATTCATGCAATCATAAGATCAGTCATTTGAATATAAATACAAATCTAAAGCTACGGCCAAATGTTATAAATGCCTGCATTGACGGGACTACTATTCAATATGTTAACTATGAATCCCTGTGTAATATATATAGCGTACAGTACACCCATTATTAGCTGTTGGGCTCAATTACATTGTCGGTCAAAGACAAACTATGACAGACTATAGACAACACTGTGCTATCCAATGGATATCATAGTGGACACCAAAGCTACCCTACCATAACCCACACAATATATAGATTTAACATTACGGTACAGTTATACCGACAATAACTTTAGACATGAATACCAGTCAATAAAGACTACAACATTTAAAACGACTGACAAACAAGTTTCTAACCAATAGACGAATAGTATCTTAGGATGACTTCAATAATAATAATGCATTGCTTTCATAGCCCAGACTTTTCACAACAGCTATCAGTTGTGTTGGTCTTCACTGTTTGCTTTGAAAAACCAGACAAGACTTTCAATCTTTTAACTGTAATTGTTGTCAGAGCTGTCGCTTTGATCATCACTGATAACAATCAACTAATTATTTGGCAAAATCTAATCAAATAAACAAAAATTTCAACTAATTTCTAAAATATAAATCATAAATAAAAAATGTGTTATTTATAAATCAAATAATCAAATGATAAAAAGACGAATTTATTTCAAAACAGTTAATAATAATAATCTTTATTTTTTCGTATAATTTATATTTAACTTAAACATTGGATTACTTATACTGAAAGAGAGAGAGAGAGAGAGAGAGAAACCTTCAGGGCTTATGCTCTCAGTTAGTGAGATATAATAAAAATTATATAATAGTAGAAAAATGATGAGAAATAAGGACCGAAATGACCCTAAACTTCCTGTGCCAGAGAGGGCACTGATTTGGCTATGCTTTGGGACAGATGTTTGTTGAGTATAATATTAAAATTAAACCAAAAATAAATACATTTGTTATTATTTTTAATTAAATTTATTATTTTGTTGTAATTAATTTTTTAATATTAAATATGAACCCAAATTGTCATATCGGAGATTACATTTAGACCACTAATCTATATGATATGTATCTGCCGGCTGTACGCAAAATAAAACTTAATTAAAATTTAATTAAATTAGTGTCAAAATTAAATTAAAACCTGTTTCGGATGGTCTGACAATTTTCACTACTTGTCCTCTTTTAAGTCCAAAATAACGGGCGACCGGATCACTGGCTTGTATTCTCATCAATTGATTTTCCTTAAGCTTATATCTTCCCAAAAGTTCTGCCTTTTCTTCAGGTGTCAAAACCATGTGCTCGGGAACTAACTGTTCATTATAGCAAAGTATATAATGTATTACATTAATAAATTGGGATCAGTTATCCTAAATTCAAACAATAAACACCTCGTGTTCAGTAATATTAATAAGTAATTCAGATTCAAGAAACTGTTCCAAAATATATTTGGGGGCCATATCTGTGAGCGCCTGTTTGGCCGAAGGAGTCATTCCCGACTGAACAACAATTATGGCTCGAGTTATGTTCTCCTCTTGCATTCGCTGACAATAATTCTTCACTGTTTTTATACCAATCTTTGGCTCATCGGGAAAAAAGACAAACATTTGATCTGAAATTAATCGTAAGATTACATCGAAATGCATTAATCAGATGAATGTCCAAACCTGTTGGGTCATCGTTATGGGCGACGAGTACTATCAAATCACTTCTGGCCGGATGTCTCTCACTAATCAAAATAAATCAATTAATAATAATAAATATATAAATAATAGATACCTTGGTTTGTCTCCGTATGTCTCTTTGAATTGTTCCAGTGTTTGATCCAACTCTTCTTGTGTCACCAGATATCCTCTGTCGTGACATAACTGACAATCAAATTAAATTCAATTATCAAATGACATATTGGACTAAATTAGGTGATAATACCTGCATAATAGTCCTTCTTATTCGCCACAATTTGTATGTCTCTGCCTCGTCGTCCATCACTTCTTTAATTATCACTAAATTGTATGAAAAATGTCTTAATTTGATACCACTTTTCAAATGATTTTTTTGGCGTAAATAAAGTCACGTTTTTGTTGACAATAGAGTGCAACACATGTTATGCATTGAATTGCATTCATATATAACGTACACTTATTTGCAAACTATAAACGTATGATATTTTGTATAAATTATATTAAATAATATTAATTAAAACTTTACTATTAATACAATAACTTTATTATTAATAAGTCGATTAAAAATTTTTATTATTATATTAAAATATTTAATGATTACATAAAATATTATAAAATTATGTTAAAACAATTCAAACAAATTGTGACATTACAGTAAATGCTATAAATTATCACATCTATGGTTACTCTTACACACTATAAGACAATAGTGCAGTCAATGCACTGATAGACAAAAAATCGGATAAATATACAAATTGTATAAATAATTGAATTTTCTTAACAAATAATTTTTGAAATATTACTACAATATTCCTATATTTCTAGTTATATTTAAGTTATATTAAATTGATTTATTAAATACAAATCAAAATAATAATAGTATAATGCATATATATATTTAAAATTATTTTAACAAAAAATGACTTGCTTAAATAGTTTTATAATTATCATTATATTAAATTTTAATTAATTAATATTCTGTATTTAATGGCAATATTATGAGCAAATTATATTTTAATAACTTTTTTCATTAATTGACAAAATTATACTAATATTCATAATTTTAAAATGTGTTTATATTAAGTGAATTATATAGATGTAGTTTTACGAAATATTAATATATTTAATTATAATTAATTTTTATATATAATATAATAACATATTGTTAATAAGTATATACTTACATATTTATATACAGTATTATTTACTAAATCAATTTATAATTATCTATACTCTTATATAAATTTATAGTGTATTTTAAATCTATCTCTTATTTAAATATTTTTAATAAATATTGAAAAATTGTAAGCAATGTTAAGTTAATTGCAAACGTAATTATAATGTTATTGCAAATTGTTGTCATTTTTATGATTTAATAAAACCCTGAATACGACGATTGCTTTGTAGATAGAGTTTAAATGCAGACAACTATGTGTTTAAATATATTTATTATGATTTATATTATAAATTTATTATAATCTTATGCATAATAAAAGTCGTTAATCGATTAAATATTTAAAAATATAATAAATGTATTACAAATAAATATATAAACAAAATGTAAATTATATTAAAATGATATAAATTATTTTTATTATTAACGAAACTTTTTTAAACATTAATTAAACAAAGATCAACAAAATAGACAAAACATGAATGACCTCTAAAATGAATTAAATTAAAAATAAATAAAGCGTTTAAATAGTATTATATTTTGTGATTAATTAAAATAAAACTCATGTGTTGTGTTAGCCCTCGACTGCCCCTCCATTGGGGTCAATGTGAAGCCTCAAAGGATGTTATAATTGAAAGCCAACACAAAAATTATTTCTCTTTTAAATAATATATATTTTCTTATTAATTGTTTGTTTAACTCTCCAAATGCGAGAACCTTTAAAAAATACATTTCACTTAAATATTATGAGACTGTTATGAATTGTTGAACACTAATGTCGTAATATCTTTGATATTATCTCTAAGCCATCTCTAAATTGAAATAAATGCTGAATTGTTTTCATATTTACTTCAATTATAAGCAAATGTTAGATTCATTGACGAATTGAGACCTCATTTATAATTTAGTGATTTTATCGATGAAATTTAATTCATTTTTATTAGTCACTGAAATTAGGACCATTCAATCAGTATTACCAATAATGTACTGTATATTTATTGTACTGTACAGTAGTATAACAAGAAAATACCATATATTGTAATACTGTATATAATATTAGGCTATTTTCAATGAGAAAGTAGTTTAGGGGGTATTATCAGGGCGTGGAGGTTATGGTAGCTCTTGGGTTGTATTCATTAATTTATTGTAATCTTTTGAATGATATTTTGACGAATTGATGCATACAATGTAGTAATTGATAAAACATTTCTACATTATATACATGTATTAAAAAAGTTGTTGTGAATGTCAATAATTTAGCAATTATTTGAGTGAAAAAACTTTTACAATTATTGTTGATCTCATTGGTAGTCATAAGTTTTAATTATGTGCAAAATATACGGCATTTCAATTTACGTATAAACTAAAGGAAAGTTATGTCACATATTAAAGGAAAGTTGTGTGGATTGGCTACATCTGTGCCAATACAGGAGGTGTCACTAAATGATAGATAGATATCTGTTAGTAAACGATTGGTTGCAAACAAACTTCAGTCAAGTTTATATCAATATTTCATATAATAAAACATAAATTGCTTGGAATTTCCTTTTCAATTACTAACTAAACATAATCTAAGACATAGTCTTCATCATCACATATCATCATCAGTGACATCACTGAGTCCACCATAACAACAGTCAATCATATCTAATAATTACAATCCGTCTGAAAAGTGATGCAATTAGTCTATCAATTGTTTATGTCATTTGAAAGTTTGTCTTATTATACGAGGACTGACTTAAATCAAGGAAAACATATTTCTAGTAAAGTCCACAATATTTTGAAAATATATTTTATATAATTTTATTCATTTGTTTCAAACAAAAATCATTTGTCATAAATCTAACTATAGATATATCTCTTTATGTTTTGAATACAACCTCTTAAATGATTTGAGAGAGTAATAGACAACCAATAGTCACATCAATCGACTCCACTGTCTATTCAATAAGTAATGAAAATATTTATAATATATTAATACATTTATTGCCATAATTGTAATCTTTTATCAAATCTAATAATTATATATTTTTTTAATCCGTAAATAATTGTAGTAAATATAATTAAATTATTATTATTATTAAATATTAGTAGAAATTTATTATATTATATACATATCATAAGTGTATTTTGTGATAATTAATTCAAAAGAGTAATATTATGAAAGTTGTGTCTCATATGAGGAAAGTTGTGTCAAATAATAATAGTTTCACTAATTGTTTGATACGCAGAATCTCAAGCATCGGAGTGACGGCTAAAATGAACGGATCTGTTGTCAACAACTCGACAGTGAAGTCGACACAAATGAACGGTAAATCGCTTTCAAACGAGTCATTGATTGCTAATATCCGACGAGAATATCACGACTATAAGGGCGGTAATCTTGAGCTCACCAAAGATGATACCACAGGAATCGCCACACTTTGCATCAATTGTTTTGAACGAAGAAATGCTTTGTCTGGAGTTATGATGTCTCAAATGGCTGACATTATCACTGAATTAGAAGAATGGACACAAGTATGCATTCAAATATATCCATAATTATATTACAGTTTATTTTAGGTTTAGACACATTGTTTGTTATATTTGTAATCATTTTTAGGGAAAAGCATTGATTATATACGGAAGCAATGGTTTCTTCTCTTCGGGCGGTGATCTCAATACAGTCCGACATATAGACAATTCAGAAGGTGGTCGTCGAATGGCTATTCTTATGCATAACAACTTCACTCGACTTCAAGCCTTACCGTTACTATCTGTGGCTTTAGTGGAGGGCAAAGCATTGGGCGGCGGAGCAGAGCTGACCACAGCCTGTGATTTTAGGATTATGACTCCCGATGCGGCCATTGGTTTTGTTCACATTAAGTTAGGAGTGACCACTGGATGGGGAGGTGGTTCACGATTAGTTCAAATACTGGGTTCATGTAAGGCATTGGACGTAATGATGTCCGGAAGACTAATCAAAGCCGACGAAGCCTTAAATATTGGATACGTTCAGCACATAATCCGTGACTTTGACCCAAATGATTGTAATAGTGTTTTAAATAAATGTAAGGAATGGTTATATCAGTACACCCAACATAATGACCAAACATTACGGGCCATCAAAAGTATAGTAAACGCCGCCCGTTGGCTACCAGTAGAGGAGGCGCTCAAGAAAGAAGTTGATTATTTTGCATCAGTTTGGGGCGGACCCGCTCATCAACAGGCTTTAGCTAAAAATATTAAACATAAATAATTGTTGCTATTATTAATCTATTGTATTATATTATGTATTTAATCATCTATTGTTAATTTGGATTTTTATTAGATTTGGTTTTTAAATAATTGTTTTTTAATGAAATAAAATGAAATATAATATAAAATAATATACAGTTTAGTTATTAATACATATTAGCAGTCATTTGATTAAACATTTAATTTAGAAATGTCTTCATATTTGATGCCATCGACAACACGTCCTTTGGACACTTCTGAATCAATTCTGATTTTCACACAAAACTTATCGTAGTTTACATCGAGAAGTGTTGCCTCTAATCCTCGAAAAAGACCTCTTAATACCAAAACTTTGCGTCCAATTTGCGGAATAACAGTCTCGACGTGTTTTTGATCTAATTTTAAGACATCATTGCTATCGAGTACTCTTAAAATACAAGTATATTTGTCCTCAACTTTTTCGACGACGCCTTTCTTTTTGTAATATTTTTCATCAAAAGAATTGGTTATTATTTTAACAATAATTCCCTTCAAAAGCCAATAATCGTGTTTTTCTGACTTTTGACGCAGTCTTTCCTGTTCTTCAATTATTTGATCTAATGCTGACTTCTTATTATAACTATCTTTTACATTCAATTTTCGTTTCATTGAACTTTTAGATGATATAGAAATGGTGTCACTTTTATCTGTTTTATCCAAAGTAATCAATTTGTTTGTATTCATTACTGACAACTCAGAATCGGTAATAAGTTTTTCCTCGACTTTTCGTGGTTTTAGAGTAAATGTTATTTTTTCTTCTTCTCTTTCTTTTCTTAATTCTTTTTTCGTATCATTTGTATTGTCGTGAGAATTATCACTAGTATTGGTCTCTAATTCTTTGCCTCTCTGGACCTGTTCCTCAATCATCAGTTGCTGTCTTTCTTCATAATCTCTTTCGACTTTTTGTCTCTTTAATAGATTTTTCTGTTTTTGTACTTTTTCGGGATCCCTATCAATATATGTGATAAACCATCCCTTTTCAGTTTGATCGGCCACAACAATGCCTTTCTTTCCCATCCACTTAACCATTCCGGTGAGTGTCACCCATCGCGTGGCGTTCATATGCAAGTGATCTCTATCTTTGATGTACTCCTGATAGACCTGATTGGCGAACACTCTTCTGGTGCCAAATCGTGTCTTAATAAGATGAAGAAAGTCTTTGAGGAATTCTGATGAAAATGCATCCATATATTTGTGTGGATTTTCGGCAAATAAAAGTAGTTGTCTTTGATGTGCTTCAGAGGTTGTGTGACATTTGAAGCCATTCTCGTCTCTACACTGTTTCTGACACATCTGACAAAACCACTTCAATTTCTGAAGACCTTTCGATTTGATACGTTTGCCGATAGCTTTCGGCGTAAATGCTTCGTGTTTTGGCATTGCGGTCACCAATTGATCCAATAAGTGATGCGACAAATGATGAGATAATCTGTGAAATCAATGACAAAGTGTTGACAACAATAATACGTTTGTTTTGCACATCAATAACGTCTACACAATATATGTCTTATATAATAACGTTATGATTGTTTGTATTGGAAATTGCATTCAAATCAATGCATTCATTGCTTTACATGTGATGTATGTATTAGTGATGTAATCATAGCTGAGATGAACATTGATGTCAATAACCCTTATATTTGAAGTGTTGTCCCACTTATGACACCGTTATAGCCGACCATCACTTTTAATGATTGAAAGCTAAGAAGTGACCCCAAAATGATCAGACAGTCAACGATATGACTGATGTATAGTCGACATCACCACTGATCAGACAATACATACTTATTGTTATCAAAGATGTCTTAATTGACTCAATCATCTGATATTAAGTGATATTATTTTATCATTTGTTTATTACTTATGTCTGCAGCGATGGTAAGTCTTTATCATTGAATATACAGTTATTTTTTAATTGATATAAATGTCTTTTTCCATTGAATTGATTTATTCATTGTATTAATATATTAAAACTATAATATTATCATTAATTTGGATTAATTTATGTTATTATGATATTAAAAATACACTAATAATAATATTTTTAAAATAAAAATCTATTATTTTATAAGTGATTAAATTAAAATACAAAAAACTTTATAATTAATAAAATAGTTTTACAACGTTTCAAACGATACATGGGATCAAAATACAGAGTTAGTCGACAAATGTTAAGTATTTGATTTGATTGTCTGAATATATTTTAATGTTAAACCAGTGCCCCATCTCTGGAGGTATCACTTGAAGAAGTGGTTAATTTGTTAGCCATGGCTCTCAATAATCGTTTTCATGAAGCACTGGATGCCTGTGAAAAATGGTTGGTTTTTTGGTTTTATTATAATTTATTTTATAGATTTTAATTAATTTTCTTTAAATTAATAAACATATTATGATTGAGATATTTATTATTGAATACAATTGAATAAGTATTTGACTTTATTGTCAATTAGGTCTCATAAGAGTCTATACCACGCACTGGGAAAGGGAACGCTTTGCTTCCTTAAGGGATGTCTTACCTTAGAAAGAGTAAGTTTATTGTTATTATGACATTATTTCTACAATTTTTTTCATATTTACAATATTTTATTTATTTTCATTATTATTATATGATTATATGATTATGATATATACTTTATTCTGTGTTAAATAAATTAATTGAAAAACTTTAAATTTCCTGTTTTTTAATTTATGATAAATAATGTATTAGTTTGATATGATTTTCAACATAACACCCGATACTTATGATTTATTTTATATAAGTTATATAAATAAAATGTTGGAAAAGTGTTGATTTTTAAAAATTAAAAAAAAAATTAGTGTAATTAAAACATTATAGTTGAATACATTATAGTTGAATACATTATAGTTGAATACATTATAGTTGAATACATTATAATTATGTATAAATAATTTGTTTCAGACTGAGATACAGGAGGCTATGGATGCATTGCAAAACTGTATTGATATATGTTGTCGAAAGATGCGATCGAGTATTACAAGAGTTGTTTGGCGTCCAAATTATAACTATTATAGTGACGGTAATTAACGACTCGTATCTCAAATATCTCACTCTTTTGTACTCTTTATCAGTATTTTCATTGTTGCAAACAATTATCTATAATATATGTTATTGTCTTATGAAAAGAGGAAATACATGCCGAGCTTTGTTACGCCGAAGCACTTCTAATGACAGCTTTGCTTACATTTCTTGAGGACCAAAATCTATTAAATCTCGTTAAGGGAGCCTTTCGTATTAGGAATTGCTATCAATCATACAAGTGATATACATTTCACATATATATATATATTAATACTTATTATCTACTTATGTGTAAATATAATAAAATAACTTTATTTTATTTGAATCAATACAGAGAATGTATGTATATATTAAATCACAGAACTGAATGGAAAAGTGAATCCATAAGAAATCATTTTGAGAGTGGAGTGAGACTGGGAATCGGGACTTTCAACTTAGTTAGTCTATTGATTTTCATATATTAAAGCCATATATTTGTTAATTATTGAATTATATTTTAGATGATATCTCATATGCCAACAAAAGTATTAAAATTACTTGAATTTGTCGGCTTTTCCGGAGACAGAGCACAAGGATTTACAGATTTAGAGCAATCAACTCAATTGACTGAAGGTCTCAGATGTCCATTGGCTGCACTTATAATGCTTTGCTACCAGTGCTATATTGAACATATATTTGGTAATTTATATTTTTTATTTAAAATTGTAAAATTAAAACAATAAAATTATATTAAATTATTAGTATTTAATGATAACTTTAGAGAAATGTTATTATTGTTTGAGTTCATTGACATTATTTAATTTGACCCCTTTTAAGGCTAGGAATAGATGTTTAATATATTGATATATGAACTCACATATAGATATATACCTTTGATATAATTACAATATATGACACTCAATAGCTATACTTATAACTTAATTCTTGTTTTATTTTATTATAAATAGGTTTGGGAGAGGGAGACCTGCAATGTGTGGAAAAATTATTGGATTTTAGTTTAAAAATATATCCAAATGTTTGTATTTTTTCTATTGATATTTATTATATTAATAACACAATAAGTGAAAACAATTTGTAACGTTGTATTGGATTTATAATTATAATATTTAGAGTGCATTCTTCCTGCTATTCTTAGGAAGACTGGAACAACTCAGAGGAAATGTTAAAGAGGTTTTGCATTTTATAAGGTTTTTAAGTATTAAAATATATTTATTAAATTATTTTGGATTAAATAAAAGGCAATTGAAAATTATAAGAAATGTATTGAAATTCAAGACGAATGGAAACAATTTCATAATATCTGTTATTGGGAACTATTATGGTGTCATTCGTGAGTTTATATAATTGCATTAAATTTAAATACAGACTATAAAAACATATGGATATGATTTGTTAAAGAGTACAATGCGATTGGGATAGTTCTGCCAAATATGCAGATATATTGAGACGACAATGCAAATGGTCGCCCGGCACTTATACCTACCAATACGCCACTTACCTGTATATGATTATGATTGAACAAAACAAACCACAACTTAAAGAACAAATAGAGGATCTATTGCGGTATAACTTAAATATTTGTTTATTTTATATTTGAATCTTATTTATATCTGAATATATAATCATCAGAACTGTTCCAAAATTGAAGATAAGATATGCGGGCAAAACAGTTCCGGCAGAGAAGTTTGCGATAACTCAATCAGAGAAATATTTTGTCCAAAATAATACTCTATTATTACCTGCTTTAGTGAGTTTTTATTACATTTTATTTGACTATCTTTTATATGTTATTAAACATTTGTCATAATCGGTAAAATTGTTAGGAATTTCAATATATATGGAATATATTCGCTGCAATTGGCAATTCACCAAAACTTCTAAACCCTATATTAGATAGGGTTGAAAATGCTGTGACTTTACATAAACATGATTTAGGTTTGCTTTGGATTTTGTTTAATACATGAATATTTAGAAATATTAATATATTATTATTATATATAATTATATAGAATTTGAGGAACGGTCTCTTGATAACTATGCTTTGGCACTATTATTAAAAGGAATGTGTATGAGATTTTTAGGCTATCCCTTACAGGTATCACTTTTATACATTATATTATATATATTAATATATTAAAAATAATTTATATGATATATTCAATAATATATATAAAATATGAAATATTATTGTAAAAATATAATTAAACTAATTTGTAAAATAGGCACAACAATGCTTTAAAGGTGTACTTGATTGGTAAATAACTTGAAACTATTTTTTAGATTATTTATAATTTATATTAAAATAATGACTAAAATTAATTAGTGAGAAGCGGATCACTTACGATACATTTCTTGCACCACATTCTGCTATGGAGTTGGGTTTGACTTATTTATCAGTCAATGAGTTGACTGAAGCCCGTGTTTGGCTAAATAAAGCCAGACATGAATATACCGGCTATTTATTGGAAACTATAGTCCACTTTCGGGTTCACTGTGCTATGAGAGTGATTAAATCAAAACTACAAATTGATTTGAACTCATCTCAAGAGTCAACTTCTGTTATATCACCAGTGAATGACAATCAACTGAAAAACACAACTATATTCAGCTCTATATTCACTGAATTGTCAAAAAAGATAAGTAATGTTTCACTTAATACAAGCACTCATAACAAACAAACTGAATATGAAGAGTACTTAAATGGTTATCAAATTAAACTATAATGAATTGACTGATAATTATATTAATTATAACTGATTTTAATTTATAATATAACAGATAATAGAAATATTTTTATATATCTGTATAATTATAACCTAAGATTATTTAGAAAACATGAAAATACTGTTAAATTTTTATAAATGATTGATGTATTAATTTTAATATTATGTTAAATTTAAATTTTTATATGTTAAGAAATTTTGTTTATTTATATTTTAAAAATAAATATTTAAATTTTAGTTAATTTAGTTATATATATATATATATAAAAGTTGGATAAATTAAATTATTATATTTTATCTTAGATTTTGCTATTGTTATTTAAGTTTTTATTATATATATATTATAGATGTTTTACGAATGTATAATTAAAATTTTTATTTTTATAAATTTTTGACTACATTGTATCAAATAATGTTCAAATATTTATTTAAAACATGTTTCAATAACATCATTTTGAATTATAAATGATAAATTACAATATATTAAAATTTGTTATTATGCTTAACATAATATGTATGTATATTTGAATTTATTGTAACTCAACACAACTCTCCATAATATTTAAAATTATCATTTCTAGGGAAGAAAGTAGTGGTAAAAATGCATTATTTATAAGAAAAATAGTAAATTCATGAAAACTAATTTATTAAATTTAATTTACTATATTTAGGCAAATATTAGTTTTCAATAGATTTTGATACGAATAATAGTTTAAATAAAAATATAAACAATTAAATATAATAAATGTTAATAACTATATACGAAAAATATTGTACAGTACATAATACAGTATACATTTTGTACGTTATATGTACTCTATATACTTTTATTTTTAGCTAATATAGGCTTTAATTTTAATATGAATTAATAGTAAAAGTAATTAAATTTTTATTCTAGGATTAATTTATTTTATGTTATTTTTATTAATAAAATAACTAATAATTGTAATTTATAATAATTTATAAAATTTTCCAGCATTTATCTTTAAATCCTAGAAATATAGGACTAAAACAAGAATTTAAAACTTATTGTATTTATAACTCGATTTTTATGATTGACTATACATTTAATTTTCATATTTTATGAGATACTGGTAATCATTAGAGAATATTCAATTTATAGATATATACAACTTTTGATTATTTTAATATTAATAATTATAATTTAATTAACAAACAACTGTTCTAGATAAATTATATTGAATTCAATTTTGTGGTATATTATAATTAAGCATATAATGTAAAATCAAAGCAAACTTAAATTACTATAAATTTTTGAATGCTATTAATTTTTATTAAAGAATGAATTAAATTTTAAATATTCATTTCATATAAATCATTAGATTAATTAATTTTGAAAACATTTTCAAAATTAATTCAATACTTAATTATTTTTGTTTTGCAAATTAAATAAAAATTAATATAATTATTAATATTTAAAATAATTACTATAAGTTTATGTTTCGAAAAAATAAATTATTGTAATTATAATTTAACGGAAGCATATATTTGGTATAATTGCCTAAAAAACTATTATATTTGAACTATTTATTGATCGTTAGGCTTAAAAATCATAAATAAATAATTGAAAACTAAAAGGCTATTTAAATAATAATGTAAAATAATGTAGTCTTAAAATTATAGCATTTCTTATCATTAAAAAAGATTATTTTATATTATAAAGAGCTGAGACACTAAAACTTATACCTAATGTCTATGAATGAGATGATGGAAGACATCATTAGGCAGTTATCATATATTTTGATATATTATGTGAGACAACAAAAAAATGTGGAGAAGGAAAGTGAGATCATTTAAATTATCGTATTTTATATATCTATATATATTGTATTATGTATAATGTGTAGTATATATATATATATATATATAAATGATATATATGTGTGTCATATAATGCTAAATATATGTGAAATATGTATATTAGTACTACAAATGGACTTGACTTATATCGAAACGACTATTTTGATGAGTTTTATAAATATCTTCATAAATGGCACATAAAGTTCTGTGAATTGTTTTAAATGCGGGCCTATTATTAGGTTTCTTATTCCAACACGTTTTCATCAATTGATATATGGATGGCGGACAAGAATCGGGACAATTGAGTATATTTCCATCTTTGATATATTTGACAACTTCCTCGTGAGTCATACCATAATAGGGTTGAAGTGCAAATGAGAATATCTCCCAAAGGAGTATACCATAAGCCCAACAATCAGATTCAATGGTAAATTTATTATAGAGTATAGACTCCAAAGGCATCCAACGGATGGGAATGGCATCGTGTTCTGACCCCTTATAATAGTTAGAGTTATAAATGCGTTGCGAAAGACCAAAATCTGCAATTTTAACGACCATCTGATTGCTAACTAAGCAATTTCTTGTGGCTAAATCTCTGTGAACGAACTTACGGTCAGACATATATACCATACCTGCGGCCACTTGTTTGGCTATATTAACCAAATCCAAGTGATTCATTCGGATATCATTATAGGTATCGCTATTTGGCGCTCTTGTTATGTAATTAGACGGCGAACAAGATCTTAAAAAACTATTCAGATCTCCTCTTCCCATATATTCAAAGAGTAAACACATGGGTTTACCGACAGCGCAAACACCTAACAGTTTGAGTATATTTTGGTGATCAAAGTCTGACATAAGAGATGCTTCTCTTTCAAAGTTAGTCTGAAGATCTTCGTTTGCCTCTTCTTTCAACATTTTCACCGCAATTAATGTCATTTCTTCACCTTTCATAAGATTCGGTGCTTTTGCCTAAAATCCAATCAAATCAGTAGTCAATAATCAAACATTTTATACAACTATTAATATATAGTATTATACAGTATTAATATAATAAATTATAGATAAATATTTTATATAATTTATATTTCTTGGTTATGGATCATTGTATGATATTTTATATGCTATAATATATACCGGTATATAACTTATATATAAATAACATATATTAACAAATATTTATAAATTGATTGTAATTTACTAAATGGATGCAACACTAAAGTTTAGCGACTTTAACATCAATTGTATAATATCATACTGTATTATACTTCGTATAGTATAGTATAGTAATGCATTAATATTACTATATTATGCATATAAAATCATTGTCAAAAAGGTGGTAACTCGTTTTTGGTCAATATCTCTTTAAATATTATAGATAGAAGAAAAATAGTTTTATGGTACCATGGTTTACTGGAACATACATTAAAATTCTATGTATAGCAGCTCCGGGTGTATGGAAAACTAACTGTATCTCAAAAACTATAAGATATATTGAAATTTGGTAATAATATTATATCCCAAATATAAATTCATTTGACAAGTTTTTCAAGATATTTAAGAACAATTATTAAGCATCTAATATAGAATTTAAATAAAATAATTTCATTACAAAATACCTTGACACTTTTAATTTACCACATATTAAATTTTGACAGTTATATACTGTTTATACATATAATGTACTATATTATGATATACTTCAAAAAAAAAAAAAAACATTGTACAACACTATAAATATAATTTTATTCTATCTATAATATTTAAAGAGATATTGACAAAAAACGAGTCAACACACTTTTGATAATAATTTTTATATAAAATAATGAATTATTCATGACTTGAATTGACAATTGCTTTATCAAACATTGAATATTAAATAGAAATTAAAACAATATTCTAATTGAAAATATTTTTAATCCATTATATAACTAAATATTGTTGTAATGTATAATAAATTTGTTATATTGTTATTACAGTACATTTCTATATTACTATTTTATATTTATTAAAATAAGACATCTTATGTTAAACACTAAAAATAGTTTAGCATATATTTGACAAAACAGTACAACAAAACAATTATTTAGTGTATATAATGAAATAGAAAGTAATATTTGTATGAAATAAATTGAGTGTTAATGTAATGCACTAATTAGTAATAAGTGATACTAACCATAAAAACTCTGCCAAAAGCACCGGCACCTATATCTCGGATGTAAATAATGTCATTTCGGGGATACTCTAAGGCTTCTAATTTAGGATTCAATTTGACTGCAGTTGAATGATAAGCAAAATTGGAGGGAAGTTTGCTGAGGTCTATCTCGACATCACAAGTAAGAGTGGCGTTATAGCCTCTCCTCCTGTGCTTATTTAGTCGACACACTGTTAGTATAATTACTAAAAGGCAACCAAAGATTAAAACAATAATTGAAGTCAATATAAGAATAAGCGGCGGATTCAAAGTAGTCTGAAGAGGCGTCGATAGGATTTCTATAAGAGTTGGATCTATAGTTTCGTTATTTGCCACAACTTCTTGATCTAATAGAGTATTATATATATAATATATATATATATATATATATATATAATGTTAAATATAATTATGTTTTATGTCACATCAAAAACAAATTCTTACCACAAGAAGGTATGTAACAATGTTGCCAACGAACCAATGGATCAGTTGTGTAACACCTGTCAAACATTTTTATATAGTATGACATTTATAACACAAATAATTATGATATCAATACCAGGGATGTGGTTCTTCTCCTCCGGCATTTCGACAATAATTTTCAGAGTTCCAGATCTCTGGGAACACAAAGGGTGGCCTATTATGAGTGTGAGGCACTTGACTGTCCCATCTTTGACATGGTATGCCTTCTTTAGTGACATTGGTGTATCCCTGATAAAATCTTCCTCTATTTTTGACACAATGATGACTGACCTGATCGTATTGAATGGTAGTTAGGCTCGCGTGAGAACAGGGAGGGTCTGTTAAGTTGCCATGACTTGGAAGTAGATCACACTCAGGAAGTCGGAAATGTCCGCGAGATTTGAAAAATATTCCCTTTTGTTTGTTATCTTCGAGTAGAGCCCACTCCCGGTTGCAAAGGGATTCCCTTACAGCTATGCAATCCTCCTTACAAAGTATTTTACTGACAGGAGATCCCTGAGTGTAGTGGCACTGAGGAAATGCATAGTAACACAACAAAGTCTCAGCTGCACTACGACATGGCTCCTGAAGTGATGATATCAGTTCTGTCCATAAATTTTGAGCAATCATTTCATTCAACTGAAAAGGAACGCCAAAGTCATCGGTGGTTAAGTTAAAGAAAACCAAACTATTTGGTGGTATATATTTGCGGCATACGGTTCCCGTATAAGGAGCACAGTATGACGAAACCATAGGCTTATTATTATTTGCCGACTCTCTTGTGACCCTCAAAGAAGTCTTGATCGGTGAAACAGTCTGTTCGTTCATTTGTAGTTCAAATAATAAGCTCTGGGAGTCTGGGAATAGACATAATATTGTAAATATATTTTGAAAAAACATAAATTTATGAATTTATTTGCTGTCAATCAAACCATAAAAATATGTGTTTATTCTTTTGCATTATTATCTCATTTTTTACTGTTTTTGTTGGCATTGGTATTGAAATATTTGTTTCCCAAACCACTGAACAGTTAGTGGATTGCAGTTCTCTATCAAAATTCAGATCGATTTGCAACTTATATATAACATTTCACATCAATAGCTGATGTATTGGCACTACACTTAAATATAAAGCATTTAATGCAAGTTATATAATGTTAGATTGAAAAATAAAAATATTTTGCTTAAGCTATGTTAGTATTAATGTAAAGGACTTTTGAGTTTTAAAAATATGACATAAAAAGAAAAGATCTGAACTTTTTATAAGTAATTTCTGCTTCACTTATTATATTAGTCACTCAAATGCCATTCAATAAAATAGAATTCCCACTCAATTTGATCACAATTTATATACAATATATACAATATATATATAGATTATTATATATATAAAGATTTATCAAATAATATATAAATATAATATAATACAAGCATTTCATTTAAACAGCCATTTTTTATAGCCAAAGGCTTTTTAAAAAATTTAAAATATGAATAAAGTCAACAATTTTATCAAATATACATTTATTAATAGAATTTCAATAATAATTATCATTTTATTAAACACAGTTTTATATCTCTATTATATTATAATAAATGCTTTAATTACAGTATATATATATATATAATATATTAAATTCTTAAAATATTTTTTATTAAAAGTCACTTTAAATTGAATTTTATTGAGTTTCAAATAAATATAGTAATATAAACAAAGTTTGTATAATTTAGTTATAAACAAATTTAAATTATTATAAAGCTTTTATGAAAATATTTTTTTAAAAAATAATGTCAAAAATGCTTTAAGGCGTTGTTCACATATTACGTTCGCACTTGAGGGGAGGGGGTCGGCCAAAGCGAACTTTTGCGAACGAGGGGGGAGGGGGTAAAGTCTATAAGAACGTTCGCATTTAAATAATGAATGAATTTAAGGGATTAATTTTGAGTAAACTTAATCCTTTGATAAACGGTTTAATAACTAATTTTGAATAAATATATGACTTTTGAATAATATTAATTTATTTTATTATTTGATTATTTTAAAAGTGAAAATAATTTTATAAAATATTTATTTAAATGGTGGGGGGGGGTTAAGGACATGCGAACGTAATTTTTAAATATCATTACATGCGAACAATTGCGAACATAGGGGGGGGAGGGGGTCTAGATTTTTTAAAAACTGCGAACGTAATATGTGAACAACGGCTAATTGTAAATTTATAATTAAATGTAAAACACTAAATTTTATATTACATGTTTTTACTAAAATTGACATTGATACTCTTCTAGTAAAGATTTAAATAATTTTAATATCATTTTAATTATAAATCTTAAATATAATAAAATTCTGTATTCAATTCATAAGAATTTCAACAATAATATAAAAATCTGAAAATTGTCGGTCATTTTATTCTTAAGAGATTTAATTCAAAGACATTCAAATATATATATATAGTATATATATATTATCATCAATTATCTGGATTTGTAGTCTTTGAAAAATCCAGACATACACTGAACTGAGACAGTAATCCCTAAAATGTTTGTCAAAATTTTACATTAATTATTGATTTATGGTTTAACACATGAATTATTTCAAAAAAGTTTATAATTAATTTATTATAACTAAACTATAGTACATAAGTCATCATTAAAATTACTTAAGACATATAATCAATATAATAGTAGAACATAATGTCTAAAATATATTCATACAAATGACTATTAATTAAAAATTCTTAAATTTTTTATTCAATATAATATACAAAATAATACATAATGTATGCGATAAATAAGTTTTTGTGATAAGAAATAACAGATAAAATACAAGCTTTTATGAATGCAACGCAAGTCTATTGCAATTGTATGTTACAAACAAAGTTGACAAAAGACTTGTATGTAAAGAAAAGCTATCGAAGCGTTTAAATTATCTGAAAATGTGAGATATTTTCATATAACTAAACACATCTAACATTTTTATACAATATATAAGTTAAACTAAATCTTTGAAAATAGCGTCAAATAATATTCAATGCATGTCATCAATTGTGTCATAAAATACTATATTTATGAAAACTGAGAAGTCGTCAATAAAATTTTTTAAAAATATTGTATTAAATTGTAAAAATAGTTTACATTTTAAATAAAAATACATTATATGTCAACAATAATTTGTAAAAAATATTATTCATTATAATAAAATAGTTGATAAAAATAGAATAAATATTATAAATTAACTGTTAATATATGTGTAATAAAATGACAAATGAGTAAATCAATGAAATTATTATTACGAATATATTATATTCATATAATTCTATATAAGCATCAAATGATCAGTAATATAATGCAAATGAATAGTAATATCTATAATATTGTGACAATTTATTGCAACTCATAAATTCATACAATAGGTTATAAGTTATACACTGTATATACCAAAAGTGTTATCATTAATGCGAAAAATTGATTATAAAAACATGTTTCTGACATTAAAGGCTTAAATAGATATCTAATACAACAAACCAAAAAAATTAATAGGAATACTATTTTATATAATAATTTAAAATATTTAGTTATTTGTTAAATGCTTTTAAAGTATATATCTTTATCTACATAAAGTTTAAAAAATAAAACTAATAACTAATAATATTCAAGTTTTTGTTGAAATTTGTATTTAGTATTTTTAGATGAAATAAAATTAGCAATTTATAGATTTTTAAATATCTATTAGTTTTCGAAATATAGATAATTGCTGTGTCCGCATACCTGTGCCATATTTCATAAAAAGTAAATATATCAAACTTGTTGTTCAAAACCATAGTTGCAAATAAAAGATTGCAAATAATTGCAAATAAATACATATATAATATAAACTTTAAAAATTAAAATTATTTTATTTCCAAATTTTCGTTTGTCAACTAATCAATAAAAAGTTGTAACTTATGACTAGTGTCTTGATTTCCAACTAAAAAATTATTTTGTCGGTTCAAAGCTTATAACTGGGACTTAGTATATCCACCTAACTTGACCAGTGGACGCTATTTCCGAAATTTTATTATAACTATAAATAACTATTTGTTGTGTTAGAAACTATAAAAACTTATAAATAACTATTTCAGTATTTTTGAAAAATATAAGCATTAAATTGTAAAATTAAGCACAAATATATGTAAAAACAAAAAGTAATAGTTATATAAATTATATAAAATACGTAAACTGTTATTAACTCATATAACTTTTTTAACAATAGAAATAATTAGTTTATTTATATAAATCATTTTTGTAAATATGCTGAAAACAAATGAATTATATATCAGTTGAAATATTTATAAAAAATAAATAACTATTTCAATAACTATTTGGCTTTTTTAGCAACTATATACAACTATTTAATACAGCTTAAATAACTATTTTAAAAACTATTTGACTTTTTTTAGCAACTATTATAACAACTATTTAATAGAGTATAAAAAATTATTAATCAATACACTACTTATGACTAAGACTTTTGTAAAAATTCAATATTAAATAATAAACTAATAATAAAATTTTTAACAACATATCATGAATTCATTGGTGAACAAACAAAATTTCATATATGTATTAAATTTTATAATATAAATAAAAATATATTTTCAAAACCGAACCGAATTTAGTCATAATACCAAAACATAACAAATTATAACATTATAAATAAATTGTAAATTCAATAATAATGCAAATTAATTATATCTATCAATGATACTATCAGATAGCTATAGCAAAAAAGAAAAGTTATTTTAATAAACAATAAAATTTTGTAAATAATTACTCAAAATTTTTAATTAAAAACGATTCAAAAATAATGAACAGAATCGGATCAAAAACCGGTTTCGATTCCGGTTTTTACCTTTTAATTGAAAAAACAAAACAGTTATTTGATTCTCTACTCTATTCAATAATACTATAAAATAGTAGACACAGTATAAGCTGTATTGACTAAACTCAAGAGTTTAGAGCTGACCAACAAATATGTAATTTCATATATTATTCCTTATATTTTATATTTTACGTGACATAACATTTTATATATAAATAGAAAACCAAAATTTTATATAACAAAAAACAAACAATATTATTGTATTGAAAATATGTTATCAGTCATTCAATTTTCAAAACATTCACTATTTTTTTGTTTGGCTTTTATTTGTGGTTTCAAAGCATCAAATGAATATTTAAACAAATGGAAAATAACTGTATGAATGTTAACTGAATTTAAATCAATGTATTGCTAAATCATTTAATAACTGTAAATATATTATACATTGACTAATTTCAATTTCAATTTTATTAATTAATAATTTTTTATTTAGTAAATATCTTTTGTTTTAATGCAAGAACAAACAGTTAGAAAAAAAATCAACTAAACTCTCAAATAATTTTAAAATAAGAATATTGTGTCTAAAACTTTTAAAGCTTTAAGTTTGTTAAATAACCGATATTTTTATATAAATATTATAAAATGATTTATATTAAATTTTGTTTCAAAAATAATTTGTAAGCACTCATATAGAAATTGCTTTATAAAAATAACTATAAATATATTGAAAATAATAAAAAATTAAATAATATAACGGTTTATAACTCGTAAGAAAACATTAATTAAATCGACAAAAGAATTTTGTCGTTTTTTTTGTCTTAAAAATTATATTTAATATAAAAATACTATTCAATACATAAAAATATGGCATTCAATTCAATTATTAATATTTGTCGAGTAATGTGTGCAATATATGTAATAATATAATATTTTGATGTAATGTAGAGAAAATTTATATATTATTTTTTGAATATATGAACACATCTTTAGACCGGAATTGTGTTTATCTGTAAATTTAAATAAAATGCTTTTAATAGTAATAGCACTCAATGGACAACACTATCATAATAGGCATACAATGCTTTTGAAGAGTCATATTATAGATTTTTCTGCACAATTATTTCACATTAAATCTTCATTTCTATTATTTATAATAAATATATAGATATTCACAACAAAATTCATTATCGATCCATGCATTCCACTCATTCATAAACTATAAGCTATATATTGTATTATCTTTAATGATTTAAACCAATATTAAAAGACAATGCAATAAACAAAATGTATTAATATTATGATATAAATTCAATTTTTATATATTAAATAGTACGATACAATTGAGTTAATACAAATTTGTTATTTAATGTGTTATTTGTTATTTCAAAAAATTTTTGGATATTAAAAATGATTGTTATATAACATGCTAACATGTTATATAAAATTAATTGTAAATACTTTCAGAAAAAACTTCATATGTGTATAATGTTGAACAATATCGTCCATAATAGGTATAAACAATCAAAATACTGCTCTTATAGACATTTAAATGAAAAAATAAATAGCAATTGAAAATTAAATGAATAGCTTTAATGTCTGCTTATGTGTAATGAATGGCATTAAAATTGTTGATATAATATAAATAAAATACATAAATTTTTTGATGTATTATTGTATAGTATTATTGTTAAGTGTATATTACAGTATAAAATAGTGTTTTGAATTTAATTTGCAATTAATCAATCTTAAATGATTAATTTAAAATATAATTATAAATACTTTAAAAGATCTTTACACTGCATATAATAATTAAGACAAAACTTAAGTTATGGCAAATTTTATTTTTAGACACATTATCTAAATTGTTGAAATTATAATAACAAAGAATATAAACTTAAATATAAAAGATTTATCAAAAATAATTATTTATTTTTCTAAACTTCAGAGATTTTGCTAACAAATATTAAACTAAAGTTTTTCTATTTCTATAACTATTCAACTAAAAGATTAATCTCAAAATTTTTGCAATAAATATATATTTCTTTTATTCTATCAAATATTGATTTACTTATTTAGTTAAATAACTTAAACTAGTATTCTCTTAAATATAAATATGTTTGTAAAGTGATAGAGAAGCACAATCTGAATATAAAATGAAAAAAAGACACACATTTGACAAATAAAACTGCTTTAAGGCTTAAATTAGACTTTACTGTTGTTATTATTTATATAGTCTTCTTGTTATTCGTCATATTATTAGTTTTGTGAATATTTTATGCAAATAACAGCATTTAGTCAAGAATTGCTTGTATTATGTTTAATATAAACAATAAGACAATAAAATTTAAAATAATATAAATAATATAAATAATATAACACGAAATTTAGTGACTAATCAATCAAAAATAGTTTGATTTTAAAACGAAATTTACTATTGAGTAATTTTTACATTAATTGAATAAAATATAAAATAAAAATCGAAATATCTGTTTATTATTAATTTATTCTAATTTATAGTATACACAGTATTTATATCTGTATAGCAAACTTCAATTTTGAGTGAATCTTAATTAAATATAATGTTTTATATTATAAAAATTTGGACATAAATGATATTTAACTAAAACTGTAGACAGACAACTACTAAACAGTGCAATAATTATATTATAGATTGTATTAAGAAGTTTATATAATATTTGTTTATTGAATTCATAAACAGTAAAATAATACCATTAATATAGTAATTATAAAATTATTGTATAAATCAGTATTTAGAGCAAAGGTGTGAAACAGTCATATTATGAAATTAAATTATTCATTGTGTTTAACAATTATTACTATAAACACTGGCATATATTTATAATTAATTATGTATTAATTATATTACCAAACTTTCTATTGATTAATTCAAATATAATATATTTATCATATGTTTATCTTAAATACAGTAATAATTTAGATAAGAAATTTTATCTTTTAGACAAAAAATCTTAATTGTTATTTTCCTGTAATACAAATTAAGCTAAAAATATCAGTGATTACATGAATTGATACATTTTTTTGTTGTTATAGATTTTGGAGTCAATTGTATATACTGTACATAATATATAATATTCTATTTTAAGGGCTATTTAAATGTGACATATATTATAATTTTGTAACCATAAACTTAACAATAAATATAATATTATTGTATACAGTATTTACATTATGTATGTTGCTTTAAAATATATATAAAATTTTTAAATTTAAATTTCATATTTCAAATACAGGAAAATATAGTTTAATATGAAATATTGTTATTATAATTTTAAATTCTATAACATAAAAACCGTATGATTAATATTGGAAGTAATTTTTATACAAATCTAATGTCATTTGCATTGAAATGTTTTTAATTATGTGAAATCATTTGTTCATAAATGTTGAGCTTTTTCTATAATAAATGTATTAAATGGTTGTATACTTTATATAACAATATAATCTTAAACTGTATAAAATGTGGTTTCAATGTTTAATATAGTTTATGGAATAAATGTTATATAACTATAAACTTTTTTACTTTTTATAATAAAATAAATATATATTCAATTAGTAAATTAAAATGACTAAAAAATAATTTTCAAAAATTATAATTTTATGTCAAAAGAATAAAGACTTTTTTAAATTAAAAAAATTAATTTACTAAAAAATCAATGGGTTATGAAAATAGATTTTTTAAAAGTAAAAATTATAAAATATGTGTCTATAATAGAGAATCGTAAAGATTACTGTTTTCTGGTCATTAAGTTATGACAAAATGTGAAAAGAAGTCAATAAGTTATCCAACAATAATAATACAATGGATGAGATGTTGTGGCAATCGATGTCTTACATGACTTCTTCAATCATTTGATACTCTCCAGAGATTTTCTACACTAAAACGATCAAACCGTTCACTTTGGACTACATTTCAAACATACCGTTTCATCAATTTTATGACTCTCTCTCTCTCTCTCTCTCTCTCTCTCTCTCTCTCTCTCTATTTTCATCATTTGATGCTTTAATTCTTTATTATAAATTTAATAATTTAAAATTCTGTTAAATCCACAATTAAGTCATTTTAAAAATTGATGAAACAAATGATTGATTGTATTCAAGAAATGTGTATTTATTTTCAAATAGTAGTTAATAATATATTTATTTATATAATAAACTAAATTTTAGTACCAATTAGAATATAACCAACAAAATGCTTGTTATTTAATTATAAAAGTAATTTAGTACTAATTAACCATTTATATTTATATTTATACAGATATTACCATTTTATAAAAAATAATATTAATATTACTTAAATTTATAATACTGTAGTATATCGATATGGTATTTATGTACACTTATAACTTATACAACTTATACATGTATACTGTAGAATAGTATACTATTGTACGAAATACTAAAATATTTTGAACAATGTTATGTAATTTACAATAAAATTTACTATTAATATATTAATATTATAAAATATATGAAAAATATACAATTAATTGATACAAACCTTCGACAATAAGACTGGCCTCTGACGAGATAACGACTCCTAAATGGTTTTGAGCGACACATCGATATAATCCATCATCAGTTGTACTGATATTATTCAAAGATAATGAAGCGATTGTATCGTTATGTATCATATGAACTCTTGTTTGTCCCGTCGGACCAATTGGTGTCTCTATTAAAGGCCATCCATTCTTAAGCCATGAAAACTGTACTTTAAGTTCACTTATAGAGTCAATAATACATAAAAACGATATGTTATGGCCAACCACTGCCGTCACATTTTTTGGTCCCACTATTATTTTTGGTCCTATATTACATACAATTAGTTCATAATTAAAAATCGTATAAACTCTTATGATATTTGAAAGTTAATTTGCTTTTTATGTAAAATTAATAAAACAACTAATGTTTTCATATTATACTATAATATACTACAGTAATAATAGAAAAATGAGAATTGTATTGAATGATTTCATTTTATCAAGTATTGTATAAATAAATTAAATTAATCTCTTTTGATAATAGAAATATTTGATTTATAAATAGTCATTTAAAAAGATTAATATATTTATGTCATAAAAAGTGTATGAAATGTAATGTTTATAATATTATTTTACAATATATTGAATCAATACTAATGTAAGGCTTGAAGTTTTATAAGTTATTATATCTATACAGTAGTTATTTGAAAACATACAATACTTTCATTACATTAAAGAGATATATGAAGTGATATTATGTAACTCAAGACAAGTCTTTACACATATTTTTATATTTATGAGACGGAAATGACAACAAACTAATCGAATCATTGACTCTAAAGACCTAATTGTGAAGACATGTATTCATTTTAGAGAAGAGATGTCTAACTATAGGAAACCAAATGCATCTCAAAGTATATCAATTGCTTTTAGCGTTTGGAAAATCACAGGAAATTCATCCGTAAATAATCAACAGTCAGTCAGTCAGTCAGTCAGTCACTAAAAAGTTTACTTAAATGTAAGGCTCGGGAATACTATATCAACATTTGTTGTCATACAATAAGAGATTTATTCAATACTATTGAATCAATAGTCAGTTAGTTATACATTGTGTTGTAAAACTGGTATAATATATGTTGTGTACAGTATTTCAAGCATTTAATACATTGCATGTGTTGTAAAAACATAACAAACAAGTGCAACCACTTTTAAACAATTACTACAAATATGACAAACATTTTAAGCTCTTTTATTGATTTTCAGCTAAAATACATTATTTTAAAATTATACAAGTATTAGCATTATTTTGTTATTTATAAAAACCAATTATTGAAGATTATACTGTATTATATTTACTATATTCAAGTGCCTATCATACTGTACTATATTATACTAAATAGTATAGAATATAAAGGAAAGCGTTTTAAAAATAGCATTCAATTAAATATATAATTTTAATACATATTCTGATAAAAAGTAAATCTACAGCATATTCATTATAAGAGTATAAAGTAATATTATGTACAAAAATAAAATGTATATAAGTTTTTTTTAATAAATTCAATGTAATTTTTGTTAGAGATTTAAGAAACCAATATAAAAATACAATAAATTATAAGTTAAAGTAAAGAAAAAAAGATTGTTTAGTGAATCGACTGAATCTTCTTTATGACGGCTTATCAGTGAAACAATATTTTACATGACTTTACCCGAAGTCTAAACCAAACATTTATTTTCTTATAAACTCATTGTCCATTGAAAACTAATTTTATTCAGAAATCTATTTATTTACTAAAATAGTCTTCAGATTCTTTTAAAATGTTTGAAGATTAATATTTTTATAATATTATAGAGAGAAGAGTCTCTTAAATATTATTATTGCATCAAATTTTCTGTCATTTCTATACTATAAAGATATTATGTATTATTTATGCTTTTTTAAATATTTTACATATGATATAAACATTAATATTGTATTTATTATTAAAAATTTTTTATTTAAAAATATTTAACAAAATATAAAACTCATATATAATATATTGTATTAATATTGTAATTATTGATATTTTGTATCAATTTATTAAAATTATTAATATATCAATATATCAATAACAGTTAACATTAATTTAGGAAAATATAATAAATTGTAAAACTTTTGGTCAAAATTCAGAAGGGAAATGACAACACAGTATTGACCAGTGCTTTGGGGACAGACATAGGAATTGGATGTCCATAACAAATGCTGACATATTTGTGAAAAATAATATTTGTTATAATCAAACACAAAATGCTGCCCAAAGAACAGGCAATAAAGCTATTCAGTGATAATTGACAGCAACGACAGTCAACCGATACCTAAATAGAAAGAGAAATAAGTAGAGAGAGAGAGAGAGAGAGAGAGAGAGAGAGAGAGAGAGAGAGAGAGAGAGAGAGAGAAAGAGAGAGAGAGAGAGAGTCTCATAATGAGAAAGTCATTTCTGTAAAAGTTATATAATATATAATATAATAAAAGATAAAGTTGTGATACAAAAGAAATATATTTTGAATTATGGCTTTTGACACTTATATTAATTATAATCTTTTATTAGTCAACAAATAACAATTAAATACATAATCAAAAATTTAAAAAAACAATTTTATTAAATAACATAAAGAATATATTTTATAAATAAATTTTGTATCTAATATTAATTTAAGATATCTAACATTTATAGTGTTTATTAACTTAATACAACTTTTATGTTAAATGTTTACTAAATTAAAATATAACTTATATTTTACTGTACTAATACAATATGTATTAATATTATAATAAAAATTGAAAACATAAAATTTAAACAAAAATTATATCACTATATAATAAAATTTAAATAATTCAAATCACGTTTCAAAATAACTTATGATATAATTACTGTACAATAAATTAAAACAAATCTAATTTACAATTAGTATATATTAGAAATTAATTTAACATAATTTAAATATATAATTGGATTTTAAATATTTTTCAAAAGCTTATGAGTAGATAGACTTATATTTATAAATATAGTCGAATAGCGTAACGAATGTGGAAATGCAAACAATAGAAATAGAAATATGAATTGATGAAGAAAATACGTTAGGGGCAATTCACATGTTACGTTCGCACTTTTTTAACAAATATAGACCCCCTCTCTCCCCTAATGTTCGCAATTGTATCATGTAGTCATTTTAAAAATGTCCCTAACCGCTACGCCCCCACAATTAGGAAATAAAATATTATATAAATACGAACGCTCTTAAGGTCTCTACCCCTTCCCTTCTCCTCGTTCGCAAAAGTTCGTTTTGGCCGACCACCCCCTCCCCTCAAGTGCGAACGTAATATGTGAATCTCCCCTTAACAAAAATAATAGGTATGAGCCTATGATATGAGCTCCGGGATTATAGACTTACACACACACAGACATACAGTCAGACAAATAGTTGTTTTAAAAGACTGTGTTTCACACTGTGTGTCAAATTTATTACAAACATTGCTTTCATATACAGTATATGATTCAATGCATCACTGGTTTTGTTGATCTTTAGTTAAGAACTGATTTAAGAAAACTATGAATTATTATATCAACAAAATTGTCAATCAATTGCTTTTCAATTTACTCACAATTAGAGAAACGATTGCTTATTATCGAGACTTTTCAATAAATACAATCATTATTTAAGACTATATTTATCTTATACTCTTAAATAATGATAAACTAAATACCAAATGTTAATCCAAAATTGATTAGTTTTGGTCGATAATAATTGTAATACTTATGCTTAAATTAAGCCAATACTCAATCACTGGGACACCAAAAACTATTTTTAAATTAAATTATTTCCTCCTATGATATTAGTCTAAATTTTCTATACTAATGATAAATTGAAATATATGTAATCTAATAGGAATAACTAAATATAATAATAATAATAATCATTAATATATATATAAGTTAATCACATAGTAACGGCAATTCAAACATTAATCAATGTGTACTTTAATCTCAATTTTTTCCATAAAATTAAAAAAATAAATAGACATAAAAATCATAAAAACGTCAAATCAATAAAATATTTGTCCTTTTTTATGACAATAACTATTACAGTTATGTCAAAATACTATTTATTCAAAATATGATATTTATTTTTTAAATGATTTAAAATGTTTGCTTAACAATGAAATAGTTGTTTATGTAAAAATATTTGTATTTTATATTTTTTTTAAAATAAATGATTTTAAATAAATAAATATATATATATATATATATATATATATAATTTGAAAAACAAAAACTTTGATTATAAAAATTACAATTTCAGTCAATGATTATAATATGAAACACTATATAATTTTTATAATATGTGGTAAATTAGTTTGTATTACCTTTTAAATTTTAATAAATATCAGATATAGGTATAATATTACAATATCAGTATTATATAATGTAGATATATAAACAACAATTTAATTAAAAACATTTATTTTTAGGTACTGTAATTGAGCCTTGGAGCAAGTTTTAAATTAAAGACCAAAAAACACTTACAAATCAAATATTAAAATATAAATACAGCATTTAATGCAAATTATTTATAAAATTTAATAATTTTTCATTTTTTTATCAAAAAATATATATAATTTGTATATTTTTTATAATATATAACTATTATTAAGTTAACATTTATATGACTCAATAATACTTGATTCAATATAAATAAAAATATTTAATTTAACATTTTAATTAATATGTGATTCTATAAGTAAAATGCATATTAATTTTATATTAATTTATTTCTGGTTTTATATAAAACTATAATTTTAAAACTGCAACTTTTGATACTTTAATAGCCATTTTCAATATTTTCCTCATGAGATAGATAGTCATTTTAGTTGGTCATCCCTTATATTAATACCTTATTTTTGATACTCTATCCAAATCTCAATCCAAGTCATAATTTATTTATACAGATATCGGACAAAAATAACACTTTCAGAAGTTCGTAAAAACAAATCTCTTATTAATTATTATTTCAAAATTGTAAGTAATATTCAAATATTAATATATGTTTATAAGTTATAAATAATAAGCAAATTATTTAAATGTTGGAAATTTTGTATTAAATAGTTTATATTCAATAAAATAAATAATTATTTTATTTATTTATGTATTTAAAAATAATAACATTTAATTATATGATTTTTCTATTTTTTGTTAGCTTTAATTATACAATGATTTACTTATAAAATATTTAGAAAATTGTTTATTATCGATGTTTACATTTAAAAAAAGTTTAAATTTAAATATTTATTTTAGAAAAAAATGATAAATAAATAAAAAATTTCTATATTTTGTGGCAAACTTGTCGACAGTGACCACAATTAAGTAGACATTAAATTATAATATAACTTAAATACCGGTAAAATTGGATGATTTTGTTGACAATTTGCTTAACACCGGAGGTATGACATCAAGAGTTGTCACCAAAATTATAATTATTAATAGTAAAAGACTTCGACCACTATATCAAAGACAACAAAAACAAATCAAACGTTTGTTTTACATATAATTAAAACAATAATACATACGAATAGTATTTATTAAATGCCATTAATTGTCTCAAATAGATATCAATTGTGTCAAAGATGGCCATCACTTCATCTAATCTATTGTTTTTTGTTTTGATGTTAAATAAGACACAAAGTCATTGTTAAGTGTTGGAAGTGTTGGAAGTGTTGGTCCAAACAGACATGAGTGACATGTCATGTGTGGACATGACTTGCCATCAAATGTCATGTAATATAAACACTGTTTTTATTACAATAATTAATACATTATTTACTTTTTGTTTAATTAAAGCTTAAGAATAATAAAAAAACGAATGTATAGTATATTGAAAATACAGTAAATATGAGTCAACTGTTTATAACAACATTCTATTGTATACTAACTGTACTAATGTTGAGTGCATTCAAAGTTCATTCATTTGGAGCTTTCGATCCAATTTTAACTCAGACTCTGTTTTATGTGTTGTTATGACAACATTAGTTAATATAAACATATATAAGGAATACCACAATAATAATGTCGTATTTGAATAAACCATACGATAAACAACAATATGTGTAAAATATTAATACAATTTATATTATTATTAATTATTTGTTTTTATTGTTTTTATTAGACATTTCATGTGATATAAACAAATTAATTAACTAAAAGTAATTTTATTTATTAAGTCTATTGCAATGATTATAGTCTATGTTGTTATTATATAATTTTTATTAAAATATTATAAATTGATTAAATATAGTGTACATTAACACAACTACAGTATTACTATAATTACTATAATTTATATTATTTTTATTATAAAAATATTTAATTAATTTTTACGGTAAATACAGAATATTTGTGTATTTGGTAATCATATCACACAAACACAACGTTATTGATGACTAATATATGAAACCAATGACTCATTGGTGACCACTGTTTACATGACATGACATGTGATGACCGCAAGTGATGTCCACACATGAGTTGTCACTGATGTCTGTTTGGACCAACTCTTTGACAATAAGTTTATGTCTTATTTAACATAAAAACAAAACAATAGATGATTTGAAGTGAAGTGAAGTGATGGCCATCTTTGACACAATTGATATCTATTTGCGACGATTCAAGAGATTTGATAAATACTATTCGTATGTATTATTGTTTGAATTATATGTAAAACAAACGTTTCATTTGTTTTTTGTTGTCTTTGATATAGTGGTCGAAGACTTTTACTATTAATAATTATAATTTTGGTGATAATTCTTTATGTCATTCCTCTGGTGTTTAACAAGTTGTGGACAAAATCAGCCAATTTTGCCGGTATTTATCTTATGTTATCATTTGAATGTCTAATACTTCATATGAAATGTGTCTTAAGATCACAACATTGAATGTGTTGAGCGACACATCAAGCCGTATGAAAATGAAGAAAACATTTTTGACACAAAAATATGGAAAAGTTATGAAATTCATGAAAATGGGAACCATTTGCTGCCATATGTGGGAAACGGAAAGTTTGCAATCGGTGTCCAAAATAGTGAAAATAGTTTTTACATTAAAGGCAAACGAGCTCTTGATTTGAATTTACCGTTTCATCCCATTGTTGACATCGACTCTTTTGGTGCAGATTCGCGTCGTATGTGATAATTGTTAGATTAATTGAAGTGATTTTAATATAAAGATATTGTTTTCAGACGCAGAAATAATACACTTTAAGGATGGGATTGTTAATCGGATTACTTGTTTTGATTATCTTCGGAAAAGTGCATCCATTAAACATACTTTTTATGCCCATCGACTCATACCAACACTTTTTATTCAAGAGATTCGTATAACTAATCCAACGGTTAGTTTAACTTAAACTTTTTTTATAAATTATTATTTATTTAATGTTATATAATATGATACAACAGGATGTGCCACTAATTGTCAAATTAAATAGAAAGGGATGGACTGGCAATTCAAATATGAAAGTACAGTCAATGGTAGTTCCAAATAAGGCTCATAAAGAGTATTCATTACTTGTTGGACAGTTAGATGCTTCCCAATGGGGACGCAGTAATAAAGTGATTGCAGTAGTGATAGCTTATTCTCAACTTTTGGAAACGATTGAAGTGGACAGTCATAGTTCGAAGACTATACTTATGCAAACATTTATCAATTATACCACACCGTCATCACTGTCACAAATTGCCGCAAAAGTGCCCGATCTTAAGGTATCAGTTCGTGAAAATGTGAAAAAAGTGTTGGAATTATCTTCGACTGCAATCGAGAGATATCATATAAATATGTGGAATCAGCTCTGGAATAGTGGTTTTGGAATCAGTTATTCCAAAGCACCCAATGCTTTGAACGGTGATGTTATTAATGCAACACTTTATTATGTGTTGTCACAGAAAAATACATTTCCAGTACATTCAGAGTTAGTAAATGTCATTGATTTTGGACATCCATTATCTCATAATAAAGAACTTCTATATTCACCCGATCACTGCTATACCGGACATTCAACACTATTAGCCTCCACTTTATGGTCTAAATTAGACACTATAAGTGATATCAACAGAATTGCATCCCTATGGCTGCTGACCCTTGAAAAACAGGGATGTCATAATTTGATTAATTCCGGCGCTCAGGGAGTTATGCAGGCAATGGTATTAAGTATGGCTTCTCTTCAATTTACAAAAAATCATTTGGAATTTAATAGCCATCCAAACGAATTACACAGAAATTATTATATCAGAAGAGTTGTCTACGGAAATGAAACACTCATTAATATAACAGTCGCTCTTCAGGACAATAATAAGGCGCAGATATTTGTCTCATTAGAAGCCAAAAATGCAAACAAACACTTCTATGCCTGTGATGGCGGTTGTCTGGACGCACCCATTGGGTTAGTTTTAGTACTTCTTTAATTTTTGTCAATTTATATACTTATGTATCATATATTTAATATTCTAGTTTAAGTTATATACCCAAAGAGTTTCCGGTTAAACTAACTGAGCCAATGACTGCAATTCTATACATAACACCTGATGAACAACACATTAAAGACTTGAAGCATACAATTCACGTAAAGGAGATCATAGAGGCGCCGGCACACGAACACGAGGTCATTGCTGTTCATCGATTTGGCACCAGTTATGGAGGACTTCCCACTATATTCTGGGTTCTCATAGTGTTTCTAATTGTGATATTTCATGTATTTTTGGCAAAATTAATATATAATGAGTATTTCGGCGCTTCTGCCTCTTCAGTGCCTTACGAACGTCTCCGACAAAACAGGTACGCCATGTAATGGTCAACCCATACATCCAAGTCATTCATATTTACTAACAATTCATTGAAATTATATCTCATTTCGTTATTAATTTACACTATAATATTGTATATTTGGTAAACTAAATATTGAAAGGGAATTGAAAACTAGTCTATATTTGTGTACATACAGTAAATAATAAAATTAAATTTATTATTTGTCATTAAATTATTTTTAATTGTTAATAAATAATTAGGCCATAGTTTATCATAATACAAAAATTTGTCAATATTTTTAAGTATAAATCTATTAATCATTTGGTCAATAGTAGTGTACTATTTGTTCGGACATTAATTTCAAAGTTCAATATAAAATAATTAAAATACATATAATATATGGAATGCATTTTTTCTATAAGCAAAACAACTATAAAAACATAAAATTACAATAATGTATAAAATTAAGATTTAGTGTAATTGCTATAAAAAACTATGATTTATATATTTATGGAAGATATGAATGAGATATTTCTGACTAAAAGTTAAGATAAAAACAAATAATATAAATATATTTTGATATTTTAATTATCACTCATTGAGGCAATCGATATATTCAGGTGAGGGGTCATAGTTAGACCTCCAACGCCATAAATTTATTGTATTATCGGATGAAGCGGTGAACACAAGACTTGAATTGGTGTCAATCGAATTGATAGCATTGGAGTGTGCCTTCAATTCACTAATATTATGGCAGTTCTCTGTTGACCAGATCTTTAGCTGACCACTTCTGCATCCGCTGAGCAATATATTGCTATTAGGCATTGTATTCAACGATAGCACCCAATCTTTATGACAATTATTAAGAGAGTGGACTAATCGTTGACTTTGAAGATCCCATTTTTTGATACACGCGTCACGACTTCCCGAGAATAAGAAATCACCGCATATTTTGAGTGCTTCAATGCCATCATAATGTGGTGGCTTTAGACTCATCTTAGGGTTATGTATGCCTCCGACGCCTTCTTGCATTTCAAAAACTTTTATATAATGATCTTTAGATCCCGTTATCACTAAATTGTTGTCAACACCTGCCTCTTCAACAGCCATACACATAATGTCTGCTTTATGTCCAGTATTTAATTTTCCAATACAATGAAACCTGCGATAATATCAAACATATTATATACCATATAAATGCTTAGCAATTCTTAGCAACATGTCTTACATTCTGAGATCCCAAACCCTGACTATTCGGGAACAGGTACTAAATAATGTCGTTCCATAAGTACTTAATTGAACGTCAAGGATAGGTGCTTCTCCCGGTGCTAATTCAAGTTTGGTTGCGTTGAGATTAGCCGAAACATTTTGACTAACAAGACCTGAGGAACTAATGATAAAACTAAATTTAGTTTCAACTGATATTTGACTTTCAATTGTTATGAAATGTTTACTTTAGTGTTTTGATACAACGCGCCGGACTATCTCTAGGATCCCATACTTTAATGAACGACTTTGAAGCAGAAAATGCAAGTCTATTATATTCATTATAGCGAACCACTTGGACTGAGTCCGGGTGATCGTTGATCGATAGGATTTCCTGACCTGTCTGTAGATCCCATACTTTTAAGGAACAGTCTATTCAATCAAATTAAATCAAATTATTAATAATTTCTACTGAAAGCACACAAATTTTATAACTAAATATTTATATTTTATGTAATATGTTTGATAATTATCATAACTATATTATTAATTCAAATGATTATTAACGATGATTGATAAGTGTGTAAAGTGAACTATATCGTTAGGTTAATGTATTTAAGTACTGTCTTTATATAAAGGATATAAAAAATAGAGAGAAAAGATTTACCAGTAAATTAGTATAATTTATAATCTAACAAATAGCATATTTTACATTTTTATACAGTATAATACCGTACATAGTAGTAAAATTCATAACTATTGATATAAACATTAATTAGTTTTTTATAATTTTATTTTATTATGAAAAATAAAAACTATAAATTAATAGAAAACTCTGAAAAAGATTTTTAAATAATTTGTAGGTTTGAATAAATTTAAAATTGTGTCCATAATTATTGTAATTATTAATATGATTACCTTTAGAGCCACTAAAGAGGACATCATTTGTAGCGACAACACTAAGCACTGGTCTCGTATGTCCTTCTATTTGGGAAATAATTAAATGATTTAATTAAAATCAAACATCACTTGTCATTAATTAAATTTTTACTTTAAAAGGATTACAGTAATTAAGTATTTAAACAATTAAGTTATCTATCATTTCTATCATATTATGTTTGGGCGTTCAAAGCTAGTCATCCCACACACGCTTTAATTAAATTTTATTTAAACGATATTTCAAAGCTTTTCTTAAATAATATGTTAAAATAATAATTTGATAATAATCTAAATTGATATATCAATTACAAGATAACATGAAAATAATAAACTCACCGGCAGTATGTGTGCATATAAGTGGTGCACTTTTATCACTTCTACCCGTAAAGGGTACTATATTTCCAGCTCTAAAAAATTATAATTTATTTATATATTTTATAATTTATATAAAATATGGTTTAAGAATGTTATAAAATTAATTTGCAAAAACACTTAAATTATGAACAAACCTATCGATATTGATTTGATTGTTAGTTATGGTACCATTAGTTAGTCTGGAAAAGACATTTTCAATGGCGTCACGATTTCTTCTCTGGACTGAAGGGGATGCGGGAGGTGTTGTCGATTCGTTACTCAATTCCCTGTATAAGTAGTAATGTTATAAATTTTTCAAACATTAAAATCTATAATTTAATAAAAATTAATATATTAATATGGATAATATACTGTATTAGTAACAAACGGAGGTTAATTTTAAGTAATATAATATTAATAATAACAAATTATTAATTATTAAAAACAAATATAAATATGTATTAACCAAAACCATAACTAAATCAATTGATGTTGTGAGGGGTGGGTTTGAGTTAAGACAAACAATAAGCAATAGCTAGTGATGGACAATAGCTTACGTGGACAGCTGTCTGCAGACATAAGTGAGCGGTTGAGAAGAGAGAGAATTTCCTGAGGAGGACAACGTTGTGGTTCTTAACCTCCGAGTCGGGTCATTAAGTATCGGTAAACGTTCATATGTTTTACGTTTGAAAGTTGGAGTATAAAATATTTCAAGTTTTGGGGGATAGAATAGGCAATCCCTGAGACAGTGGCATATTATTTAGTATTCAATTTAATTATTTAATTGCTCTAATATTTATAATAAATAATATTTTAAATGTTATTTTGAATACAAAAATTGGTCACTTTGTCATTTATCACAGCAATTATCAACAACACATACATTGACAACAGGTTTACATGCAAAGTGATTGCATTATACAGTAATTGTGCTTAAATTTTATTTTCTATAAACTATTAAAAATAATGACATGCAATATAGAAAAATTTATTTTATTTAAAAATTATATAAAATAATAAAACTAATTTGTAAATTAAAAACATGATTACAATCAAATAAATGTATAAATATTTATATACTGTATATTACTTGAAGACTAGAATAAAATAATATAATTGAAACAAAATAAGTCTTACTTTAGAGAGGGAGCACTGGGAATACGGGGCAGTTCTGTCTCCTCTGTTATAATATTTGGCGCAATTAAGCTCTGAGTCATGACATCATTATTACAATTATTTTTATGATCCAAAACAGTTGTATTACACGGATCTCCCAATAATTCTATGGGTGTACGAGTGATGCGACGAAACTTCTCCTTCGATGGCGTACTTGTTCTGACCGGTTGAGGACTCGACGGAATCTTAAAGTGATGTTCAAATTCATATGGAATTGGCATTTGATTGTCTATATCTTCATCTAATTTATTATTATCTTCGACCACTTGATTGTTTGCATTATCTATGAAAGTATTATCCAAAACATGGTGAAGAAGTTGTTCCTGAATAAGACTGCTATCGGCTATCTGTTTATACTTCATTTCTAACTCTTTTTTCTCTTCTTCCTTTTGAGTCGCTAACATAGATTGATTGATAGCCATCGCAAATACCTTATTAAACATATATTTCATTTCATCGATATTTAGATATTGAATATATTGTTGAATATCTCCTAAGTCTCCCTCTGCGTCTTCAATCTGAACTATAGTTGACTGCATGTCATCAATATTTTCATTAATATATTTAAGATTTGCTTCAATGGTTTCTATTTCTTCTTGAAGAACGCGAATTTCATTTTCGTGTTTACCTGTTCTTAGGGCTGACTCATATTTTCTGTTTGCTTTATCCAATGAACGACTCAATTGCTGTCTCTGATTAATATATCTTTCCATAGCTTTTTCGTGGACGGAAACACTTGATTTACTTAAAGAAATTTTATTAATTTCAGACTCCAATCTTTGCCACTTCATCTTTGCCGCCACTGGAGAATACGGCAGATTTCGACCTCTTCTACTATTTGCTATACGACCGGCCACTCTATCACTCATTGGATTTACTCTTCTCTTTAAAGCAATACATTCCTCATCCTTTCGTTTTAATAGATTCTTCATTCGATTGCTTTCAACTTCAAGAGTCTTGATTTTAATAGCCTTTTGTCGGTCTTGTTTAGAAAGTTGCGAAATCTTCTTATTTTGTCTGATCTCTGCTTCTCTATGTTTTTGTGTTTCTTCTTTCATTTTTGCAATAATCTTAACTTTTTGTTTTTTCATTTCCATCACTTCATTTCTTAGTTGTCTCATCTGAGCCTCATTGACATTATGGTTACGTAATGCTTGTGAATGTTCGCGTTTGGCTGTCTGTAGTTTTTTCATTTCTGTTTGCAAATTATTCAATTTCTTTTGATATTCTTCCCTAACTTTCTTGGCTTTATCGTCGCCCTTATTGCCCAATGTATTCAATTTTGCCAAAACATTATCTCTTTCAGACTCTGTTTCAGTGATCCTGTTTTGAAGTTGAAGCAGTTTGTCTTCATAGTGTTGACGCATTGATGACATCTTTTTTTGACTTTTTTCTAATTCAATAATAAGTTTCTCTTTGAGATCTATTTCTGATGTCAAAGCCATTAAAGCTTTCTCTGTTTCATCGATCTCTTGTTGAGCCTTTTGGCTTTCATCATCCGATTCTTCACTGCTGTCGTTATCATCTAATTCTTCATCACTCAATTCTTCGTCTTCATTATCATCATTTAAACCATTTAATTCAATATCGTTGCCATTAGTATCAGGAATACTATCCTTCAATATGGATCTCTTTCGCAATTTTGATAATTTCTTAATTTTCTCCACATCTCTCTTGGCTTCATTAATCACGTCATTGGCTGTCTTTTCATCATTCATACCGATGTCATAATTGCCAGTCATAGCAACTGCTCCAACGCAATGAAACGGACTCATAGACATACGCTGACCATTACGTTGAGTTTGTTTTCTTAACAAAGAACAGGTCTCTTCCATTTCAATTAGTTTTGTTCTTAAATCTTCAATCTCTTTCATATACTCATTAACTAATGATGAGATATTAGACTTATCTCCCTTTCCGTCGACATTATTAATCCATTTTTCCACTTCTTTATCGGCTAATACTTCTGCATTTCGTGTGATTAACCGTTCATTAGTTTCTTGAAGAGCTTTTACTCTCACTTTGAGATTCTGCAACTCATTCATTAACATATTGTTTTCGTGATACATATCATTGATTTTTTCAGTGCCGTCGTTATCGATGAGACGTTTTCCCTGTTTATACTCCTGAAGCTCGATCTGCAACTCTTGTATTTCTCGGCGAAGAGCTGTTATAGTTTGACTCGACTTATCCTGATTTGCTGTCACTTTATTTTTAATATTTTTGGCTCTATTTGCATAACGCAATGTATTCAAAGTTTCCATAAAATCCTAATCAATTAAATTAATATTAATGAAAACAATAATAATAACTAAAAAGAGATAATAAGTGTTTAGTTTTGAATGACTCACTCTATCACTAGGGCTGACACAAGCAATCATTAATGTCATACTATTTCCACCCAACGAGTCTTGAAGAAGTCTCGTTAATTTGGAGTCTCTGTATGGAACGTGAGTGGCTTTTTTTGCTTTATCTCCCAGTGCTGAGATAACATTACCCAATGCTAAAAGACCAGAATTGATGGAAATGCCCTCTCGGGCTCTCTCTCCAGTAGCACCCGTCCTTTTGAGTCGTTCAGATCCGGCCAAATCAACAAAATGAAATTTGGCGGTCAATGTTTCAAACTCTTGAGGACCCAAATCAGTATTCATTTGTTCATTAATCTCATCGCCTAATAACTGATCAATTGGTGTCACTCTATGTTGTTTGATATGTAAAGTGAAGATTGCGTGAGAACGAGATGACTGAGCATTCATTTGCGTTGACGCCGTTGTCCGAGAAAGTGCTCCCATTTTAAGACATTGAAGGGTTTCATCAATAGTTTGCACCGGTTTAGTGTTGACTCCATTTATATAAATGCCTCCATTGGAGTCTTCATGGATTTTTATGTGTGAATGTTTTGACCGCTCATCTGCCAAGAGATCTATGATATCTTCATTATAGAGTTCAAGAAACTGTGCGTTAACTTTGAACTCTGGTATGGGTTCTCGTCGATCTCTGGCCTCTTGTTGTAGATCAGCGATACCGAGAAACAAATGCTCAATAGCTCGAGGAATGATTCCCTTTTCATAGGTTGCCGACCCGATATCAAAACCGGTACCCATTGTATAGGTTTTACCCGAACCGGTCTGTCCATATGCCAAGACAGTGGCGTTATAACCCTCAAAACAACTACAAATAATTCAAAAATCAGTCAATCGTTACTAAAAAAAACTATAAAATAATACAATTTACCCGTTAATCAGTTTTTTGACACATTCTTCATAAACTATCTGTTGTTGTGAATTGATGTCAAAGACGTGATCGTAAGTAAATGCTTTGTCTGCTCCGAGCCATACCTGAGGCTCATTAGGTGTTACACGAGTGCATGTCTTACACATGTCTATCACTTCTTTGGGAAGTTGCGGTCGAATCCTGTGTTTTGGTTAATCATAATTGCAATCAATATATTATATGACAAACATATCAATGGCTACTCATGAGTGACATACCTGATCGCAACTTTGACATTGTTTTCCAGTTCCATCATATGATCTCCAGATATGCAATCAATTGATGGTAAAAACGATGTGTTGTTGTCTTTGTTGACACAATTTTATGATTTTGTTTTTACGGTTGGCTTAAGACTCGAGTCTCCACACAATCAACACTTCATTTAACATTTCAATTGATTACCGACTGATGCAAAACAATCACAATTAAAATACATTAAACAAATAAAACTTAATTAAAAACAAATACAGAAAATAAAGACTAAAAGTATTTTAAAAAATCATAAATAAAAGCAAATAAATGTGTGATTTATATCATAATAAACACATTAATTGATTGAAAATATATTGTAGTCTATAGTCTATAATAGAGTTTAGTATTGTTTGGATTATTATTATTATTATTATTATTATTATTAGTCTTTTGAATGCATTAGAAGCCAATGTTATGCGTGAAGTGAACTCTCAGTGAAAAACATTAACACATTTGACATCAGAACACAACTCAACTCATAGAATGAATGAATACAATGATAGCCAATGACGACAACCAATGCATTCACGCATACAATGCATTCAAACATACAGACAGTCATTGAATACATTGAATCCAAACTTTCAAACTTTTTCAACACTTCATACACTTAAGTGACTGTTAGGTAATGTTAGCTAACATTTATACAACTAATTCTATATTTAATATAATATGTTAACCATTAGACAGATATATATCATACTATATTTGGCACATATTTTATTTTATTTATATATTTATTTATTTTATTTTATTTTCATTGATACCGGCCTTGTTTTCAATGTTTTATTTGAAAGTCACTAAACAAGTGTTTATTTGATATCTTCAATTGATTTGATATCTACAGAAGCTGTCAGGTATTACCTGTAGAGTAGCCATAGAAAAGCCGTTTGTCTACCATATGAATGACATATCATATATAATAGGATAATAATGTTAGTTATCGATATGGTTATCAAAATACATTTAATAGTGATTTGATTTACTATTATTATGTAATATTAAAATAGGTTATCAATTATATACATTATTATTATTATTTGGTTATTAATTCATTTACAGTATAATTATATCTTAAGTCGGAATTTTTTATTATATGAAACTTTCAAATATGCATTCAATTTACTATTTTTAAATCATATCTAACTAATAGAGTATTTGTATCACATTTTAAAAAACTAACTAAACTAAAAATATATAATTTTATAAATATTATAATGAATTATGAATTACACGTAAATAAAATCCAAAAAATTATGATAAGTTTTTGTTGTGAAAGACAAATACAGTATTTCATAATATATACCGTATATAATATAAGATTTAAACTATTATACAGAAAACTTTTCACTAAAAAAACTTTTAAGCTAATTATAAATATTGTATTATTATATTAATTAAACATTTTAGATACACTGCTTTTAAAATTAATGTTTAATTCAAAATAACAGTGAATATAATTATTATATAATTTTTTGTTAGTATTGTTATAAATTATAATATTTTGTTAATAACTACCCTTTGTTTAAACATTGAACACTAATATTAAATTAAGAATAACATTAACCCAATTGAATATAATATAATATTAAATAAAGTTTTCAAATATTTATATACTGTAGTGTTATTTAGTAGTATTAATATAATCGCACTATTTATTTTAACTTATATTAATTAATTATATTATAATTTATAAGTGCGGTCACTATTAGAAAAATCTTTTAATCATTATTTTCATTATTTAATTAATAAATTAAATATTGATGGATTAAAAATAGACAAACAAATCAATGAATTTCTCGCTAAATAAAAAGTTTTAAAAATACTATACATTAAAAACATGGGCTAAATCAAAAACATAATGTTTGGTTTGGTTTGTATTATATTATAAGTAAAGATAATATAAATTTATTTATACTTGTATCATATACTCTATTATAACATATTTTATATATTGTATTTATAACTCAATAAATTGAAACATTTTCCTGTTTTTCAAGTTTTATTTCATGTAAACTGCATTATTAAGAAATCATTAATAAATAAATAAATATAATAATTATAAAATATTGTATTAATAGATATTTAAAAGTTAATAGCTCAATGTTTCCATTAATAGATATTATCGACAATATAATTATTTATTTAATATTATTTCAAAAATCTTATCTAATTTTGATAACTATTATAATTACTATTATTATAGTTACTAAAATAGTATTATAAAATTTGACTAATATTGTTGTTTAATTAATATATTACTGTATATTATTTACAAAAAAATCAATTTTATCAAATGGTGGATATTTATAAGCCGACAATTTATTATGCAATAAAAAACAAAAGTCATGCAATAAATTTTAATGTTTAAACATGTTTTTCAAATAATTTATGACTTAACCATCAATTGAGTGCTATATATGTAAAATTCAGTGACAATTGCTATAAACTGTTGGCGTTTTGCGGGGGTTTTCATAATTTTTGGCTTTTATTTTCATTAAATTTATTCCTCATTCCTCTTAAACTTCACTTAATTTTCATATAATTATAAACATTATGGAAAAGGATTTGTATTTTGAAGGACAATCAATATTGAAAAAAAATTTAAACAAAATTGTTGTTAACCTAAAAACTACCGTAATTTTATTAATTTTTAATATATATTTATTTAACTTGAATTACTGAACTTATTATTTATATATTTTTATACTTGTATATGACTATTATTATTAAGATTATCACCAAATTATTTCTTTTATTTACTTTAACAATAATTTATAGGCAAAAATAGATATGAAATGAAAATATTTTTGAATAAGTTTAATTACAAAATTATAATATTAAATAATAAAATAATTAAAAGATAAAATGAATGCTACATATTAAATAAATAGATAAATATAGACGTTTTAACTTATTATCTATTAATCATTTTTCATAGTTACTAAAAAATAAAATAAAATATATGTTTACTTATGGATTAATAATATAATATGAAATTATCTTTATTCATAAAAATACTATAGTATACTATACTGTATATATAAATGTATATAAATTCATAATCTTATTATTAGTAACTATGTGTATGTTTTATTAATATGAAAATTATATTAAAAGGTTCAACAAAAATTAATTAAAATATATAACTTTTAATAATTGTAATTAATTATACATTATTTAAATTATTTGCATTAATTTCATAATTATATAAATTATAACATAATAAAAACATTTTTCATTAAAGTTCAATAACATTTTCTTATATTTTATACAATATATAATTTAACAATTTGTATATTTAAATTATACAGTTATTTAATGACAGCACTGCTTATTCAGATAATTCACATAAAGAATATTGTATTTAATGTTTTGTTTGATTAATAGCTATTATCTAATTATTGTATATAAAATCACGAATAAGTTAATAAAAATATTAAATTGTTTATAAAAATACATACATAATAATAAAGTTAAAATAATTAAATGAAACATAACATTACATAAATGATATAAATTAATATTATAGTCATTGAAATTATATAAAATATTATTATTCTCTAAAATTATATATTAACTTGTTGTTAGTGAATAAAATACTTTAATAAAAAAATTGAATGAAACTACATTATTTGTAATATTATAAAACATATAAACAATTAAATAACAGTTTAAACTTTAAATACAAAATATTCATATACTGTATTTTACACTATATTATATAACATTGTATTTGATTAAGCATTAATCAGAAAAATATTTTTAATGTGCTTAATATACTGTAGTTAACTTCACATATATTTGAAAGATCGTTATTTTAAATAAAATTCAATAAAATATTTAAAAAACTAAATTCGTTAATAACATTAATTGCATTGTAAGTTATATAACAATTGTATAAATAATTGTAATAAACAGATTGACCACAATAGTCATTATAGTTACATAATATAGTTACTATATTAGTATATAATACTTAACAATTAAATACTATTAATAGTATTATAGGAAAACAACAATATTAAATAATTTATATTAAATGTTAGATTTATAACACGGTAGATTTATATACCGTACTATAAAATTAATAAAAAAATAGTTTAAAGCTATATTTAAATTAATTTATATAATAATGAATCAATTGTTTAAGTAAATACAGTATATATTGTAACATTAAAAAAGTTTTTACAAGAGTTCACTTACTATTTTTATCATAAAGTTAAATGTAAAAAATCCAATTTTAATATAAATATTTTATATATAAATTTTAACTCAAATCACAAACTTTAAGGAAATGATGTATAAAATAGATGTGATTTGTTTTTACAAACAAAAACATCTGATAAGTGAATAAAATATTTAATAATTTTGTTTGAAGAGACACTCTTATGAATTAAATAATATGAGTAAAACTATTTCATTGAATGTATACTCTTTACTATTAGAAAATAGCTATTAGACAGTTATGGGATGATTGGGACACCTGTTCAGCACCTGGAGTAAGAGGTGTATCAAATTGATATGAATATCACATTTATTTTACTAAAGTAATTAAAATAAATTTCAATAAGATTATCACTAATTATATACACGTTTTTTTACATAAAATTAATTAATTTCTTTGTTTTATTTATAAAGTTTAATTTTTACATTTTAATATTTAACATAACTATCGTAAGTTTTTGAGCATACAATGAATTAATAAATTATAATTTATATATTATATAATATAATTTCTATTGTAAACATAACTCCATCTGTAAAAAGTTTTATCACATATTTTAAGTTTAACATAAACTTTTGATAATACTGTATCTCTGTATCTAAAATAACATTTTAAAATTATATTTATAAATTTTATTAAAAACTATTTATCACATATTGGTTATACTATAAAAAATATTAAATGAAATTAAATAAATTAATAGATATTAGTTGCCATTTGTCTTGTCTGTCTGTGGAACCAATGTTTACATTGGTTGACATACATGTGTTGCCAATTATTGTCATCAGTGTCTGTCTGGTCACCAATTGAGCCAAACATCTGTTGCAACAATTCATCACTGATTCCAATAAACTTCTTCTTCGTTGAATACAATTTGTCGCTTAAATTTGCTTTCTTTGATTTCTTTTTCTTCATTTTCAATCTCTTATTGTCACTCTTATGATCGTCGATAACATTGTTCTCATCAGTCCCTTCTTCTTCTTCTTTAATGTTTTTAATTTTCTTTTTCTTCTTTTTATTGTCATTCTCTTCACAGTCGCTCTTATGATTGTCGATCACATTGTTGACAACATTTCCTTCTTTTATAATATTTTTAACTTTATTTTTCTTCTTCATCTTCTTCGCCGAAATCTTGTCTTTAATTATATTTTTGTCGTTACTTTTAACGATTTTCTTTATATTCTTGACTTTAGTTTCACACTTATTGTTGTCGTCTTCATTGTCATCAATTGATGATGACTTTTGTCCGTCATTTGTTTGATTATCTTTATCACAGATATGGTTGACATTATTGACACTCTCTTCGTTCACATTCTTAAGTTTGTCTTTCAAGTCTTGACTTTTAAATTTAGTGATAAACTTCTTAATCTTTGGTTTATCTTTCTGTTGCTTCGATGTCATCAAAATGTCATTTTCAGTTGTTATCACTTCGTTATCATTGACACAATTGTTATTAGTGGTCACATCCATCTGTTCCGTGTCACTCATAAGAGCTGATTTGTCACCACTTTGTGTGTCAATCAGCAAATCAAATGATTGACTATTGCTTTGACTGACAATCAAATCGTATTCAATCTGTGGATCAATTGAGTCGTCGCTAAAGTCATCGTCCATTTCGGTCATCACTTGTTGTGTGAATTCAATCAACTATTCATTCAATCGATGAGATTATGAATGACTCGTAAAGAGGTATCAAATGATGACTTGAAATGTCAATCAATTTGTTAATACATTTCAATATTGAGCGCCAATTCTATACATTTAGTCCATTCATAACATTCATATGAAATGTATTTAATTTACAATATCTTCAAAATATTTAAAGATATATATAATTAATAGATAAAAACTCATTGAATCATCAAATGGGGTACAGATTTGACATAAATTATGTAACGAAGTATATGAATGATTATGTATTTGAAAGTACATGTATTTGGTGTATATTATTGACCAATGAATACATTGATTTATATTATCAGTGATGACGTATTGACACGTATTTCAAATATGGCAAAGAAAGGTGTGGTTAGTGTAGTGTTGACTATAATATGACTATAATATGGCAAACAATGACAACATTTGGTGGCCATTGCTGTTGAATGTCAGCCATCATTGTTTGCTTCGCCATCATTGACAACAACACACTTGTATGCCATTAATGGCCGACACAGACGACCAAATAGTTGAGGTCCAAGAAGTCGAGATCGAGGCCATACCCATACACATCAAACATGAAGATCATCACAATCATCACCAAACAGGTCTGACATCAAACACATTCATTGTTTGTCAAAAGCCGACAAATCATATCAACTCTTATATCAAAAAATAACTCTTATTTTCATTTGTTTTCATTCACTGGACATTAAAATCCAATGAATTTGATTAACAATTAATTCAATTATTTATTTGTTTTCAATTGTTTTGTTTTTTTTTTTAATTTTCTGACAAATATTTGCGTCATTTTTTAACATAAGTTTTGTTCAATTTATTCAATATTTATGAATAAACCAAATAATAATAATATTAAATATTAATAATAATAATGAAAACAATGTTTAATACAATGAATGCATATTTTTATAGCCTTTTAATTGTGTGTTTAAATTTTAGGATAACTATTAATGATAACTATTTTTATTTATTTATTTTATTCATTTTATTTACAAAAATTACATTTTTAACAATAATATAAATGTTTATATAAACTAAATAATTATTACAAAATATCAAATATTTTTTTATCATTTTCCTCTTCAAAAATCAGTTGAGCATTGATTTATGTTTATAATTAAATTATTAGTAAAGATAAAAATATTTTTAAACTAATTTATTGGGATTTAAATTATGATAAGTTTTTATTAGTTTAGCATAAGTTTGGTTTAATAACATATGTTTAACATTAATTACAAAACTATTTAATTGTAAGGAAATTTTAGACGTTTATGAGAAAAATAATATAAATAGTGTTTTAATATTAATTGATATAATAATCTAATTATAGATAACATTATTTTATGATAAACTATTTGTTTATAAACGTTATAAATATTTATGAAATGTAATACTGTATTAACAATATATAATATAATGGTTTGATTATCAGATAATCGTCAAATGGTTGCTCTCCAACCCGATGACGACCACTTTGGCCACTGGAATGATGACGACGACGACCACAACGATGTGTCGGTATTCCCGTCGAGTGCACCCGAAATACTGATAGAGACCACTCCAACTAATACAAAAAAGCGTAGATCAGGTATGAAATGTGATTGAATTGAGTATTTGGTTATGATTTGGATAACGGTTTAAATTTACAAATAGCTTCAAACTTGACTTCTGGTACAAAGAGGAGCAACAAAAGGTCGAACCAAAGTGGCGGCGCATCTCTGTTACAGTCCGCTGGACAACGATCTGGTGGTTCTTCTAACAGAAAATGGGAACAAAAACAGGTTCAGATTAAGACATTAGAAGGAGAGTTTAGTGTAACGATGTGGGCCACTGGAACTGATGAAGGTTTCATATTATTTTATTTATGGTAATATTGTTTTTAATTTGATTATTTAATTGCAGAAGAGATAGTAACAGCAAATATGGACGACGACTTGTCTTCGTCATCTCATTCACAATTAAATATCAATGAATATGTCACTGGAATTAAAAAGATCCCCAGAGAAGGGATTCCTGGAGTAGATCTTTCAGATCCCAAACAGTTGGCAGAGTTTGCAAAGTATTGTATTATTTGTTTGTTTTATTGTTGTGTTTGAATAACTGATTTTATAATACAGAATGAAACCTAGAAAACAATCTCTAGAAGATGAGTCGCGAACTATTGCATGTCCTCACAAAGGTATGTACAGTATATTCATTGAGTTATTGACAGTTGATTATATAAAATAATTTGAATGGTATTATGTTTTTGATAGGTTGTTCCAAAATGTTTAGGGATAACAGTGCAATGCGTAAGCATTTGCATACTCACGGCCCACGAGTACACGTTTGTGCCGAATGTGGTAAAGCTTTTGTCGAATCGAGTAAATTAAAGAGACATCAATTAGTACACACCGGCGAAAAACCATTTCAGGTGATCTATTCAATGATATCTTGAGCTGTCATTAATGACATTTGTATTGTATTATGATTTTAGTGCACATTCGAGGGCTGTGGCAAAAGGTTTTCTTTAGACTTCAATTTGAGAACACATGTTCGCATACATACAGGTATTGTATAAATGATATGATTTATGATAATTAACTTTATTATGAATGTATAGGTGATCGACCATATGTTTGTCCTTTTGATGGTTGCTCCAAGAAGTTCGCGCAGTCAACAAATTTGAAGTCTCATATCCTAACGCATGCAAAAGCAAAAGCTAATCAACAACAGAGAATGACAACTATGGAAATACCGATATCATCGCCAACGGGGACGCAGTCCAGTATACCAGAAGTGGGCACCGAGTGCTTCGTCATTGCCACTGCTGAAGAAGGCATTGTTTTGTAGAATCATTGATTCAATAAATTTATTACTATTTAAATATATATATATTATTAATAATAATAATGATAATTCAATATTTGACTCTATTTTATCAATGATAAGAAATTATTATTTTGTAAAAAGTTTTATTTAATTTCCTAATGTATTTATGGATAAATACTACAAAGCAAAAGTAATATTAATAAGTAATATTCTGTATAATATAAATGTATCTTTTTTTAGTTTGATTTCATTTCATGATTTGTCTCATTAACTAAATTAAATTAATTTAAACAATATTTTATTCATATATACAGTAGTTGCCATTGTAATGAGTATATAATTTTGTTAAAAGTTTTAATTAATGCATTTGGAAATTATGTTATCTTTCATTTCATTTGTTTGATAAAACTAGTTTTCATAAGATATTATTCAATCATTTAAATTACCGGTAATTGTAAAGAATAAGTCATTTGTCACAAATGTAAGTATATATCATATATATTGGTTAACATAAAAAACCAATATATATTATGATTACTATACTGTAAATACCACACATAATGGCAATACTTTTAATATTTAAAAAGCTATTAAATGATAAATGACTTTTGAGACAATGGTAAATATAAAATTTATTTATTAAAATAGACATATAAATCAACATTTGAATCAATTTTATCTAAATTTCATAATAATATATATGACAAAGAAAACAAAAAATGAAAACAAAATAATATAAAGAATGTGTCGATTTTGGCCAGAATTGGCCAAACGTTTGACCCGCGATAGTGACGATGACAACAGACCCCAACTCGAGTCAAATGTATTGTCCATATCTTTAAGGAAATGGTTCTGATCTTTGATTTCGTCGCCCATATCTAGAGTCAACTAAAAGGATAATCAAAATAAATAGGTTATCACTAATTGTGACAATTATTGTTACAATTGACGAACCGATTTAAGAGTTCCCACTTTACTTCTGAGTCCATCAATGAGTTGATTGTTTTGGGTCTCCATATCATCAAAACCAGATTCACCGGTATATCCATTGTTTGCTATAAAAGTTAATCAAATTATCACTTCAATTGTTTTGTCAATTCATTTAAACTTACGATTAAATGACTGATGTGTTGTCCGTCTGTTAGCCATTCAATGCAATTAATATTATTATTATTATTATAATAACAATCAATAACTAAATTTCAATAATAAAGTATTTAAATGAATCAATGATTTAGTTTATCACAGAAAACGAGTGACATTTCATAAGATATTAAATTAGATTCAAACATATGTTGTAATCAATAATAACGTGTCATTCAAGCAATAATTGCTTATAAATACAAACATATTATTTGATAACATTATTGCTTAAAAACATTTGTCTATTTATAAACATTGCATTCAAATGACTGTCAATCCATACAATAACTCATATATCATATGAAATAATTATCTATTGTTTTATTTAACACACAATCCATACAATCCTTTATATGTGAGACTTATTAAGCAATAAATGTATTGTTTTTGTCAACAGATAACAAAAAGCTAAACAAAAACATATAAATAATTGCCATTAATGTGACCAAAGTTGTGACCACTGGACAGACATGCGATTCAATGAACGGGAGTTAGTTGTGTATTCGTCGGGTTCGGCAGTCAAAGAGGGACGCATTTACCACAAGAATGCAAACTCCGGCTTCAGAGAAGGTTTGATCATATTTTGAATGACTTGACACTCATCGGTAATTGTGGTGATAATTGTTTGGTAGGATATAAGGAGCGGTGGTTTAAACTAAAGGGAAACCTATTATTTTATTATCGGGTCAATGAATTTGGAGGCGTTTATAATAAAGAGCCGATCGGTGTCCTCATCATTGAGATGTGTCGCGTCCAGAGAGAGGATGACTTAGCGCTACCCTTTGCCTTCAGCTTAAGTATACATTTAATGTCATAATCTCTATGTTAACCAATTAATCAATTGGTTTAACCATAGCTTTTGACAGCGATTTAGATAAGAAACACCTCTTAGGCTGCGCTAACCAAAGACAATGTGATGAATGGGTCCAAGTGTTGAGTCAATGCAGTTATCAAAACCAAAGAAACAGATTATTGGAGTTAAAAAAAGAGATTATGGATATCACCGGAACTGATCCGTTAGCTTCATATTCTTACCAAAATAATGATCAAAATGTTTCAAATGATTCTCATTTAATACAATTATAAGTATTTCAATCAAAAAATGTTTTTTATTTAATATTTTTCTACTATTTTATATTATCGTAAATATAATATCTTTGTTGAACACAACTAATGAATTAAATTATAAAAATAAATGAAAAACAATTGAATCAAATTGTTATTATTATTATTAGTATTATTAGATTATCTAATCACACGATCCATCAGACCATCCCTTAAGCCATCGCTCATCAACTTTATTACAATCAAACAACTCTTTGCCTAATTTTTTGTTAACTTTGTTGTGAATGTGACAAAACCATTGACTTAAAGTGTGTTGATTTTGAGTCTGTGGCGGATCTGTTGTGATATCTTTGCGAAAGTCTTCAGCGCAGTGATCGCACGGATAAAAACGGGAAAATATTTGTATAAATGCTTTCATATCATTTTGCTGTTGAGGTGTCGGGTCTTTCGGGTAATAAGCAGCCATCGTATGCAACAGAGACCACGTATTGCGACCTAATTGGTCACGACTTAGAGGACATTCAATATCTTCGCTTAAAGTCTTAGACTTGATTTGTTTTTGCGACCATTGCTTGAAGTCAGTACAGGCCCGACACGGCTGTGCGCTGCGACCACCGGTGCCATACATATAGTCGTCGTTGTGATTCATTTGCATTAATTGTGGCCATACTTTCAGTTGATTTAATCCCAAAAATGACAACATTATCACCAAATTTAACAAATTATAACTTTTAATAAAATTAATTGACTAATGAAATGCTGTGATAAATGACATCATCTCATCATTGGATGTCATTTAAGTGATAATTCAATATTCATATTATATCTAACATATGATTAATAAATAATGTATTTATTTAATTTGGTAAATGTCTTGAAATATCATTTAAGATGATAAATGTGGTAAATGTGTGGTCACTATGTTTTAGATGATATTTATTACAATCAGTGATGATTGCCATCTACTGGTGATGTAGTGTATGCTTATGGATGTATAACATCGTTGATCAACAGTTTGATGGTATCCATTGGTATCCATAGTATGGAAGCACTGGTAGTTTGTGAGCCAATGGTAACTGAATGGCAATGTATGTAAAGGTGCGCCCATTTGTCACTGCATTCACTCATCAATTGTATGAATGAATGTATGACTCGTTTATTGATCACTTGATCACTGATTTACCAGTGATTTAGACATTTAGATGTCATGTCCGACAATCACATGAATGGTATGTCACTCATCCATAATAACTATCACTTGTGTCTGCATTTGTTAGCCATCACTCACTTGAAGACTATTTAAACAGTATGTATGCATTGATACATCCAATGATGGTCTCTCTAATGATGACTATTATCATTGAATGACAATATTTGACAATAGTTTGCATTAATTGAGACAATAGTGATGACAATTGATTGAAATTGTTATGACTATTGGTTTCAATTGATTATATTAGACATAACTATAACAATACAATATAATGTCATTTTAGTTAAATGCCTGTAAACTAATTAATATCAATTAATATCAATTTGTTTAATATACATATGATATAACATTTTCATATTTAATTTATAGTATAGTTTAGTATCCCATTTGATATTATATATTATTATTATTATATTTTGACAAATAAATGAAATATTTAAATGTGATTATCATAAGTGTTATAATGTTATTGATTGATAATATATATATATATCATATATTAATTAATACAGAATTGATATGATTGTAATTGGAGATCAAATACAATATATGGACAATGAATGAACTATTTTGTATTATATTATTATTTGGTGATAATTTCCATGAATACAATCCAATGGTTATCATATGAAATCATTAGTAGTGTTGACTTAATAGTTAATAATTTAATAATAATAATGAAATTTAATATATAAGAAGTTAATTAACTTATCGATAAACTGGCGAATTATTTGGACAACTCTTCAAACGATTCGTCGTTTTGGAAGACATCTACGTTAAGAATGGCCCGAAAGACAGAGACCAGTCATTACAAGATAATCAATATAGCAGTTGTTGGTCTTTCGGGCACTGAAAAGGAAAAGGGATGTCTCGGTGTTGGGAAGTCGTGTCTCTGTAACCGTTTTATTAGACCATCAGAAGATGATTACAATCCCGACCACATATCCGTTTTAAGTCAGACCGACTTCAGCGGTCGCATAATAAACAATGAGCACTGGTTGTATTGGGGAGAGACCACTAAAACATCGGATGAGGGCTATGAGCTGGCCTTCAGTGTGATCGAGCAAACAGAGTTCATAGACGACGCCTGTTTCCAACCGTTTAAAAGCGGCAAAACAGAGCCTTACTATAAGCGATGTGCTGCTACTCGACTGTCTTCGGCAGAGAAGATGATGTATATCTGCAAAAACCAATTGGGAATTGAGAAGGAGTACGAACAGAGATATCTTAATGACGGTCGCTTCTCTATCGATGGTTATGTTTGTGTGTTTGACGTAAGCCAAGTACAGGGCCGTAGTATTGAACGACAGATTGAATTGACAGCACTTATATTGAATTGTTTAATGAAGACAAAGAAACCAATAGTGTTGGCCACCACTAAACATGACGAGTGTTACGATTTTTATCTAAAAGAAGCGGAAAGATTAGTGAATCGCAAAGAATATAAGGGAAGTATAGTATTGGTGGAAACGTCGGCTCACGAGAACGTGAATGTGGACTTAGCTTTCGTTTGTTGTGCTCAAATGATCGACAGGACTAAAGGCAAGTCAAAGAATGTATCGTTTATTGAGTCGTCACGCAATCGGAAGGATGCGTTGGACAACGCCAATGACGCTTACCTATCACTCATACAAACACAGATAACAGATTACAGAACTTTATGGAACAATACCTATAAAAAGTTGTCCCAAAGTCAAGACTTTATGAACTATTGTGAGCTCTTCGGACAGGACTCAGCACACATGACATTTAAACGTCATATTAAGAAACTTAAAGAAGATTACTTGTGTCGTAAAATGCAGATGTATTTAAGGATATTACCGGAAGTACTTACAGAGCTGATGCCAGATCTTGACACCATTGGTGAACCAACTGAATGGACCACAATTAAAGATCGTATTAGATCTCATCCTGATTTTGACCAATACTTTGTTGACAATCCCGATCAGACGTGGCAAGAGGTATCAGACTTTGATGACGGCTCAGAAACTCGAATTCCTTTTGACCTTTTAGACACTCCAGAAGCAGAACAGGTGTTTGTTGAACACCGAATGAGTCTTGAAAGTGGCGAACGACAAAAGGAATTAAGGCATCAGTTTAAACAACTTTTACAAGAAACGGGTTTTGTCACACCAGGGAAGTCATTAACCGAAGTACGCATTTTGTTTATGGGTCGCGAATGTTATGAGTCTCTCAGCGAACGTGATATTATTGAGATATACGAAGAGCACCAAAAAGACATAACTGATTTGTCAAAAATGAATTTCCAAGAATTATTATTAGAACACTCGAGTTTGTTCTACCATTTTGCAAGTCTTGGACCCGGAAGTGTCATTACTCAGGACGACATCCAAAAGATTACTGAAACTCTTGAGGACGACCATCGATATAAAGCATTAGATCGTTTAGATCAGGACAGGACTCTTATGCTACTCAGACATCTAGGTTTCATTCACGGACCCATTAGAGAGCATTGTCCTGTATTTCCTAATTGTATGGATGTTTTAATTGAAAAATATAACGCATGTAAAGCAAGAAGACCCTCAACTGATACCAGAAATAGTCACTGGTTTTCAGAATCTAATAATAATCACATTAACTTAATATTGTTGGGTTCGGGAGGTCTTAGTGATGAGTTATGTACAGAAATTAAGGTATAATTAAGAATACTTTAAAAATGGAACAATTAATTAATAATTTGTTTAAAAATTATTTAGCAAATCAATGAAACGTTTGAAATGGACACCACTAGGTTTACATTAGATTTTAGGATAATTGGTGGTGACGTTGATTTACCACAAAATGCCTTCCGAACGGTCGACTTTAGTCCAAAGGGATGTTTTTGTGTTTATTCAAATCATCAGACTTTAGAATATGTGAGACAGAGTTTAGAGAAAACATTATTATCAGATCTGGAACAGGAGGACGGTTTACCATTTCATGGTCTTCCTATTGTTATATTATTTGCTGCCAACTCTAATATTAATGAAAAAGATTTAATATTTTTGCGAGAAGAAGGCCAAAATCGGGCCAAAAGTCTTCAGTGTCCATTCATCGATGTCACCAATTTTAATAGTCATTCATCTGATGGTCGTTTTGATACTCAATGCTTAAGTCAAGCATTGCGTGCACTTATAGAAAGCATACAACGACGCGCCGATTTGATGCAAATATATCAATCAGTTTTGCCCGAACAGGCACTCAATCCCGATATCAGAATACTTGTCTGTATGCTATGCGGCGATCCCTTCAATATTGAACACATTATGAGTCCTTTTCTCAATCAAAATCTTTATTACGTGACTTCTTCTCATTCAATAACGATTGAAATTATTATCGGAGAAACAAAGAGATTTGTTGAGTTGGTTTGCACCTCATATCACGGCGCACACGCCTATCGGGATGAACTTCTTCACGGCTTTTTACTCATCTACTCCTGTGGTCGGAAGGCATCGTTTGCCACAATGAGTGCTTTTACAGATAACATTCCCAATACTCCCCTTCAAATTGTGGCCTTTAGTGATACCTCTAACTCTAATATTTATTATTCAAATCATGATTTGGATCTTCAACTTCTTTCTGAAGGCACTAATATGGCCGACAAACTTGAGGCACATTTTATTTCTTCCGCACCAAATCAACAGAAGTCTTCATATTTTATTCCATTTCTCAAAGAAGTTTTTGAAAGAAAACCTCAAATTGAGAAGGCCTTTGAAATGGACGACTCTGACTATTCTATTGATAGGCCAATAGTTCCAACAGTGCCCACAAGACAAGAGTCTTATCATATCAGAAGCGGTTCTGCCGATTCTGATGGCATATATGAACATTTAGGGGATAAATCAAATGATAATGGAGGAGAACTCATATCGTCGAGTGGTTTTGTTGATGGACAACATTTAAGTCCCAGTGATGACAGTGAAGTATACGCCAGTGTTTATAATCAGGAAAATGGTGAACATCTTGTAAAGCCGAGTCAAATCAAGAATAGACGTAGTCTTCAAGCGGGTTAGTCAGTCATAACTTATATTATTTACTGCTTTATAGTATTTTCATTGTTTTTTATATAACTTTCTCTATACTTAATTGCTTTTTGCTTTGACTTTCAAAATACTATTCGATCAGATCTTTATCGACAATCTTTTCCGAGTACTGAATCTCTAGACAGGCCACTATCCAATCGGCGCAGCGATCACTCGGTTAACCCACCGCTGCCGCCTAGACGTGACCTGTCTTATGCTCCGCCGCCATATACCCGAGCAATGTCTCCGCCACCATCTTATTTAAGTCATTTCTCGCCGAGACATCCGTTACAACACAAACCATTAAAGCCGTCATCAGACGAGCTGAAGGCAACGCCTCATTCCTCAACATTGTATTCAACTGATAGGAGACGAATGCCTCCCTATTCTGATATAAAATCCTTTACTCCATTTCAATATCATTTTCACATTAAAAAGTCTAATAGTTTAAAAGCTTCTTCTTTGGGAAACACTGTGTCTGGTATTAGACTTAGCCCTCATTCTTCTCGATTGCCTGAAGATGCAGACAATGCATCGGATGACGCTTCCGATGAAGACGACGATACCGTCTCATCAGGCCTTAGCGGTAATCCTCTTTCTATCTATCTATCTATCAGTACTTTATAGTAACTTTATTATCAGGATATGGTGCATATCCACCACCTCCAGAGCCCGCACCACCTGACTATCCATATACTTCCCGTCTCAAGAAGACACCTTCTTTGCCTACTTCAGGTCATTTGCAGACTCAACACACTTTCAATGAGGGTATTGTCTCTTACTATCATTTATTTCACAATATATTTGAGTATAAATTAGATTTACTTATTAAAAGATTTATACAATTATTAGATAATTAGAATAATGTATTGTTTATAACAATTGAAAACAATTAATACTTTATTATATTAAGTCACGCAATCACTTAAAATATTTAATGAATACTTTACTATAGTTTTACTTATTAATTGTGTTTGAAATGACAAATTGAATGATATTAAGCCATCAATTATACCAATGAATGCAAACCAATGATTTTGCTAACAAAAAGGATTCATACATTTTAGCCAAACATTTCTAATGAATTTTTTACTATAATATGATAACTAGTTGTCTAAAAATTGAGTCTCAATATACCAAACGGTTTTTAAATTATTTAATCAAAATAATTATGCTGTTGTGTCTCAATTTGGGATCACTTATTGTTTTAAATATGAGTCCTATCTATTCATTTAATAGATTCCTACTTTAATAACTTTTATATATTTAATTTGATTTAACTTTCATGTCTAAGATATTAAGATCTGTATATTTTTTAGTTATTTTAAAGTACTTTGTTGTTATATTTAATATTCATATATTTTAATTTATTTTTATACAAACTTTTTAAATAATTACAATTATTGCAATTTTAATATTTTTTTATCACTATATAATATTGCTTTTTAATTTCTTTATCTTTAGTTTGATAACATAAATAGTTTGATAATAATTTCTTTTATAATAGTTATAATTTTCTCATTATATTTATCTATAAAGTTGAAACAATTGTTTTTATTTTAATATTTTAAGTTTTTAATATTAAAAATGTTATATTTGACACTTTCTCTTACTTTTCAAACCAAACAATAGTCTCTCCGCTATATATTGTTGCCGGAGTTTTGGGTTATTCTGTAGAAAGTGAGTACTTTTGATAACCACTCGTCCAGTCCTTGCATTTCATCCTTTAAATCTAAAAATTTATTTCATTAAACTAATCCTTAAGTTAAACAATAAGACAATGTGTGTAATGACTACAAACATTAACTTTTTAAATGTTTGTATATTAAGCCTAAAAGATTAAATAAGTGTCAACTATTAAGTAAACGATTTAGGGTTACGGTTATAATCAAAGCATTTTCACTTTAACCTCATTTATATTTATTTTTCAAATCTAATGCTTACGTGATATACTATAGAAAGTTTTGTTGGATCGATAATTGTCATCTTAACTGATAATAATATATATATATATGTTTATTGATGTATAGGTTGGATGGAAAGAGATAATAGAGTTTATGAGAGAGGAAGTGAGGAATGGCTCGACAATGATGTATATCACGCTTATCACAGCAGTCATCATAAATTGCCGCCACCTATAAAGCCAAAGGTAGCGATCGATATTTGCTATTATATTAATCTAAAAAATCAATTCAATGTATTAATCAATAGCCGGGAAAATTAAATCTAAAACAATTTGATAACATTACTGATGCCATTGGACGCCTGACTGTTGGTCCTCGACAGGGATCAGCGATGCCAAAAGTGGGCCTTTTGAATGCACCTTTGGCTGCATCTGATTTACTTGATATGCCCGTAGATTACACTAAGGTTTGCATCAATTTCTTTTAATATCAATATAATTATATTTTGTTTTTATAATCAATTGATTGATAAACTTAGGACGCAATCTATGGGCGCAACTCTCATGACTATTACTCAGGACTTCAAAACACTATAACTGATAGCAAACATCGCGTTCGTCTGAACAGAAGAAACAAAGATTCGCTGGAAAAAGGTATTAATGTTTTATATATTTGTATTGTTTTTTATATTGAGGTTTACATTCTGTATAATTGGTTGAAATATCAATAGTTGGTTCAGATTCTGATAGTGATTGGAGTTCTCTCGAGCGCCGAGAGAGAGAATTATATAATAGGGCTAATCGTAAGCCCACTCCGCACAAGAAGGTGCGTAAAAAACGTGGAATACCAGTGGCACCGCCACGACTGCCATCATTTGAAAGCACTTCCAATCACTTTAGTAATAAATCAGCTAAAAATGTTAGCGACGGTCCCACTCTTGGGGCTAACTCTCCTGTCGATGCTTTTGAAACATCAGGTATTATAATAGTTTGCATTTGTTTCAAGTATTCTTCTTCATATGTTTTCTTGCTTTACTTCTTGCTTTGTTTATTACTTTGTTTATTACTTGTGCTGTCAATCGTATATAAGTGAGGGCTAATACACCATCAGATGGAAGTGAAGTATCCAATGAAGATAATGAGCCCATTGATGGCACGCAACAGATTAAGTCGCGGCCAAATCACTCTTTTCATTTGCGCCGACGACCCAAACTTGCGACACAATCTCACTCATTATCTGAAGCCAATTTTGGTGATCCTAACAGTCCTATTGAGTCCAATCATAATAATATCAGTTCATTCACTATAGACCACTCACGTAAGTGATCTCATTTGATGGATATCTCATAACCTCACGCATCAACTCATCATTTGTTTTGATTTAACATTAATTTGATTTATTTATGATTAATTTTGTTAATATTTGTTTGATTTGATTTTGATTTAACCTATTGAATGAAGTTTGACTTACATTTAATTTTGATCCGTTTTCTTATTAATAAATAACTGAATGATAACAAAAAACATGAGTACATCATATAAGTTGTATGTAATAAATATTTAATTAAATTTCAGCAAAACATAAAAACGAGTCGTCATTGTCATGCATTCAAGGAGTTGAAGAAGAAGATTACAATCCAAGAGATGCAACAATGGCTCAGTTGGGTAAAGTGTTGAAGAGTAAGTCGGCCACAGCTATCACTGAAAACATTGAAAAGTCCGCCCTTAAGAAAGAAAAAGATAGAAAGAAAACACGTGAAGACGAGAAACTTGAAAAACGAAGAATTAAAGAAGAAGAAAGACTTAAAAGATTAAATGAAAAGAAAAAGAAGAAACAAAAGAATAATTCGACTTCTAATGAACCGACAATTGAAGACTTTATTCAGAGTGAAGACAATGCCGTTCCACTGTTTGTCGAAAAGTGCATTCAATTTATTGAAGAAGAAGGTCTTGATTCAGAAGGTATATACCGAGTGCCAGGAAATAGAGCTCATGTGGACCTACTGTTCCAAAAATTCGAAGAAGGTATACAATGGACACATTCATACATTTTACTCTAATATTAAATATTATATACTGTTATATAAAATAGATCCTAATGTTTCAATTCGTGAGTTGGATATACCAGTCAATGCAGTGGCCACTGCACTCAAAGACTTCTTCTCGAAACGTTTGCCTCCACTTATACCTACAGCAATGATGGATGAGTTAACAGATCTGTCCTCTTATAATGACAAAAGTAGTCGTTTGTCTTCATTTAGAGAATTTCTCAAAAGCCTTCCATCGGTTAACTTTGAAGTCATTAAATTTGTATTCAAACATTTTGTTAAGTAAGTATACTATTGTTTTTATGAATTATTTATTAGATATATATTTATAAATAAATTTGTTGATATCAGAGTTGCAGATAATTGTCGACTCAATAGTATGGACACTAAAAATTTAGCGATCTGTTGGTGGCCAACACTACTTCCCATAGAATTTAGTGATATGCTTGTCTTCGAACAAATGCGACCACATTTGGAGGATTTCGTACAGACATTGATCGATGAATTCCAGTTCCTCTTCGGCAATGAAGATGTACTGCTCATCGTTTGATTGCAGTTTCATTCTATACCTTAAACAGCATTTTAACAATCAGACAGTGAGATATCATCACAAAGAAGTGGTGTTTAACGCCAAATACATATTCTGGTCATTCGTGCACTCAAACTACAGACACAAACCATAAATCAATTCATTTTAAATATTTTCAAAAAATCAATTAATTTTCTAATTTAATGATTCAAATTTATTTTACTCAATCCTAATGTTACTTTTGAGGGAAGCTTTACTTTATACTAGATTTACGGACATGTATTACCGTAATTGACTGAAACATAACTTTTTTAGTTGAATACCTGTGCAGCTAATGCTTGACCTAAATTAATGCCAATGCAATTGCATATCAATTCACTTAATATTTGTCCATCGATTTCACATTTGCCACAATTAATGATTTTTTAAATTCGTGTATATGTCCTATAATGTAGTTATTTACAGAAATTATTATTCAATAATTTGACTTTCGCTCAAAATTTTTCATAAATGTTTTTATTTTCATAAAATGCTATATAGTTGTAAATCTAATAATTGGTAAAATATATTTTGTTGGGATTGCATGTATTATATCTAACTGCCACTGCTTTTTGCAAATCACTGGTTATTTTGGTTCATTACATGACATATTTATATTAAATCTAGATTTTGTGCCAAACTTATCATTTTGAAAGCAATATTAAGTTATAATTAAAAATCTTAAAACAATGAAAGTCTAATTTAAAATAAAATGATGCTTTGGTTACAGTATATAACTGTAAATAAAAAGTCAGACCAAAAAAATACTTCAATTGCTTCCCTAATGACCACAATTTGATTGTCAATGAGATTCACATTTTCACACAAAACTCATTTCCCAATTGTTTTACACATCATTTCAATCAATAGCCGCTTCTTTGCTATTATTTATTTGTTTTTAATATTTGTTTACATTATTTAATTTATAAAAATGATTATTTAAAATCAATAGATACACAGTTTTTAATTGAATTTTTATTTATATTTTTAGTTTTTATAATTTGATTGATTTTATAATTGTTTGGATTATTCTGTGATTTATTAATAAATTGTTATATACGTTATTATTATTATTTTATTTAAAAGCTCAATGTATTGTAATTATGTATAATTATTAAAATAATTTATATTAAGCGGCCGTTAATGTAATATAATGTTAGAACTATTGAAATGCATTGAATTGTCATTTGTAATGATATTTAGTTGATTATAATTGACACACATTTATGTTAATATTAATTCAATTATAATTAATTGATTGTGATATATGATTAATGGTAAACACTATATATATATATATATAATATGTATAATTTATATAAAAATAGATATATACTATAAATACAGTAATTAATGAACTAAATTAATAATAAATAGTAAAATCATTAATAATGATTGTCTTATGAATGGTACCAATCAGTCATCACATGATTTTCATCAATATATTCATTAATAGTTATAAATTATAAAATTTAATATTACATACAATATATTGCGTATTCAATGCATTCATGTAATTAAAACTAATCTTATTATTCATTATTATATTATATAAAATATATAAAAACTTATATTATATATTAAATTGCATAATATTTGTACAGAAAAACAAATCATCGATAATTAGTTTAATAAATTATTATTGTTTTCCAAATGTTTTTTATTTAACGGTAATTAAGTTCAAAATAGTTGAAAACATTTAACTGAAATGTAAAACAAATATAAATTTATGAATATATGACAAAACGTATGGATTTTTTTAGTATTAAGATATACAGTACTGTACAGTATATAAAGTTACGTTCAGTGAGACATCGGGATTACAACGGGATTACAACGGGTCGGACATCCGGATTGTCAACAGACAAACACTTATTAAATGCCATAAAAATATTGAATTACATTAGAGTTGTAATCAAAATACATTAAATTTATCTTTAAAATTGATTTTTAATAAATTAAATATCAAATATACATATTTTATACAAAATATAACTTATTTTGAAAATACAAAGTTATACTGTATTAATACAGTACTGTATATTATATTATAAATATTAATGACTATATTTTGTGTCAAATCTTATTCAAAGGGTTGACTAAAAAGTTTTTAATTGAATAATAGATGTTTAGGTTTGGTTTAATTAGTAAGTATTGAATTGATTGCTACCTCTAATTGATGTCGGCATTGATTGATGTATTGATTGATGTATTGAATGATGTATTGAATGATTGTCGCAGAGTTTACACAAATAGCAAAAAAGTGTTAAACTTTTAGCAATGGGTTTAAAGTTAATGTAATACTAATATTAAATCGATTTAACGTTTACTTCAATTATAGTGGTATTAGTCGTCAGCCAATCAACACTCAGATTCACTAACACATTGACTTGCATTTCATCAGTTATTAATCGATTTATTAATATTTATTGTAGACATTGTTTACTGTATTTGCATTAATATTATCTACAAATAGTTTAGAAATTTAGTGATAAAGTGAGACATAGAGACAGTTAATATAGAGAAGTACTGTATATAATACTGTATTATATTAGCATTGAATACATTGAAAGCATTGAATCCATTGAATTGGCGCTCATTTATAGTGAATCACTTGAAAGGCATTCATTGTCTTATAGTTTGTATTGAATTGACTCTCAATTTGTTTGAATCAATCGATTATTTTATTAATTGTTTGATTTGATTATCAAATTATAGATTAATTTGATTAAAAATGAGTGACAATTGGGATGATTGGGGCTCCGGTTCGGCCACCACTTCGGCAGCAACTGTATGACCATTTGGTGTACTTTTTTGTCATAAATGGTATTTATTTGATTTGATTGTTACAATTGACAGAAACCAGTGGCCAATGATGACGAATGGGCAATGGATACGACCGGTGCGTCCAATACTGCTGGTGACAGTTGGACTAATGGCGGCGGCAATGGACGTTCAGGTGGTGGTCGCGACTGTTTTAATTGCCATCAAAGTGGACATATGAGTCGAGAATGTCCCGAACCCCGTAAAGAAAGGTCGGGTCCGAGAAAGTGTTACAATTGTCAACAGGAAGGACACTCAAGCCGTGACTGTACGGAACCAAAGAAAGAGAATTCTCGCAGTTGTTTCAATTGCAATGCCAGTGACCACATGTCACGTGATTGTCCTCAACCCAAGAAATCGAGAGCTCTTACATGCTTTAACTGTCAACAAGAGGGACACAGAAGTAATGACTGTACTGAACCAAAAAAACCGAGAAATGGTTACAATTCAAAGAGTCAAACGACTTCAAACACTGACGACTGGGGAGCGACTAACAGTTCTTCGACTGCCACTAAAGCTAATGATGATTTTGATTGGGGCGATGACAGTGGAACTACTAGTAATAATAATAATGGTTTGTATATAATATAGATTATGCATTGATATAATAGTAAGTTTATTAAATTATCAGAGAGTAAAGGGAATAGTGGTGAATGTCATCGTTGTCACGAAACTGGACATATGGCTAGAGACTGTCCAACTTCAACTACCGGACCAAATGAATGTCGTAGATGTAAGAAAACTGGCCATAAAGCTGCCGATTGTACTGAAGAAGTTATTGGCGAAGACGGCAAACCTATTGCACCCATTTATAAGCCTAATGTGATCGATGAAGACTCAGAAAACCTATACGACACGACTCCCGCTGGTATTAACTTTAATCGATACGACAAAATTAAAGTTAATCTTTCGGGAGACGATCCGAAACCACCAGCGATTGAGGCATTTTCTGATGTCATTAAAAGCGATTTAATGAACGAAGCCATTAATAAATGCAAGTATACTAAACCAACTCCCGTTCAGAAGTATGCCATTCCTATAATAGCCGCTGAAAGAGATTTGATGGCTTGCGCTCAAACTGGTTCAGGAAAAACTGCTGCTTTTATTTTGCCTATACTTCAAAATTTGTTGTCATTGAGTGATTTGCCCTCAATGTATGGCCAATCACCTCAAGAGCCACTTTGTGTGATAATATCTCCAACTCGTGAATTAGCGATTCAAATACATACCGAAGCGGTTAAGTTCGCAAAAGGAAGTATTGTTAAGCCTTGTCTTGTATACGGCGGTACTTCAGTTGGTTTTCAATTGGCTCACATATCACGTGGTGCTCACCTTTTAGTGGCAACTCCGGGAAGACTCTTAGATTTTGTGACTAAAGGAAAAGTATCTTTTGCTAACTTAAAGTATTTAGTTTTGGACGAAGCGGACCGTATGATAGATCAGGGATTTTTGCCTGAAGTCAGACGTATGGTTACTCACGAAACAATGCCAGACAAGTCTAAGCGTCAAACACTCATGTTTTCGGCCACTTTTCCCGATGAAGTTCAGCGTTTAGCTCAAGAATTTCTTAAAAGTAATTATATGTTTTTGACTGTCGGTGTGGTTGGATCTGCCAATTCTGATGTGGAACAAACATTCCTCGAAGTTGACGGAAAAACTAAACGATCGACACTAATGGATATTTTGAGAAAAGGTGAAAGCAATGAAAGAACTTTGATTTTTGTGGAGAAAAAGAAAACGGCAGACTTTTTAGCTTCTTATTTGTCACAAAACAATATGATGACCACTTCCATTCACGGCGATCGCTTTCAGAGCCAAAGAGAACAAGCACTTCATGATTTCCGAAGTGGTCGTATGCCTATTCTTGTGGCCACTTCAGTGGCTGCACGCGGTCTTGATATTAAAGATGTAAAACATGTGGTAAATTATGATTTGCCTCATGAGATCGATGAATACGTGCATCGAATTGGTCGCACGGGTCGAGTCGGAAACATAGGAAAGGCTACGTCTTTCTTTGATCCGTCCAGTGATAATGATATAGCTTTGACCGCTTCACTCATCAAAATATTGGAAACCGCCGATCAAACTGTTCCCGAATTTCTGCAAAACTGCTCGTCTGGTGTCCGCAACATTTCTAATGGCGGAACATTTGGTGGAACTGACTTCAGAGGAGTATGTCTTAAAATATTATATTTATGTATTATATATATAAATTCATATTAAATATTGTATTTATTATTAGGATTCAACTGTCACCACAACAACCAATGATGATGACTGGGATTAAGTGTTGATCACTTTTATTAGTCATTATATAAAACATCTGAGCTTTTGTTTTATAATACTTTTATACCAAAATATTTTTTAATTACAGAAATAGTCGTATATTTGCGTAAAATTATAAGCAATATTTGATTTGTTAATTTGAACAAAAATTTAAGTAATCTCAGTTTGTTTTTGTATTGTTTATTATTATTATATGAGACATTTAATGGTTTATAAAATATTTTAAAAATGTTTTCTCTTAAATATTGAAATATAAATATTGTTAATTGCATTGTTTAAATATATATTTAATTTCGTTACCTTTCAAAGGTATATTGTCGTCACAAAAGATGAAACTAAAAAAATTGTATTAAAAGTTCAATTACTTTAAAATAATAAAAAATTAATCAATAATTAAATTGTTATTAAAAGTAGTTAAAAATAGGAAAATTTATTTAAAAATGCAAAGTCAATAAACTGATGTATACTATAAATTTGTAATGCATTTTGCAATTCAAGTTAATCTCTTAGCTATAGTACAGTACATTGCATTAAATCATACCATACCTGTGGACAACATTTATGTAATTTTAAATGTTAGTAAAAAGGTCTTATGTTTTGTTAGGTATATCTAATATGTAAACATTTATTTTTTAAATTTAATTACTCAATTATAGCTGTATTTTTAATATACTTATTAAGTATACTTTAATTGTCAACTTTGCATCAATTAGTCAATAAGTAATATATAATAAAATACATACTTATATCCATTTTCCAGATTAACGACAATCAGTTTATTTAAATATAATTGATTTGAATCATTTGAATCACTTAATCTCCATCTCAAAGGGTTTATTACAAGAGATGGACTGTACTTAAGCTGTATTTCCACTCTAATAACGGTTCCGATATCACTGGCGCTTATTATATACTCAACCTTATCGCTCAAAGGTGTACTAAATTGTAATTAAAAATCAATATACAATTAAATAAATTATAAATATTACAATACATTAAAGGAATTAACCCAACAATAAGTTTACTAATTATATTAACAAAGTTATAAGTTTATATAAATAATAATAAAGTAATTATAATTTATAGTATATATGAGTATATAATACTAACTCTTTAGTTGCGTCTATTACTTGAGTGGATCCTTTGGTACCGAATAACTGTACAAAAAGACGACCTTTTTCTTGGAAGTGTGTGTTAATATCTGATTTGAAAGTCAGTTGGATGTGATAATGTAAGAAACAATAAGGAGTTCTATGACTGGTTTGTAGGAAAAACTTATGGCCAGTGTCTTCATGACCTTTATTTACTCCCAACTCTTTCATTAACAATGGCTTTGAATTAATATAATTATTGAGTTGAACCCAACTATTGTATGCATTGAATCCCATTTGTAAGTAATGAAAGCAATCTATTGAAGTACTTGTATTGTCATAACTATTGTTATCCAATGATTGTCGACTCAATGATAGACAAGAATTCTTGCCTTTAGTGCAAAGGCCTGAAGCAAATTCCTCATAACTGGAGCACTGGTAGGCCATAAATGGACCTTTAGGTATGTCATGTTTGAATCAAACAATAAAAAAAGTCAACAAATTTTCTAAATATCTTATCTCATGAAATCATTTGAATTATTGAAAAAATATTTACTAAAAAATTCAATAATACAATTGAAATAAATATGCTTACAATCAGTGTTTATTGATTCAGTAAATAAAAGGAAAGCCCGGATGTGATTACAACCAATAAATTTACGGATACCTTAATGCAGATAATATGCAAATATAATTGTATTAATAAATTTTGAACTAAAAAATATAATTAATAAAAATCAAACCGTGGATAACATTTCTTTCTTTGCCTATCGAGTCAATGACTGTTTTGAGTGATGTTTCACTACAACCGGGTTGTTTTAGACCTATATATTATTAAAATCAATTGATATTAATTTTTTAGTCAATAATTTTTATTCAAACCTCCATTGGGGTAGAAGTCGATGTGTCCGCAGCCCTGACTCATACCAAATCCACCGGTTCTTTAAGAAGTTTACATTTCAAGTATTACTATTAATACTTTTCAAAACATTTTATTGATTTATTTTTATAAAAAAACTAGACTTACATAATACTTGAAGCATCGGTATGTATGACATCTACAAACAAAGCATCGCTTTTATCTAAGCGAACCCTCGGATCAGTGTTTTGAAAGTAAGGCTCAGCCGGATCTAAACCTTTAAGATAAAAACACCATTTATTTTCATTCATTACTTTATCATAAATTGCATTTAAGTTATATTGAAAAATAATTAATAGATATTTATAAAATTAATATTATATTTGTTTAAAATAAAGTTCAGAATTTGCAAAATAATTTACGAAATAATTATAAATTGAAGACTTATAATATTATACCATATATTATAAAACAATAATTGTTATGAAATTTATATCTAAAACAATTATAATCTTTAAATCATTATTTTATGTTATGTTATTTGTTTAAAAACTATTATTTGTTCATTTAATATAACATTTGATGTTTACTCTTAACTTTTAACATTATTTAATAAGAGATTCATTATTTCTAAGAGACAACAAAGTTTTTACACAAAAATTGTGTCACAATTTAGTTATTATCTGAGTTATGAAGACTATAGAGGAAGAGCTTTAAGCTTAAGATATAAAGCAAAAGTCAAATTGAAGTGCAATTGTGTTGTAGTAGTTGTTGGATAACACAAACTCTATCATTGATGTGATTTCATGCCTCAAGACAGACAATAGTTTAAGTTTTGGCCAAAATGTTAGTTACTTTTATATATCTGTATACTTAAAAACTAGACTTTATGTCATATACAGTAATTGACTGAATAGGACTCTGTTTGGCTGCAAGTTATCTATTAAAATGAAATCATTGGCAAAAATATAATAATTTGGAGAAACATTAATTTTATGACAAAAATATCTTATATGAAAAACAATAATCAATGCATACATTTTGCAGTTTACTTATAATTATTTTTGTTTAAATTTATTTATATAAATACTATTGTATTAATTTATGATTATAATTTTAATATTCTCAAAATTAAAAGTGTAAACTATAATATAGATATAAATTTTAAATTTAAATTTAACAAAATCTTCATTTAAAAATTAAGTCAAGCTTTTAACGTGAGTGACCATGTCTTAAATAGATGTTTAGGGGCTGTTCACATATTACGTTTGCACTTTTTAAGAAATCTAGACCCCTCCCTCCCCTATGTTCTCAATTGTTCGCATGTAGTCATTATAAAAAATTACGTTTACATGTCCATAACCGTTAACCCCCCACCCCACTACTAAAAATAACATATCTAAATGCGAACGTTCTTAAGATCGCTACCCCCCTCCCCTCGTTCACAAAAGTTCGCTTTGGCCGCCCCCCCCTCAAGTGCGAACCTAATATGTGAACCACGCCTTACTGAGAAATGTTAGGAATATTAATTGGATTGAAATAATAAAGTTTTATTGCATTTAATGTATTTATATTTCTATGGGATTCATATCACGAACTTTTAAAGTGATGTTTTGATAATTTTAAAAGTGTTTGTTTCACTATTTGTTTTCACTTAAACTTTCACTATTATAGCCATATTTATGACAATTTATACATTACAGTAAATTATATAATTTTTATATATACTAATATACTGTATATTATATAAGCTTATTTAAAATATGAACAAAAATCATTAATTTATTAACAAAAATTTGTTTATTTAACTTATAGTATTTTGCATAAAAATTTCCATATAGTATTCGTACAAAAAATATAGATTTACATAATTTTGAAACATATATTTTAATTATATAGTATTAATGATTAACTTATATATCATAAAATATAACTTGATTTAGAAGATCCGTTAAAGCAATATATTTTATAATATATACTATGGATATGTTACTTATAAATCCACATTTATCTTATTATTTCTTTGTTATAAAAATTATTATTTTTATAACATTACTTTTAATTAAAATTTTTACATCTTATTATAAATAATTTAATTGAGAATTTATAATTTGATTATCAAATATAATTATGTAACAAAAATAACATAGTTTAATTTGAATGGTAGTAAAACTAAAAGCAATATAATTGATTTTAAAGACAAAGACATTTTTATTGTTTCATTTAAAATATTTATAAATTATTGAAAAGTTATTATTTTTATTTATTCTGAATCTTAGTGATTAACTATAATTATGTAAAATACCGAAATGTTTACTAATTATAGTTATAGTAAAGTAATATTAAAGTAATATAAAAGATATATAAAAGTAATACCAGTAATCCTTGCAATTCCTGGTATCCGTTTGCCGACATAGCCTGCAATATGTGCGCCCAAACTGTGACCTATTAAATGGATTTTCGACGACAAATAGTCGGGATATTGTCTCTAATTATGAATACATTTATTATTAATAAAATTTTGAATAATTTTTTTTTAATGAATTATACGATTAATTTTATTATAATACTTGAATGTCTTTAATAAAGTGAGCAATGATTGCACCGACAAGTCTAGCGTTGGCCACGGCCTGAGTGTATGGCGGAGTCGCGCCTATTATCCAATCGATACAAATCACATTGAAATCACTTTTTGTCAACAACTCTATTGACATATCCTGCAAAAAATATTGACATTAAATATCACATAATTTTCTATTAACCAAAACATACAAATATTTTTATCAAACAAATTTTATTTATTTACATATTTTGCATTAAATTAATCTAAAAATAATTACAAGTAGTTACATATGAAACACTTGTTATAATTTTTAATTACTACTATTACTATTACTATTACTATTACTATTACTATTACTATTACTATTACTATTACTATTACTATTACTATTACTATTACTATTACTATTACTATTACTATTACTATTACTATTACTATTACTATTACTATTACTATTACTATTACTAATTTATTTTTATTTTATTTAGATATTAAAGCTTATATATAAATATTGATATCTATGTTATAATTTATGTTATTAGTATTTATACATAGAGTACTAAAAATATATATTATTAAGAATTTCTAAATTAATGAATTTTTTATGCATCGATGAATAGAAAACTATATAATTCATAATATATTTTTTGTGTAAATACAATATACTTTATAGATTAAAATAGTAATATATTATATAATAATCAAATGATATGTTAATATATGAAATACTTTGATCCACGACTGAAATCCATTTTCTAAATATCCATGAATTATGATTTTTAAATCATTTTTTGGACTAAAATCAAGCAAATCATAAGTTCCGTCATTTTTATTAACTATTTTCTTAGATCTTTCCATATTTTTACGAGTCTTTAACAGGAATTCAACGTTTAATAAATCAGGAGAAATAGGAAACAAATTTATGGGTCTATAGATTGACAGAAATGGTTCGGCTATTGAAAAACATCCGTATTTGTGATAACAGCGCACCAGTAGTTGAGAACCGGCCGTTACTTTCTTTGGTTTGTCTGACCCTAAATATAAAACATTAAAAATTGTAGAAAATTCAATTATTCAAATCTATTTTCTAAAATTTTATTAAAAGCTAAATATATTTTTATTGTGATTATATTTAAAGACTGATTTTATATATGTATTATATATATATAAAATAAGGATAACTTATTTTTTATAAATAATTTTTTTTATTTATATAAATTAATTTTAATATCTGTATATTTCAGAGAGTATCTTAAAACTAGACTGATTTCGACTGCTCGACTGGTTGACTATTTATAGTATATATTAGATATCTGGTAAATCATATTTTAAATGTAAAAATGACCAAGGCATAATTATAGATAATATTAAACTCAACATTATTGTAATTGGTAATTTTTTGATTAATTGTAAAACTAACTAGATAATAGCATCGACTGCTAGGAAAAAAATTGATAAATATTAAATATAAAGTTTAATTAAATTTATAAAATTATAAGAATTTACAAAAAAAACATTAGTAATAAAATCATTTATAAAATGCTAAAATGTGTAAAATAAATAAATAGCAATAAAATTAAATTAAAGGTTAGTTACCGGTTTCAGTAGTGGTATCGCTGGAAGGCTTGACTATATTTGAATTAATTGCTGTTTTAGTTAAATAATAGTTGTTTTCAATCATTGCATAATTGAGACTAAGGTTACCATTACTTCTCGAGCCTAATAACTCGTATTTGATATCATTATCAGTTGCTTCCGTTATTGTCATCACTAACACTAACACAATGAAACAAATTAATGAAAACCTAATTAAAAGCAGTTTTTGTAAGCACTTTGTGAACATATTTATAATTTGATTAAAAATATAAAAATAAATTAAAACATAGTATCACTTAAAATAATATTATTTTAATTCTCAAAAAACTACATTAAAACTAAATATAAAACAGTTAAACAAAGTTAAAATAAGTGATAAGCCGTGAACTTGAAATTCTGTGTACTGTTAGAGCCGTATGTTTTGTGTCTGATTTATAGTCAAGTTATCCATGCCTTTCATCTCTGCCATAATCACCGCCCCGTTAGCTAACATTTGGACCTTAAGGTTACCCTAAATATAATAGTAAAACCAATAGTTAAAAATTGATAAAATATAATATTTCATAATATTTTGAAGTTATATTTAGCATAAATTTTTTATTTTTACTATATTTATAAATTATAATATATATATATTTAATTTTAAACTGATATACTATTATTTGTAGTTTAATTTTATGCAGATAACAAAATAATAATTTACATTATAAAAATTTTAATGAAATTTAAATTTTTGTATTTGTCTAAACATATATGATATCTATGTAAATTATTGTAAAATATAATACAATATAAAATATCTTTGCAATTGCAATATTTATAAAACTAAAAAACTATTTAATATTATTTTATCATATTATATTTTAGAAATATTATAAAAATAATAAAATATATATGCAAATCAATCTTATAATTTTAAAATAATTTATTTACTAGTACTTATAAAGTATTAAAATTGTTTATTCAAATATACTTTATATTACAATTACATACTAATTTTTTTATAATTAAGTTAAACATATATTAGTAAAGTATTAATATTAATTTCATTAATACATTTGTTTTTTAAATTTAACTATTATTGAAAATAAAATTATAGCTTTTATCATTTCAACTTTGATAACACTGATTTCTTCTATAAAATAAGTTTTTAAATATTTTTATTTTATAAATTTGAAAATAAATACTGTTATTTAAAATTAAATATGATAATTTTAAAACAAATAAAAAATTTTGCTAATTTATAAATAAAATATTGATTTTATAAAATGAAAAATCGATAGACAATAAAAACAATTTTTATCTAAAATCTTTTGACAATTTAAAAAATACAAAAAAAAATAATTTTATGGTTGAATTCATATAAAATATATTTTATATTTACTATAAATTCCAATTATAGTATCACTCACTCACACACACACACACACACACACACACACACACACACATATACATACATACATACACGTATATATAGCATATCATCATATTTATGTATATAATAGCTATTAGTAATTGATATATAAAAAATTTTAATAATATTTCCTAAAAAATTTCCTTTTATGCGTAATTATGAGAACTTCATATAAAGCAAATACAATACCTATGCTGTAGATTATAGAGTATAAAGTTAAAGTATACTCTATTATACTGTATATACATTACAAAAACAAATCATTGTTATTACAAATACTGTATTAGTAAAACTTTTATTTATAACTAAACTATTTTTAATTAAATGTTATGTAAAATATAAAAATTTGATTAATTTATAATTACTGTAAATATATTATAGTAAAATTTTATAAATATATTTAGTTATTATTAATAATTAAAGTGTATTACAAAATACTAAATATTGAGAAAATTAAATTAACAAAACAAATATATGTTTCAGTAATTTTCATTTTAACTCTAGTATACATTATCTTATTATAAACCTTATAAATATAAATATAGACAATATTTGATATAATTATAATTCTCAATATAAATAATACATAAATTAATATAATAATAAAATTTAAAAGTTTAATTAATAAATTTATAATATAAGTATTTTGCATTATGTTACTTGATATAATTTTTTATTATAATATAACTTATCTAATTTTCGATTTACCAATTGTATAATACCATATCTATTAAAACATTCAAATATCTATTTACAAACAATTTATAGATATAATACATTTTGTAATAAAAATAAATATATTTAACAATTTTCTAATATATATACAAATTAAATATTATTGATTAATATAAAGAAGTTATGTTTATTTATGATAAATCAATAAAAACCTTTAAAATGTTTATTTGAAATATAATACATTTGTATAGTTTTTTTAATATATCAAAAAATGTTATTAAATTCTAATTAGAAATTTCTATATAACAAAAGTATTTAAATTATATTTACATTTTATAGACTTAAATAGTTATATATTATATATAACTATTTATATATATATATAAACATATATTATTATGTTTATTTATATATTATATATTTTATACAATATTATACATTTGCAACAAAAAATACACTTATTTTTTTATTATATTATAATAGAAAATTTTATTTTGGATTTTTTATAGATTTTAAATAAATTTGAAAATTGCAATTTATAATAAAAAATGATAAAAATATAAAATTTGTTGTGATTAGGGATCAGTTGATCGATCAAACTTAGGAAGTCCTTATCGATTGGCCAATTAGGTTGCGTGAGTCGGTATGAGATCACTAATCAACAAATTAACTAATCAATAGTCGGTATGAGACCAACAACTCATATGTCAAACAATATATCATTGAATGACTTATTAGTTGATATTAGGATAACTTAATTATACATCTATAGTATCAAAATAATTTAAAACAAAGCGATTATAATATAATTAATTAAAATTCAATTTAATATTCGCATCAAATTAAATAAGATTTTTTTGTCAACATTTTTTATGTACAGTTAAGAGCAATACTTCAAAAGTTTGTGTAATTTTTATTTTAATACATAGTTTTGCCAAATTTTTGAGGAATTTTCGTTGCTTTTAAGTTTAATAGATCCTAAAAATTCTGTATTTAATTTTAAACTAATTTTGACATATATTGAAAGTAACTTAATATTTATGATATTTATTTAAATATTACATATAATAATAATTTAAAATTATTGTTTTGTTATATTTTTATATAAGAATAAAAAATAAACATTTTTTAATTAACTTCATTCTTATATTTTTGGAAAATAATTAATCAGTTTTAAGTCTATAATATTATTGACAAATGTCGAGCACAGGGATGATATACTGCACCGTTCAGTGCTATTAACACACAATAATAATCCTAAAAATCCAAATTCGTTTAATGCGTTTGAGTTAAAATTAGAGACTTTCTCTAATGATGTTATTCATCACTATTTTAAACATCAAAATAAAAAGTAAAATCTTTCCAAGACTTATGTTTATTGTGACCAAACATTAACTAAAATTAAAATTTTTAAAAATGATTTGTAATGAAATAACTCGAGCTATAAATTATCTCTAAAAAATAGTGAATGTTTATGTTATGTTAACAATTATTATATTTATTACAAATAATTAACTTTTAATAATACAGTTGAAAAAGTATTTTAGTTAACTAATATATTATTATAAAATTGTTTTATGATTTAATCAAATAAAAAAGATATTCTTTATTAATAATTTTATTTATTCACAATTTTAGCATTTTAACAGATAATTTTTAAATTAATAAATCAAAGTGAATCTTTTTAAATATGATTAAATATATTTTTTTATAATTATATTTTAATGTAATATTAAATATTTAAAATTTTCATAATATTATCTTTCAGTTTTTTAAAATTACATAAAATGACAATAATTAAATACAACATTAGCATGAAATCTAATTATTTTTTTTTATTAAAAATAGCATATTATATATAAATTTTAATTAGATTTTCTATTAAAATGATTAATAAAATAGATATAAATATAAAAGACTATTTTATTAAAATCATTTAATATTAGAGAGACTTAACAATAAAGATTAAATTAAAAATAATTTGCCTGAAGCTAAAATAATCATAATTAAGTAATAGTATATTAAAAGTTAACAACTAAATATTATTTTATGTTTTCAAATATGTTTATGATTAAGAACTTTAAAATAATTTATCTATCATACAGTGTATATGTTTGAGCATTAAATTAAATATTATATATAATGCAAATATTTTGATGAAAATAAAGAGAGACTTGCATTGATTGCAAAATCTTTTTTTTAAATAAAAAGTTGCTTTTTATAGATGAGATATAATTGTAATGAAAGCCACAAAAGTAATCTTTGTTTATTATTTAAACAATTTTTGTTTTATATTTATATACTGTATATATATAACCAAAATATACTTTGATTAAATTTCAATGTAAAACATTCTCTTATAATTTTTATGTATTAAAATGTTATCAATTTTAAGTTATCATAAAATAATAAATTTAATGCTACAGTATATCATACAATAATGGATATTGTTTAACATAGTTGAACTGTCAATTTTGTTGTTTAAACAAAATGATTTATTGGTTTATAAAATAATTTAAATAATGTAATTTTATGTTTTTATCATTTATTATTTTAGATATAATCTACTTTTACAAATTCAATAAACAACTCAAAAACTATATTAGATTTTTTTTTAAACTTTCAAAATTATTTATTAATATCAATAACTTTAACATTTTTAATATAAATATTTTTATATCATATATATAAATGCATTCAATTTAATATGATTATAAAATTTTTATTGTATTAGTAAATATTTATTTAATATATTTATATATATTTTTTACTTAGTATTAAAGTTTTTATTAACGATAGTTTCACTAAAGATAAACTCAAAATAGTTTATCTTTTTATACGTGAGAGTTGAAGCCAACAGTTTTAGTATTAAAGATTTATTAACATAGATTGAGAAAGAGAGACATTAGATGTCTAGTATATAGCAATTTCTAGTTTTATCAAACAGTGGTATTATATTATAGTTGGGTTTTCGTCAATATTTAGTAGCAAAAGGAAAGCATATTATAGAAAGTCAATGAAGAGCGCAATATCCAGAAATCCATGGTTTGTGTCTCAACTTATTGCTCGTCACCACAGCTCAGGCATACAGTTTTGGTGCCGAGTATTGGATACATTGCCAGCAATTTTGGTGCTTTGATTCACTTGTTTATCACTTTATATCAAATATTATTATTATTACACTTTTGTTATTAATATTATATATTATTTTTCTGTTCTTCTCATTTCTGACACTTTCAAATAAATATAACATTTGTATCTATCATTGAAACTCTTAATAAATCTTTTTTATTTTTTATTAAACTGTCTTTCATTTGTAAGAAAACAACATTTTTTCAAATATTAAGTTTTATTTGAAAAAAGAGAAGAACTTAATAATAATTCTGCATTTCTTTAATCTACTCTATTCTAAGACATAAAAGTGATGTATATTTATGACAAATAAAATAATAATAATAACAATAATAAAATAATAATTGAGTTAAATTTGATGGAATTTTATTATAAATTTAATTGAATATTTGATTATATTTGTAGTTAAATTTATAATTTTTTATCTGTATATTTATGTGTCAATTGTGTCGTGTTTTTATATTATGCAGTTTAGTTAAACTATATAAAAATAATAATATATAATATAAATATATTAATATTGTGCTCATCTATTGTAATGCATTTTCATTGTAATTTATTTTCACTGACATTGCGATTGCATTAATATTTTGCAGCATTTTATTAATAGTAATTATATACCTCTAAACGCTAAACACAATAATACAATATACGGTACAATATAATGATGTTAAATAATACTGTATTATATTTTGGATGCATTTGTGATAATCAATTATATTTTAGGCAATAATTTCAAAATCACTGCATTTTACAATTGATTTTCACTTTGAAGCAAACATTTGTCCAAAATATATAAAATCGATTGACTAATAAATAAAATTTTAAGTAACTTATATTGTAAGTCATAAATCAGTTGCCGATTTAACTATCAGTTCAATGTTTGTCTCGAGTTTTAAATATTATTCACTTTTTGTACATTAAATGTGATAACAATTTATCAAATGAATGTTTCATTTAAGATATGTTTAAATTTATAAAAATTTTCTCATAATTTCAAGTGTTTTCAAAACATCTATTCATTTATTGAAATAACATACAATAATAGTGATAAAAGCGACACATTATTCATATGATTAGATGCTTATTATATAATGTTTTTAATTGATTCTTAAATTTATAAAATGTTTGGATTCACATCTCAATAGATGTTTAAATTAAAGACAAACTCAAACAAAATATCTAACAGTGTGTTTCACTACACATACAAACATTTTATAAATGATTGACTGCTTTTTGAATTAATGCCAAATATTTCAAACTCAGTGACAAATAAAAAAATTGTTAACTCAAGTGTTGGCCAATGGTTTACATAAACGGAAGCTTTAAAATAATGATACACCAAATGATTATCTCTTGAATCAAGCGTTAAATTTTTGCAGTTTTGTTAATTAAATTAATTGTTGACTCGTCTTCTTATATCTAATATGTATTCATTGCAAACAAATTGATTTCACGACTGCCAACAAATTGCTATTTTTTTGTCGCAACAATAATAACAACATTTCATTGTTTTTTCAAGAGATAATACCTTAGACTTTGTTTATCACATTAGTGTCGATGAAAACTCTTAGAAAAACGAGTAAATGAATGCCTGTATTGTTGTTATTAAACAATTTGTGAGACAAACCTAAGTGTCATTCATAGGAATTTCAAGTAATTAGCCATCAATTGACAGCTCATGTCAAACATGTCGACACATGAAGAGACTAACTTCAGTCATCCGGATTTGGTGCCCACATGTGATACCAGTGCTACCAACACATCCAGTTGTAGTAAAGGGCCCACACCTGCACAACAAACACTCGTTGGCAGAGCTTTAAGAAATAGGAGACATACTTTGGCTAATGTGCACCGGTATGTCATATAAAGCTTTATTTGTTTGCTAAAGTATATTGTTATTGTGTTTTCAATACAAATATATATCCAATTATATCACATAAAGTCATACTTTCATTACTTAAGAGATAATAAAAGATAAATAACAAACTATTATATCATATACTGTATGTTTATATTATATCTTATTTAATATATAAATTTATATATATATATAAGATAAAACTCTAAGTATTAACTATTTATGTAATCATTGCATTAATAATACTCGAAACATATCTCTAATAATAATGTGATCGTAATACTAATTATAATATAATAATAATACTACTATTACTACTAATAATAATAATACTAAAATGGAAAATGCGTGACATAAACAATATATACAGTATTTACTATTATTTTTGAATATTAAATAATCTTTCATAAGATTACTGCAAATGTATATTTTATATTTATTAAATATTAATAATGCATTAAAATTACAAAATTCTTGTATTTTCCAATAATATTGATAATTATTTTTTATAAGAATTTTAAAAATCTTATTTTTATATTATAATTATAGTTTTAAGTTAATAATTTAGCATAATTCTTATAAACATAAATTAAACATTTAAAAAAATAAATATTTTTAAATAAATAAAAATTTTACTCTATTATACATATATAAAAATATGTGATCCACAATGAAATTCTATACAGAATCGCATTTAAACCAAATGTAATGTTATATTAATACTATGTAATAACAAAAGTAACAAAACCATTGTATTAAAAAAGTTATTTATTGTTACATTCTTGAGTCAAAATTAATAAAATTATTTTCACTATTTTCATTACATTTGACTTATTATGTGCAAAATAAATAGCTAGACTTATGTTGCCTAACATTGTATTTAATTATTATTTACTGTGTATTTGGCAATCTTAGAAAAATAATATAACATAAGCAACACTTTAGGTGATGTCTTAACATTATTTAATGTTCATTTGAAGCAAATATTTTATCAAATGAATTGTCTGTTGCATCAAATATATTAGACTATATATGTATTTATATTTAATTATTTACTAATATATACACATTATTATCAAATATAAGGATTCTTATAATTTACTAAACATATTATATGTATATATTGTATAATTTGTATAAATGTTTGCAAATAAGTCGAAACTTTTAAATTACTACAATTTATTACTAAAATAAATGAAGTCATTTATCGACAAATCAATTAAATGTATTTAGTTTAATACAGTATTTCTGTGTTTTACTATATGTTTCATTGACACAGTTTTTCGTTATTGTAGTCAACAATTAATTATTAATTTTCAAGTTTTTATTGTTTTATATAGAATACAATTATACAATTATATGTAATAAGTAATATGAATTAAATACTGTAAATTATGTGATATTTCCATCAAATTAGTATTATATCTCATGTATTAGATTTTATTGTATAATTTTTATTTTATTAATAAAAAATATGATTGATTTTAAGTTACGTATTCTTTAAATATAAGTCCATATAAGAGTCCTTAAAGATATAATTGTTTTAAATTAGAAACACTAGACAATGATATATAATATTTATGTATAATTAGTTGAAATGTCAAGTAATATAAATTTATTAGCAATTAGCTTAGTTAAAATATTAAGCTAAAGTATTATATATATACTTGACGCTACAGTATACTGTATAGTGATAATTATAAGGTAATTGTGATAATTATAAGGTAGAAACAAAATATATTTAATTTAATTTATATCTTTACTATTAATTATATATTACTATTAATCTTTAATAATAGAGTACATATATATTATTAATTATTATAAATAAGTTCTTTACTAAAAATTTATTAATTTAATTTATATTAGCTAATTAAAAAAAAAGTTTAAACTAAATCATTGTTAATTCATAAAAAATGTTTTCGAAAAATGTTTATAAAGCTTCTAAATTTTTGTTGTCTATATTTAGTTTAGTTAATATTAATTATTAAATACAGTATTGTTAGTAGTAATTAATTATTTTCTAAATCTGACAAAATTAACACATTTTATTATATTGATGTCACAGTTTTGTTAGGTTTGTATTGAATTTTTATTTTTGTGCTTCTTATTAACTTTAAATAAAAATTAATTATAAAATAAACATTTCAGTGAAATTATAATTTTTATTAAAATATATTAATGTAATACCAAAGACATAAAAATTATTAATTTATTTAATTTAGAATTTTAAATGTTTCAAATCTACTCCAACCCTATTGTTATATAAAATTAAATGAATTTGCAATTCTAGACTGTTTTTGGTATTGTATTGGAAAATGAGTTTAAAAAAAATTCTTGAATTTTCTTTGATTTTATAATAAAGAAGTAAATGTCAGACAAATAACATGTAATGTTCATAATATGATAAAAGTTAGACTTAAAAACACTGACGGCATAAAAGTTAAGACATTTATTATTCACAATAAACTACTAAACGTTTAAAATGTGAATTTGAATTTTGTTTTAAGCAATGTTTAATATGATTTTATTTTTTAAATTTGAAAATATATAGTATACAGTATAAACTATCTTTTAATATCTTTTTATTATTTTATTTTATATAAATAATTGTATTTTTAGAAATCTGTAATTTAGAATACATAGATAAATATTTGATATATATATAGTATTATATATTATATATAGTCTAAATTCATAATATAATCTCACAATATTATTGACATTTTTGATAACATATAATTATTAACTATTGTATTATTGTTATTATATACTATATAATATAATATATTAATAGTACCATATAGTGAAGTTCAAAAACTTATAAATACTATATTTATATTAAAGAAATAAATCAATAAAAATCAAAGATTTGTTTTTTGCTTTACTCAGATCACTATAATGTCTTATATACAGTATTGCAACTAAACAATAAAATAACACCACTTCAGCAATCATTAGTTGATAAATCTATTGTTGTACATATCATGTGCTATAAACTAGTATTTTTTGTTTTGATTTAATCAATTTCTTATTTTATTAACTTTAATACATAGTTTTTATACAAAAAATAAACAATATATAGAAAATGTTTGGGGAATTAGTTGCAAATATCAGTTGATATAAAATATAATAACAATTTGAATGTGATTTATTATATAAGCAATTGTACGCTAAATATTGATCGCACAGACAGTCATCAGTGCTTGAAAATGATAGCAAAAAAGCAATGCTTTATCTCTTTGTGATATTCATAGTAGTTGTTTGAATAGATTTATAACAAAACAAAAAACACAACAAAGTATAAAATGATGTTATGTTATATAATATGCAATAAATGAATCAAAATTTCAATTGAACTTAGATTTTGTTTACAATTTTCTATATAATTTGAACAGTTATGACCCATCATTTACAACATTATCAAACATAGCAAATACATTATACATTAAACTTATGACAACACATTATATTTAGTATATTAAAACATAAAATTATATTTATTTATCAAAAGACTTTAATTTTAATGTCACCGCAGATATGATTGAATAACAAAAAATAATGTTAAGAATGTATTAATTTTTTGTTTTGTTTATATATATATATATTCTTTACTTTTATTTAACAATGTCTTCTTCCTATGAATTCTTTACTAAAAACTATATAAAACAGTAAACAAACAAAAGGATGAGGACTTGTATACTATACTTATATAACATAGAAATTGATAGGACTTAACAAAATATATTATGTGTTAAGCAATTGTAGAGCACAGAGAAATAAAGAAATTTAAATATAATATAATAGATTGATTGCGTCTCACATCAAATATTTCATCTAAAAAACATCACTAGTCATCAAAAAAAGAAACTTTTTTTTGTAATATTTTTATATATATATGAAGTTTTATAATTCAATTTTAGATCAACTATTGATATTAAAAAATTTCTAATAAATTAACATTTTTTAGAATAAAATATTTTCATGTTAAAAATAATAAATATTTTGTATACAAAGTATTAATGTAAAAAACTATTTTTATAATATTATATGCATAAGTATTGATATTTTTTATTACATAATAGTTTTTTATGTCATTAAATTAATATAATTAAATTGCTGTAGTTTAATTATTAATTTTATCATAAATCTCACTTTTAATTAATGTTTATATTTAAATTTTATTAAAATTTTTGATATTATATTATATTTAATTTAATTTAATTTAATCATATACTTTTATCATACTTATAACATTAGTAATTTCGTTGTTATTTTTAAAAAATACAAAACATTATATAAATTTATATCTATATTTATTTTACATTTGATTTTTATATGTATTTTTTAAATATTTGATTAGATATAAATAAATAAATAAATTTTATATATAAATTATTAGGGCTAAGGGGGTAGGGGGTAGGGGGTATGTCAAATGAATGAAATGGTTAAAATTAGGTTAAAATTAATCTAAATATAACATTTTAGTATTGTACATTTAATTTTTATAATTATATATAATTTTAAATTATATATATATATATCAATATATTTTTCATTATATGTATATTAATATGATTATGTTTTTGTTTATTCTATTATATAGTTATATCACCTTTTTAAAAAAATTATATTTAAAAAATTAAAATAATAATAATGCTTGAAATATAAAATATATTTGATGGATTTTACAAAAAATAGATGTGCAAACAAAATAAATAATAAGTTAAATGATGTGTAAAATTAAAAAACAAAATCCATATAAAAAATCGAAATAACTTTGTATATCAAGGGATAGTTATAATAGAAAATATGTGTATTAGTGTAGAAAATTGATACCGTATTATCATAAAACATAAAACTACAATATAAACAATATTTTATTTCAAAATATCAATTATATTTAATATACAGTATTACAATTTGAATTTGTATATTTAAAATTAATTATTATATAAGTTGCGCTATTTTTAACTAATCTGCAATTTTAAGGTAC